GCACTGTGATGGGATGCAACATTTGCATTAAGTCAGATCATGAAATGCCATCCCTGCCAGTTATTCCACAGTCAACTATAAGTGGTATTATTTGAAAGTGGAAGTGTTTAAGAACAGCTACTTGGCCACAATCTGGAAGACCGCGTCAAGTCACAGAACTGGGTTACAGAGTGCTGAGGTGCATGGCGCGTAAAAGTCGACAATGCTCTTCTGATTCCATAGCTGAAGAGTTTCAAACTTTGGCATTAATATAAGCACAAAACTTTATGGTAGGAGCTTCGTAGAATGGGTTATCATGGCTGAGCAACGGCATGCAGCCCTCTTATCATTAAGTACAATGCCAAACGTGGGATCAAGTGGTGTAAAGCATACTGCCTGTGGACTCGAGAGCAGTAGAAAGGTGTTATGTGGAGTAATAAATCACACTTCTCTGTTTGGTAGTTTAATGGGCGAGTCTGGGTTTAGCGGATGCCAGGAGAATGTTACCTGCCTGACTCCATTGCATTGTGCCAACTGTAAAGTTTGGAGGACAGGAATGGTATGTGGCTGTACAAGACATTTTGGACAATGCTATGCATCCAACATTGTGGAAAAAGCAAGGTCTATAAAGACATGGTTGGGCAAGTTTGCTGTGCAAGAACTTGACTGGCCCGCACAGAACCCTGACCTCAACCACATTGAACACCTTTACGATGAACTAAAACAGACTGTAAGCCAGGCCTTCTTGTCCAACATCAGTGTTTGACCTCATAAATGCTTTACTGAATGAATAGGCAAAGATCCCTTCATAAACACTCCAAAATCTTGTGAAAAGCCTTCCCTTGAAGAGTGTAAGCTGTTATAGCTACAAAGTGGGGACCAACTACATACAGATCTCTATGTATTTAGAATATTCAGTTTACAAAATTCCCTGTTGGTATATAGGTCATTTGTCCTAATTCTTTTGTCCATATAGTGTATGTGTTAGGAATGCAAACAAGCATGCATGTCTAAATGCCATACGGCAATAAAATACCATCTGGCGGTTTAACCCATTTGGCTATTCTCAACAGACTGAATTTGCATTTCTGTCTATAGTTTGTTGGAATCTACTAAATCTCTATATAACGTGTGTGTGTGTGTGTTTTTTTTTTTTTTTTTTTTCCAGCCTTTCAGACAACCAAACCGCTTAAAAGAACACTATAGTCACTAAAAGAGCTCTAGCTTAATGGAGTAGTTTTTGTGTATAGATCATGCCTCTGAAGTTTCACTGTTAAATTCACTGGCATTTGAGTTAATATCACTTTTGTTTGTTTATGGAGCCCTAGCCACACCTCCACTAGCTGTGACTGACACAGCCTGCATAAAAGTTTCATTTTCAATCATATGTAACTTACTTTAAACATTATAGCTTCTGCTTTGTAATTTGAACTTTAATTACATACAGGAGGTTCGTGGAGGGTCTAGCAAACTATTAATAAGACAGAAGGTAAGAAATTCTAAACCTAAAGGACCACTATAGTGCCAGGAAAACATACTCGTTTTCCTGGCACTATAGTGCCCTGAGGCTGCCCCCCACCCTCAGGGTCCCCCTCCCGCTTGGCTCTGGGGAGAGGAATGGGGTAAAACTTACCTTCTTTTCCAGCTCCGGGCGGGGAGCTCTCCTCCTCCCATTCGGCTGAATGCGCACACGCAGCAAAAGCTGCGCGCATTCAGCCAGTCTCATAGGAAAGCATTATGGATGCTTTCCTATGGACGCTTGCGTGTTCTCACTATGATTTTCACAGTGAGAATCACGCAAGCGCCTCTAGCGGCTGTCAATGCGACACCCACTAGAGGATTTGGAGGATGGATTAACCTATTTATAAACATAGCAGTTTCTCTGAAACTGCTATGTTTATAAAAAAAAAAAAATGGGTTAATCCTAGAGGGACCTGGCACCCAGACCAATTCATTAAGCTGAAGTGGTCTGGGTGCCTAGAGTGGTCCTTTTAAGAGGATTTTCAAGAAAGTAAGTGTAAACATTGGTTGTCTCTTTACAGGAAGTGTTTATTAATGCTGAGTCAGTCACATGCAGGGAGGTGTGCCTAGTGATGCATAACAAAGTGATTTAAATCCTAAAAGGCAGAGAATTGGGCAGTGAGTCTACAGAGGGATGATCAATACACTTCATTAAGCTAAAGTTTTGTTGACTATATAGTGTCCGATTAACTACAATCGAACTGCCTTCATTCACATGTTTGATTCTCCCTGATACAAACCAGGGTAATTGCACAAAAAATTCAAACCTCCCTAATCCTAATTTTCCCTGCTGCTCTAAATTCACCCTTGTTACTTCAGTTCTGTGAAGTGGTATTTATGAAGTGGCTGTTTAGTTTTAACCCTGCAAATTAGAACATTGAGTTTAGTTGATACAGTAATTTTTTAATTGCAGGGTTACCAAACCTTTAGCGTAGCGTTTTCCAATTGGGGTTCTGCTAAAAGTTCTAAAAAATTAAATGGCTGCGGGCGGCGAGGGAGCAGTGATCTCCCTGCTCGGCTACCTCCCGTGCACAGCAGTGATGCTGGAGTCGGAATATGACATCGCTCCGGCATCACTTAAAGGCATGCGACGGAGATGAGCAGGGAGATCGCTGCTCCCTCGCCGGCTGCCGCACAGCAGCCCCACTGGACCCCAGGGACTCCATGCCAGCACCCCTAAAGGTAGGGGGACTGGGTGGAGTAAAATGTAAAAAAAATAAAAAAAAATTGTATGTGTTTTGTGTGTCTGTCAGAATATGTGTATCTGTTCTTGTCAGCGAGTGTATGTGTTTGTATGTGTGTCTGTAAAAGTGTGTGTTTGTCAGTGAGAGTATGTGTGTCAAGGTTTGGGTATGTGTCACTGTGTGTATCTAAGTGTGTGTGTGAGCAGCAGTTAGTAAATTCAATACACTATATCAGAGTAATTAAAACTATTAAATGCAGAAGAATTAAACCGGATTAAATCTCGTTCAATTTAAAAAAGGCAAATTTAAGGTTAAGAGACTACACCCTAGATACACACAGTGCAGGTACTGAGATTCTTCAGTTGGTATAATCTGCCAGTTGTGCAAAGTGAATGTGTAATGTTGCATTTGATTAAACATTGTATATTCATTAAAACGTTGCCTATTTCTAACATTTCAGTGATGTAGATGAGTTTGTTTTTGTGTTTTTGTTTTGTTTTTAGGCTGTTTTGGCTCTTTTGCTTGATTTATTCTACTATAATTTACAGCTTTTTCATTAATTGTTTAAATACTTTAGAGGCCCCTTTGGCATCGAGTAAATAACGAGAGGAGAACTTCTGACTGGTGCAGTACTCTTATTCTTTTGCATCAAAGGTGTGCAGGAGGGTTGAACACCACCAACATTAATCTCTTTAACAACTTGCGCACCGTGAACTATAAGCACCGAGTATCGAGCACCGAGAAAACTGTAAAATGACATAATACATTTGTTTACAGAGATCACCCACCAAAAAGGGGGTTACAACAGACTTACAAATGTGGAGTTCAGTTATCTGCACACATTGATATTACATTAAACATCTGAGGAATACAAACTATATACAGAGATTTGGACTACACAGCATCTTTTGACGAACAGCATGGACACAATTTCTGCATAAGAACAAATATACTTTTACAGACCATGCACTTTTACTGTGTACCTTGCTCTGCTTGCCAAGGGGTGCAACTTTAAACTTTAGCAAACCTCAGTAACAATCGCCTTCCCACGAGGTGCTGCTAGCTTGCTTTGCATCTGAATGCGGAGTCAGAGAGCTTTTGCCTCCAAAACTAGTGGAAGGAGGGCTCTGCTGCTCATACATTCCCCAGTGAAACAAGAGGAAGGTAGAAAGGTTCCGCCTGTGGCAGTCAGTGCTGAACAAGGATTTTAAGTAATAAGTGGACAGTTACAAATACAATTTTTAATTAAATTTTTTTTCTTTTTTTAATGATCGGATAAATACTGGAGGATTACTAAACATTTCTTTGAGGCAAACAATTGTGTCAATTGCGCCTTGATCAGCTTGTACCTGGCATTTCACTAACCACCTCCAATTCCCTATAGGAAATTGCACCATGTCTTATCGATCAAATGATTGGGTCTGCCCCAATGGGTTATTGCCAGACTTCTTAGTGAGGATTCTGAAAATAGATGGATATCACTATAACTGCGAAACACACAATTTGGGGGGCTTTAAACATCAGATGTCCACTCTCACACAGGTGTTAATGTTGTTGCACACCCTTACAGAATATTTGTTATAGCTTATTTGTAAACTGTAATTTTGGCAAACAATAACTTGCTTAGACATCTTTTGCTCTTAAAGGGTTACACCAAGTCAGCTCACATTCCATGACTCTGATACATCTTACCTAGTCCTGTTGGAGGCACTGAGGGTACTCTCTTGCTAACTGATATGCATCCAGCTTCTGTTGAAGCCAGGTGACAATATTTCATTTTTTGGGGGAGCATCAGTTGTCTGCTCTAACAGTGAAGGTAACTCTGTGCATACAAATAGACACAGAATTGACATTAGCCAGCCCAGACCCGCGCTAGGCCAATGATCCCCCACTGATGTCATAGGTGGAGTTAAAAACCTTGCGGCACAGAGGTTAAATTCTATATGTGTACTGTCTTATTGGGAAACGATGCACATGCAGACTCCAGGCGCCATGATCACTTAATCACTGAAGTGATCACGGTGCTCTGAGTAACCCTTTAGAAAATATCCATCTCTCAAAGCTGCTCAAATCACTCTGGCTGTATGCACTAGTTGGTGTAAAAAAAATAAAAAAAAAATTCTGCTCATCCATTTGCATGTTTGATTGTGTGATCTGATTTTCAATGTGTACTGTAATCTTAATGTCTAATAATTTAGTTAAGAATTAACATGTTTGAATACCCAAAAGAAATCGATGCATGTATTAATTTATTTTTCTTTCTTATTCTGCTGCTCAGGTCTTCCTGCAAGGGAAGGTCAGAATTCTTGGACCGGGATGGATGATCAGAAGCCATCCAGCGAGGACAAAGAATCAGAAGCATCAGGTTGTGAATTACTGCTTCTTGTCTTGTTTTGGGCCCCATGTACTTTATCACTTAAAACCAATATGGCTTCAAGTTTGGATTAGTGGTAGCTGTTTTTTAGCTTCCCATGTACAGGGGAATGGATAACTCATGTAGTGCCTTATGCTTGCTGCTTTTCCTTTTTTGGGTTTGTGCGTGATTTGGCCTTTTCGTTCCATAGCATTTGCAGACCAGCAGTCGCTGTCTCTTTCAGATTTACTTGCTGTTTGGTTAAACCAATAATGTAAACTTGCATATCTAATAGGCTAGTCCAAATGTTGCATCAAATTGACATTTACTGTAGATGGATTCATAATGGTTTTTCAAAGTTGTATCTTGCATGCTTAATTCGAGCTGTCTCCTCAACCCCCCAAGATTTCAATTTTTATTTTTCCTTATGCTTACCAATAAATAGAAACATAGTTTGTCTTAGAAAGAGGTTGCATGTTGATGATTATAATGTTATAATGGATTAGAATCTCAAAATGCATAGTGGAATTTTGACCCAAGAATAATTATTTATGGAAGCAATTTGTGTTTTCTGTTGGCAAGCCCAGTTTATAGAATAATTCTCTAAATTACTTTGTTCTTGTAAATGATTAATTTGGAAAGGAACACTCTTATGTAAATATGACACCCCTGCTATTTTGCTTTATTTTATTTGTAATAGACTTGTGCAAATTTAGTTTGGAGCTTTTTGTCCGAATCAAATTCCTTTCATTCACATCTGAACAAATTGACCTGTCCAGGATTTACCTATGGCATATTGATCATTGAATAAGACTCCTCGGGTAAATCCTAACGGCTCGCTTTGTTTTGGTATGGATTTACATGAATTGTCTTTGGACAAATCAGTCCAAATACATTTTTTAAAAAACTTTGATTTTCAAAAATGTAACTTTATTTTTAAGATATATAAAATTGTACAGAATAGCCACACATTGGTTGCTAGTCCCTTAACTTCAGACAGAATTAATTTTTTAATTTTATTTTTAATTTTTTTTATTTTGCCTCACTCCACTGAGTATTCAACAGATGATATGCTTGATACAATGTAATACAGTAAAACAAGCATGACATTTAGACAGTATGTATGAGTACAGAGTAGGGGGAGGATTTTTATATGTTTATAGGTGTGCGGGCCTAACCGGTAGCGTCCAATAAAGTGTAGAACCTTACTCAAGGTACAAGGTAGCACCCTCCTATAATATAACTATGGCACATGTGTTTCGTAATATAGAGAGTATGGAGGGGAACTTCTCGAGTATCATGCACCCTCTGAGTGGGTTTATCAGCTCCCCAATGAGTTAAACAGCTTTGTTACAGAGGGTGAGAACGGTAATAAAGAATACGTAGGAGCGCAGCAATGGATAAAAATAACTAACAAAAAATAAAATTAGAGAAACTATTAAACTATGAATATAGTTCGTCGTCATGATCGTGTGGTCACGTAAAGTCCTTCTGGCTTGTTGGTGGAGATATCTCCTGCAAGCGGACTGTGTGTCACAGGTTATTCAGGTTACCGGTGGTGCAGGCGGGCGTCCGGGGGTTGACCGAAGACGGATCCATGTTTCGAAGACGGGAGGTTGAAGCATCCTGTTCCGGTTCAGGCTGCGCATATTGACCTCTAGTTCTTGTGGATTCTTAGCTCTGTAGGTGCCTCCCTGGTGGGTGAGTATGAGTAGTCTGGAGTTTCCCCAGCAGTAGGTCACATCTCTGTACTCGCTGTGTCAGGGATGCCTCTCAGCTTAAGATTGTACCATCAACTCTGGTCTTCCAGGTTATCAACCCTGGCCTCCATGCCTCTCTGGGCCAGGTGGATCTCCTCCAGCCTCTGCTCCATGTTTGTTATAGTAACATAGAATGTGACGGCAGATAAGAACCATTCGGTCCATCTAGTTTGCCCAATTTTCTAAATACTTTCATTAGTTATTCTGGAGTCTTGGTTGCTGGAGGTGGCCTCTAGGACGCAAGTCGGGTGAGTGCACCATCTACTGTCTCTTTAAATTGTGAGATGTCGGCTGCTATATTTGACGCAGCTCCGCCAGCATGGATTGCAGCATGTCTTTAGTGATTTAGTGAGTTCTTGGCCAGCAGGTGGTGCAGGTCGTACCTTCGGCACCACTCCCAGCATGGCTCCTCCGTCCAGGTCAGTGTGGAAATCCTCGGAGGAGTAAGAGGATGCTTCATCCTAAGGCGCCATATTGGGCCATGCGGTCTGGTGTGCGCGCCGCAGGAAGTAGCCAATATCTAGGCTGTTGGATGCCCGATCTGCCTTGTTTTGTTTTTTTTTGTTAATCAGCCCATGGTTGTGTGTCCAGCTCCAGGGTGTCAGCCCGCTTTTGAGGGTCAAATTGGCTGCCATCTATTGGCCTCGGAGCTCTCCAGAGATGCGTCTCCAGCCAGAATTTTTACAGCGAGTCATTACCTCGGCACTGTGTGAGGCAGTACACAAAGTGGATGATGTAAATGTCCCTGTTCCATGTACTTTCTTTGCCGATGGCTACTGTGCCTTTCCTTCTCATCTTCTCTCTTCCTCAGTGAAGCTCTATACTTTTTCCTAAAGTGGTCTTCAACTATAACCAATGCAGAGGAATGATCTGTACACTTAACCTGCTTCATTAAGCTAAAGTTGTTTTGGTGACTACAGTGTCAATTTAACGCTTTCAGTACTCACCCAGTCTTTTTATTTATTAATTTTTTGGCTACTCAGCCGCTGTGTATGTACAGAAAAGAGAAGCTAGTCAGGAACACTTTTTTTTTTTTTTTTTCTTTCTGTGCACATTTAGAAGTGCTCTACTTTTCATTGTGCAAATCAAATACTAAGATATAGAAACGATCTATCTGGGGTGCGAGCAGATTGTGGTTTGCACATATTGACATGCTCCCTGTCATCTGCTCCCCTGTACAAATGAGCATTCTATTGTTATTTACTTTCAGATTTAATATGGCATAATGCCAGTAAATTGGAAAAATGTGAACTGTTCAGTTAACAAGTGATACTTACTTGCATATACATATAATTTATATTCCTATCCTGATGACTACTAACCTGCTACTGTTTGTGATTGAATAAACATTGTTCACTTTTCTGCAGCAAGTCCTGAGTCTTTTTTTTTTTTTTTTCCTTCCTTCTAACTTTGTGGAGTGATATGTTGCTTATATTGGAGCACCCAGGCATTGTTTATATGGAATGTTTGCATCTAGGAACTGAGTGCCACCATTTACCATGTATATGTATGAGAGAGAGAGAGATAGCGCTCTAAATCGATACACTGATTAAACACAACATTCAAAACAGGTGAAGTGAATAATATTGGTTATATCATTACAATGGCACCTGTGAAAGGGTGGGATATAATAGGCAGCAAGTGGACAGTCCATTCTTTAATTTAATATGTTAGAAGTAGGAAAAATGGGCAAGCAAAAAGGCTAGACTAGACGACTGGGTCAGAGCATCTCCAAAACCGCAAGTCTTGTGAGGTGTTCAGAGTATGCAGTGGTTAGTACCTACTAAAAGTAGTGCAAGAAAGGACAACTGGTGTCAAGGTCATGGGTGCCCATAACTCATTGATGCACTTGGTCAGAGAAGGCTAGCCTTTCTTTTACTGTAGCTCAAATTTCTGAACGACTTAATGCTGGCCATAATAGAAAGGTGTTAGAACACTCAACGCATCTGTTTGCTGCATTTGGAACTGCTTAGCTGCAGACCACACTGTGACAACTCTTGTCTGCTGCCAAAAGTGCCTTCAATGGGGGACATGAGCATCAGAACTGGACCATGGAGCAATGGTTGTCTGGTCTAATGTACAATATTTTCTTTTGGATCATGTGGTTCCTGGGTGTGTATGCCTTGTTTACCTGGGGTGAAGATGGCAGCAGGATACACTATGGGAAGAAGGCAGGCCTGCGGAGGGAGTGTTATACTCTGGGCAATGTAGGGCTGGGATTCATACAAACTGCCTTGTACACCCTACGCTGACCAGTCTGTGGCTCTTCATTTGTATATATTTGAAGGTTAGCGGACTTCTACCACAGACCTCCGGTGCTACTGATACCAGTGTGCAACATTCAACTGCGTGTGCATTGTTTGCATGGGGAAGAGATGTCAGCAGAATGCACTATGGGGAGAAGGTGGGCCAGAAGAGGCAGTGTAATGGTCTGGGCAATGGTTTGCTGGAAAACTTTGGTTCCTGGCATTTATGTGCGTGCTACTTTATGTACAACCTACCTAGAGAATGTTGCAGACCATGTACACCCCTGCATGGCAGTGGTATTCCCGGATAGCATTGGCCTCTTTCAGCAGGACAAAGCACCCTGCCACACTGCAAAAAATTGTTCAGCAATGATTTGAGGGACGTGCAAAGAGTTCAAGGTGTTGCCCTGGTCTCCAAATTCCCAAGATCTCAATCCGATTTGAGCTTCTGTGAGCTGTGCTGCAAAAATACATGGAGGCTTCGCACCTTGATGGACTTAAAGGATCTGCTGCCAGATGGATTTAAAGGATCTTGATGGACTTAAAGGATTTTGGTGCCAGATACCCCAGGTGCCTGGACTCCTGAATGTGCCGTTCAGAGGTCTTGTGCAGTCCATGCTTCGACGCACCATATGTTTTGGCAGCATTAGGGAGACCTGCACGATATTAGGCAGGTTGTTTTACTGTTGTGGCTAATCAGTGCATATAAAATTCTACCCTAACTAGTATGCACAAAAAATATTTTTGCAATTACAAACCAGGTGCTTAATCCGGCAACATTCGTATACAAGTGTAAAAAGGTTAGCACTCTAGGGTGTTAAATTTTTTTTCTTTCTTTAAATCTTGATGAAAGATTTGTAAAGCATCAAAAATGATATTTTTTGGATAAATTTAAGGAAATTATTATTTTTTTTTTTTTTTTCATAAAACACCCTAGAGTGCTGACTGCTTTACGTGTGTGTAGATAGAAATAGATCGATCTCTATATCGCGAAATGCTCTGCGCTCATACACAAACCTAAATATATTGCTCGGTATTATTAATAACCAAATCGGAGTAATTACTGTTGTAAGCGAATAAGTGTCATGATTAACTTTTTTTTTTTTTGTAATGTTTCTAATAATTTGTTAATTCTCTTTATACACAAGCTGATGAAAATGTGTCTGATGGGGCCTGTGAAGCTGAAGGGGAGGAGGCTAGCAAACCAGTGCAGACAGACCCAGACATCAAGGATGGTGGTATTTCTGACCCACTGTGCAGCAGGTACTGTTATTACAAATTTTTGGGGGAGGGGGGAGTGTGAACTAGACAGTCTGTTGTACCAAACTATTATAGCATTTCTTGCATGCTGTGTACATCTAACTATTCTGTGTGCTTACAGTATTTATTATTAATGGACCAAGGCACAAATTTACCTCCAGGTTTCTGTTTAAAATACCTATGTCCTAGACCTAGGGTAGGCTACCTGTTAGTAGTTCGGTGCCAAAACATGATTTTAAAGTCCCTTGGTGTGACTGACGCGCGCACACGCACTGTGTCAGTGGTGTTTTTGGGGACTGTGTATGTGGGCTGTTTATATTATTTGCATTAAGGAGAGGCTTATTCCACAGTTCTGTCTATATCTAGCAATGTGGGTGGCTTCCCTGGGGTTCAGTATGGACCAGGTATTGGTCAAGGGTAGGAACCGCGATAGCTGCTGTGGGCTGCTCTACTCCATTCCTGTTCACCAGTACTGGGATGAATACATAAATTGATTATCCCTCACCACCTTTTTGCAATAGCTGATATCTGAAGTTCCTCTGGGACTCCTGATAGGCCAGAGCCTTGAGTGCCGTGCAAAGGCACCTCGAGTACCAAGCATATCATACGTGCCATATGTTGCTGACCTCTAAGTATTCAAATACCAGTGGCCACTGTATTCATTAAATGGTATCTGTTTGCTGCATTTGGTATTCTAAAGTATCCAACATAAATGTCGTATGTTTAGATATTTGTTTTCAAATATGTGTATATTATGTATTTGATCTATTTCCATTTTAAGTCGTTTAAAATATTGTACATTTTTATTTATTTATTTATTTTTCCCTCCCAGTGCATCCAAGACAAGGCGCTGTGCTCTTTGCAACTGTGGAGAGAGAAGTACTCAAGGACAGGGTGAACTCTTGCGTTTTGATCCTACCCCAGGCCACCTGGAGCTGATTCCTGATGATTGTCAGGCCCAAGCAATTGACACACAACAACCTGATCCTTTTGTAATTGGGTTTGATGAGAGTGTATCCCCAGAAGACCTCTTTGAGTCTACAGGTTAGAAGTGAAACCGTTTCTACAACATTAGCACTCAGTCCTGTATTCTAATTGTAGAAAATACTCCAGGCACTCCAATAGGTTCCAAGATTTAAGGCAATTTATTTGAACCAAGAACTAAATTTTTCTAAGCCTCTTGCTTACTGATATGCCTATAATTTTTTTTTCTTTCTCTTCTCCACAGGACATTGTTGGGCTCATCAAATGTGTGCATCATGGTCAACAGGAGTTCAAAACGTGGAAGGAGTTGGATTAACTAATGTGGATATAGCTGTATTCTCAGGGATATCACAGGTGTGTTACTTTCTGTGCATATTTTGTTCAAAATTGTTTCATGCATGGGTGTGTAATTTTGCGGTCTGTTTTTTTTTCCTTCAGAAATGTGAACACTGTAATCGGATGGGTGCTACTATTCAGTGCCACTCGACAGGGTGTCTCCGCCGATATCATTTCCCCTGCGCTGCTGCGAGTGGGTCCTTCCAGTCTATGAAGACCTTAAAACTGCTGTGCACAGATCATATTAGTGAAGCTGTTGCATTAGGTTGGTTTGAAAACCTTAGCATCTGTAAATTCTTGGAATGTGAATTAGACATTTAACAAGCGATAATTACTTGCAAATAGTAAACATTCTGCTCTTTTGAAATAAGCTGAAAATACATACTTTTTTTTTTTTTAATGCTCTTTTTTTAAATTTTATTTTTAATACATTTAAGAAGAAACTGTAAATGCTGTTAATGTGTTGGGACTTTCCTTGTATGTTAAGAGTAACATTCTGTTTCTATAAAATCTTTGTAATTTGACTTTATTATATTTTACATCTGATCTCTGAATTTCTTTATCCTCCCCAATAGTCTTATTCACTGCAAATAAATTTGCATATGTCTATTTCCTTCTCTCCTTCCTTGTCTCAGATGACTCTCGATGTGTGCTTTGTGAGAAGCCAGGTGACCTCACAGATCTTCTGTACTGCACTAGTTGTGGTCTACACTATCATGGCTCATGCCTAGAAATCACGGTTACACCATTAAAACGCTCAGGCTGGCAGTGCCCTGAGTGTAAAGTGTGCCAAACATGCAGGTAAGCATACTTTTATTTTATAAAACTAAAAGCTGTGTGTTTTTGACATGTTAGTCTTAAAGGAACACTCCAAGCACCAAAAAAAAAAATGTTGCATTTTACACTCCAGGCACGAAGTACATCCAGGCACTAAGTTGTCAAACCTCTTCATCTTGGTTTGACAATTTACTCTGGGGTCACAATCTCCACTTGAGGCGAAAGCTCCTAGCTTCCCTGTGTCGGAACTAATGTAACTTTTCAGCAAGCTAAAGTACTGTATGGGTCTGGTGTGTAAACTCCAGATATTCCACTACCATCTTGTGATAGTGAAGTGTGTAAATAGATCTCCCAGGTGTAATTAATGAAGCCAGCCTACTGCACTCAAAAAGGTATGGTGACCAGACCCATACAGTACTTTAGCTTGCTGAAAAGCTTTGTGTAGAGTGTCCTATTTTAACTTAGTTGCCCTAAACTTAAGAGGCAGTAATTGCCCAGAGCACCTGCCTTGCAAAGACTTCTCATTGAGCTGCATTGGAAAAACTGTGATTGGATACCAACCGGAAGTCTTGGCGGGGTTAGAAGGGGAGAGCTTGCAAAGGCAGCATAAAAGAGAACTGCAGCTTCTGCAAACTTTTTTTATTTTATTTTTTTGCTCCTAAATCACCACCTATATTTCATTTGGTCATACTTTACTCTCCTCAGGCACCCTGGTGAGGACTCTATGATGCTAGTGTGTGATGCCTGTGATAAGGGATATCACACCTTTTGTCTGAAGCCAGCTATTGAAAGCCTACCCTCTGACTCATGGAAGTGCAAGGTAATTGATGTGGAAACTTGTAAATTGGTTGTATTAAAAATCTAAATGACGAATTCTCACCGCAAGTTCCCCCAGTAGCAGTATTTACGGCTTTGAATTTTCTCCAACTAGAATTCTAGATGGACATTCCAAATTTGATTGATTTTATGTAAACAAATTCTTTTTGCAAAAGAGAACTTGGTAACTCCTTGTTCATGGATGTGGTTTGACAACTAAATTTAAATACCGTAGAGGTTTAAGGGAAGCAATGGGTCTCCTACACATTGGGTGAGTGTACAGCAAGCAGAGATCTACTGGATCCTCATCCTTGAAGGCTTTTCCATAGCTTTATTTAGCTTAATTTCTCTTATCTTTATTGTAAGTATTCCATGAAAGTAGTGACCATAGGACACTTTCACTGAAACAATACAAGTGATGCCTGAAAGATCTGTAACTCCTTTTTATTGAGGTGATTTGCAATAAAATAAAGTACTTTTTTATGTAATTTTTTTTCTTCTATTTTAAATAACAATATTTTAGTCACTTGGTTTAATTCTAGGAACCATCCCTCCTCCTGCTGTGATTAGATAAAACTGGCAACTTAAAGGTACACTACAGGCACCCAGAGCACTTCTGCCCATTGGAGTGGTCGGGGTGCCAATTTCCACTACCCTTAACCCTGCAGCTGTAAATATTGCAGTTTTCATAAACTGCAATAATTACATTGTAGGGTTAACTCCTCCTCTAGTGTCTACTAGACAGCCACTAGAGTGCACTTCCTGCTCCATAGCACAGGTTTTGTGTGAGGACCTCCAGCGTTGCTCAATTCCACATAGGAAAGCATTTTCAATTCTTTCCTATGGAGAGGTCTAATGCGCGCGCGGCATTGCCGCACATGCGCATTGGGTCTCCCCCGCCGGCGGCCACACATGCGCAATTGGTCTCCCCCGCCGGATGACTTGGGTGGACCCGAAACCACTGCCGAGGGACATCAGCGGGGGTCTCAGGTAAGTCACTGAAGGGGTTTTCACCCCTTCAGCAACATGTGGCGGAAGGGAGAGGGTACCCGCAGTGCCAGGAAAAAGGTTTGATTTCCTGGCACTGAAGTGTCCCTTTAAGGGCAAAGTTTTACATTTCTATCAACAGAACCATTCTATTTGTTCACCAAACCCATCAATTTACTGTTTGTGATAACAATTTTGTATATAGCTATATTGAACACCTGATCATTACACCAACAAGGACTTTTATGACTTTGCATTCTAAATACATACACATTAATATGTAGTTGTTCCACTCTTCTGAGAAATCCGTCCACAAGATTTTGGAGTAATTCTGTAGAGCATTCCAGCTGAGCATTTGTGAGGTCAGGAACTGATGTTGGACAAGAAGACCTGGCTGGCAATCTGTGTGTGTTCTAGTTCAACCCAAAGATGTTTGATGTGGTTGAGGATAGGGTTCTGTGCATGCCAGCCAATACTTACCCAACCATGTCTTTATGAACCTTGCTTTGTGCACTGGGGCACAATCATGCTGGAATAGAAAAGGCCTTTTACAAACTGTTCCCACATGTAGAAAGTATAGTATTGTCCAAAATGTCTAGGTATGCTGAATCATTAAGATTTCCCTTGACTGGAAGGCCAACCCCTGAAAAACAGCCGCATACCATTATCCCGCATCCACCTAACTTTACAGTTGGCACGATGCAATCAGCCAGGTAACTTTCTCCCGGCATTTGCCAAACCCAGAAGCGTGATTTGTCGCTTAACAGAACACATTTCCACTACTTCAGAGTCCAGTGGCGGCATGCTTGACATTGAGGCTTGCATGCAGCTGCTCCACCATGGAAAACAGGGCCAGTATGACCACAAGGCGGATTGGGAGGGTGTCTAGCGCACACTGTCCTAGGGGACACAATACATGGGTGACTGGCAGAAGAGGACTTCAAAGCGTAGCATGTTCAAGCCACGGACTGCGGTATTAGAACTTCTGTCCCCTACCAAGTCTGACAGGATGGAAGGCTAGGAGTGGTGACAGACACACAGAAGGGAGACTGGGGATGGGGTGTGGCAAATTTTTTTTTTCACCTAGGGCAGCAAAAATTTGCACTGTTCCTGATGGAAACCCATTCCATGAAGCTCTCGCCGCACAGTGTTGGTTGGATATTAATGCCAGTGAAAGTTTTACGCACCTCAGCACTCTTTGACTCCGCTCTGTGACTTTGTTGTCTTCTGCTTTTGCGGCGATTCCAAAACTTACTTTCCAATAATACCACTTACAGTTTACCATGAAATATCTAACAAATAGCAAATATATAAAATCTGAAGGCAGTGACACTTACTATAAAACTTTATTTTAAAACCATTTGAAAATATGCAGAATAGACTGAAAAGATTTACCTATTTAAACATTATTGGGTCTGTCAATGGTAATCTAAATTTCCACAGTAAACAAATTAACCAACTCATAGGTTCCATGAGTCTAGTTTGCATAGTCTCTCGGTATATTAATGTAATGAAATAACATATGTTTATACATTTTATATAAAAAACATTTTTTGTATGCGGTCTTCTAAAATTGTAAGTTTGTTTTGAGCTGGGCTCCTTTTTTTTAAATATTTTTTTTTTATTTTATTTTTTTGTCAATCTCTTCCTTTTCTCTTTCCTCACTGTAAAATTAAAAAATACTGTAGAAAAAGTTGGCACGGTATGAATTCTAATAATGTTCCCTTCCTCCTTTCCACTTAGAATTGCAGACGTTGTCGAATCTGTGGCTATCGAACAACACAGTTGGGGCTTGGCTGCCAGTGGTATGAGAACTACACTGTATGTGAGAAATGCCAAGAGCAGCGGGGTCAAGCAATTAACTGCTCTCAATGTAATCAGTCTGGAGCTCCAGAGACCATGCACCGGTGTCCAAAATGTGCAAAGTAAGTTTTGGTACTTCACTCAGGGACTCATGTCTGCTCCTCTGACATAATGGTGGTAGATCGTGCAAAATTTTCTTAAACCAGTGAGATCTTTTTCTAATTTTTCAGAAGGTGTAATCTGTTTTAACAACTCATAAACTATATTTTTGTTATTTAACCCCTTAAGGACACATGACATGTGTGACATGTCATGATTCCCTTTTATTCCAGAAGTTTGGTCCTTAAGGGGTTAATAATGCCACGTTTGCAACGTACAAGAATTTAAGTGGTTACTCCAACAATCGTAGTCTCTATAGCCCGCTGTAGTATATAGTAAAATACTACAAGTCGCCTCTGAGGTAGCTCAGTTGGTAAAATACCGGACTGTTCAGAAACACAAGGTCACAGGCTCAAATCCTGGCAGGGTCAACTCAGCCCTTCATCCTTCCGAGGTCGATAAAGGAGTACTATCAATTATGTAATTTCTTTTAATATTCAGCCGCCGATTCGATTAATTCTGAGTGTGCTGAAAAGTGCTTTGAGTCTCACTAGGAAAAAAGCGCTATAAATATAGTTTATTATAGAAGTACCTGCTACCATTCCCCAGCAATTAAGCAAGCTATTTTATAACGGTTTTTGCACTGTTACCTGGGTTCGTCCAGGCATTGGGTCTACACTGTTTGAAGGTCTATAACAAAGTTGTTCAATCTATGGGCCGCTAACAATGTGGCACAGTTGCTGTCGGGGCTGCTGGGTGGCGAGGGAGCCCTCTACATATTCTGCTCTTCCTGCACAGTGCCTTTGCATGCCCTGCAGTAATTCTGGCAGCCGGGAAATGACATCATCCCGGCATCTGCATCACTACTGGGAACACAAAGGTCCTGTGCATGAAGAGCACATAGATCCCAGCCCAGCAGCAACCACAAAGTGAGCAATGTAGAAATGCTGAGTGGACCTCTTAAGTACTTAATGTGTCTGTGATTTTTGTGTTTATATAGGTCTGTGTGTGTGTATATCTGGTTGTGTGTGTATATGTATATACATCTGTGTGTTTAGTATACAAGTCCAAATTTGGTATAGTTAATTATAGCAATCCCACATAAGGATAACAAATAAGAGTTATCTACTAAACATTTGTAATAACATCTAGCATTTGCAGGTCTGCAGAAGCTGTATGCTGATCCTGCCTCTTTCATTGGCTGAGATTGTCAGCTGGCGCTCTCAGCCAATAAGCGAGTGTGTTTAAAACTATGAAATTCTCTCCAAAGGATCAAACAATTAAACAAATGGTTTGTTCAAAAAGGAGTGTTTTTAATGCAACACTTCTCTTTGCACATTTATGTCAGTAGCCCGTGCCTTATAAATGTGTTTTGTTTTAAATGGAGACCTATATGGTTTAGTTGACAGACATAAATGTGTGCCTATATTTCAACAGAACTATTTTACAGATTGGAAACCAGCTTCCAGCTTTCTTTGAGTCTTCTGGTAATAATCTTTTTTTTTTTTTTTTTTTTTGCTGCTGTAGACTACATCATGCGCATTGTGCAAAAGCTTCTGATTCCACAGCATCCAGTAAAGGATGCCCCTTGTGCAGCAAGCTTCAACCACTCATACATGAGACAGACCAGCAAGTCTACAGGAAGGAGATTCCAAACACAGCACTGTCAGAATGTGAAGCCAAACCACTAGGTGCGTACTGGTCCTTTACTGTAAATGCAGGCCTCACAATTACCACTCGCCGTGGCTAGGGAAAATTTTTAGTTCTGGTGCGTGTGACATGGATTCTTCAGGCTTTCAGCGGCAAGTAATTTTTTAAGGCCTGGCTAGTAGCGTTGTGCTAAATGAGTTCACTTTAACATTATTTATTGGTGCACATCATATGCATAAGTTATTACCCTCACAATCCTCGTGCCAAAATTTTATTAAATGGAGCTAATCATTAATTGTGATGTCACTTAGAAATTGTCATGTTCTATGTATACCTGTCAGCTTTTAAAGTATATTAGCGGATAATAAACTCTGTTAAACTGAACTCTGGCGATCCTGCTGTCCTTATTGATAAAGTTCACTTATTATCTCAAATCCAACACTCCCCTTGCCTAGCTGTTTTGAGTGGGTTTATCAATACAGCGATTAGGAGCGTTATATTGTTCATGCGTTCTTGCACAATATATGTTGTATTGTTATTTCTGCAGGGCACAGAAAGCATTTTGAGGAGTTGTAGATTTTCTCCTGTTCTCATCTTAATATTTAAATCTCACTTTCAACTCCTTTTTTGTCTTTGCACGTAGTTATAATACCCTCCCCCTGTATATTTGAATTGTTCTTCTAATTTTATTTTGCAAAACCTTTATTCATAGAATATCCATTATCAACTAAGCAATGCTACAGAAACATATTCAGATTTTTATTTCAGATGTTTGATTTTATTTTTAAGCAATAATTGGACAATTGACAACAGGGGAAAAAAAATCTTAATTTTTATCTGCATTGCTAACTTTTTATGAACTTAACTTTGTGTAATTCTGGAAGCAATGTCTTATTCTGAAGGGTCATTTTTGTGTGAAGCAGACCCTTTACATTATTTTATTGATAATATTGGCACATACTGTGATGGTAAGAAACTGTGTAGGTAATTGAGAATTTGACACAGTAGCTTCTAGATTCCGCATGCAATCTGTGATTAAGCAAATTAAGTGCTTTCTGTATTTGTAGGGATGCCTGACTCTGATATGGATCCTCAGCAAGACAAAGTGCAGACAGAAATGTCCAGCTTGGCAGGAACTCATTCAGATAGTTTGTTGTTGGAAAGTAAGCAGGGTTCTATTTATTTTTGAAAACCTAGAAGAACCCAATACTGTCAAGTATTAATTTGCATAATGTAATATTCCTTCCTCTTCTGCTTGCAGAACTTTTGACGACAGAAGAAGATACACCTCCCTCCTCAGACAATGAGGCTGCTGAAGCTCTTCCTATGTCCCCAATATTGCCAATAGAAACTAGAAGCCCACCTCCACTGGTGGCAGAACTTTCACCTCAAGAGAGGATTTCTGATACATTTCCCATGCTTGATGAAGCTCCTGTCCTTGTTACTGTGGAAGATGAAGACATGGATGTGGAAGATGGAGAGACTAATACAATTCAAGAGTTAATTAAAGGTGTTGAGTCTGTGACTGCACATTGTCCTGTCCGCAAAGCATCTTTTGTCCCTTCAGCTTCTGACAGTTCACAAATAAGTGCAACTGTTAGAGAAGCTAGGACTCCTACAGATAAACCATACATAGATGAGAGAACTTGCAAAAGTCCCATTAAAATAAAGGAAGAACCACCAGACAGCGGTTATCAGCAATCCTCTCTTTCTGACTCAGAAATGGTTCTAGACTCTGACGATCGTCCCAGTCAAGGCGTGACAGATATGTTAAGTACGGACAATACATTAAGTCAAGACCTTGCAGATTTCTCTTCTCACAAGGAACATGTACCCATTAGATGCACATTCATTAAATCAGAAATTGTAAATGAGATCTCTAATCTGAGCCAGGGGGATACAACTGGTAGCTTTCATGGTTCGGATACAATAGGTTCGCCTGACCCTGAAGGTGGGTCCCTCTCAATGGAAATGTGCTTGAACAAGGAAGATGGATCCTTGCGACTATGCACGGACTCTATGGTAGAGACGGATGATTCCTTATTATATGATCCCACTGGTGGAAAATCTGATATGGACAAGTCACGTAGGAAAGGCTCTCCTGGACGCTCTAGGGTCAAACATGTAAGTATAGGTTTAATGAACTTGTAGTTTTATTTTGTTTCATAAAATGATACACACCATATGTACATTTCAATGCTTTGAAACGATTGATGGTTTAAAAAAGATATAAATGAAAACTAAATGATATAATTTAGTCTAGGTCGCCTGGTTTTTTTTTTTTTTTTTATAATCTACTTGTCCAAGGGACAAAGTGTTAGCCCAATCTACTTGTTAGTCATGATAATCTGCTTGTCCTAACTCAATTTCAATTAAAAGATTTGGGCCCCTTCCAAGAGCCCTATACATTGAATATTTTCACAAAATAAATCTGAAAGGAAGAATGGATGCACAATTTGCTGATCTGGATAAATTCACTAGCTCTGCTATTGTCGTAACATGGCTTTTTTGACATGGATTTGCCATTCGGATTAATTTTGCAAATAAATAATACTGAGTGTCTTACCTCTGCCCTTCCATAGTCTCCCAGAGTACTGACTGTGCTTGATGCAAGTGTGGTGTATGTTTGTTCACTGTATATGATGTCTCCTGGCTCTGTGTGGTTGATGTGTGACCCTGATACTCTGACACACACATCCACTAACCCACACAAACTACATAGTTTCTGACACTGACACACAGCACAGATTAACAGCAGCTGCTTGGATGTTCAGTAGCGGGTGTGCAGTCTGTGCCATGCTGTCTCTGCATTCAAACACGTCTGCCACCAGGCTATGACTTCACTATGAATCTTGAGCATTGTGAGAAGCAGTTGGCTGCTGGAAAGAAAAACAAAACAAAAAACTTTCTGATCAGTGTCAGTTACTGCATGTTCCGGGCATCGGGCGACCAGTCCCTATGGTTTGCATGGGAGTGAGGTTTCTCTATGGGTATTTTCATAGCAGTGCGAAGATGCGATATTCTTTCGTTTTATTTCCAACAATAGGAGTTGGGATGCCAAATGAAACGTGGTCCCCGAAACAATGATATAGTGGCATGTCAGACCCTTAGTAACCTCATTAACAATGCTTCTTCGCTTTGTTTCCTACCATTTTCAAGCAGAGTTGAGCAGTAGGGGAAGGAATTCCTTTTCAAGTATACAAAGTTCTAGGGAAAGCTTTGGTTTACAGAAATCCATGTTTAATAAAAATCCATGTTCTGGTATGAATCTGCAGCAACATATTTTTACTAAGTAAGCAAGATCCTCTGGCCTTTAATATTTATATAGTGATGACTGTATGGCACCTACGTGACCTTTAAGCACATGCTACCATTACAATATATTTATTTTTAATGTTATGGTGTTCCTTTTTTAGCATAAATTTATGTGCCCCAAATGTATGAGGACGAATGTATGTGTATATGTAATCTAAGCACACATAGTGATCAACCTACATTGAGAGTCTATGCTGATGATAGTTTGTTAGTGATGGTTTGATCAGAAACTTCTTATAGAGAATTACTGAGGTCCTATGGAGCATATGTGGAAATTGCTAAAATCCACTTAATCGTTGCAGAGAATCACTGAATCCAATGCTTGTCTATGGGAACAATAAGCCACACTTGTAATGGTCAGGATCTCTTACAGAAAAAATGCCTTTCGGATAGAACACTAGAGTTTATTTTTTTTTTCCCACAATCATCATTGTAAGTTTTTAATTTTCCCAGTGATATGCAATCAACATACAACATGGTTTCTGACTCTACAAGTTATGTCTATTACGACATGTATAGTAAATAAACATGCAGTGGTTCGTTCCGTAAGCCAGCATAGTCCTAAATGTTGTACACTTTTACTTCTCATATAGAGGTGTTTTTCATCCAAATTGAAGGGATATTTTTGTTGTAGTTCAACATCTGGGGATCTACCTGTTGGGTAGCCCTGCTATATGATTACACACTATGTTTAAGGATACGGTATAAGTAAGACTCAAGTTCTGTGTGTATCTTTGAACCTATACATTTGCAGATGTCTCTATTACAATATGTGACTATGTAACTTTGTATGACAACCTAAAACTGAACTTGTCATCCACACATTCCATAGTAACAGGGTAGGGGATGTTTTGATACTGGATCTAAAATAAAATACCAGCGATACTTAGTGGCGATTTGTATATATTTTTTTTTTTTGATGCATAGGGTCGAAGCAGCAGCTTTCCTGGAAGGCGACGGCCTCGTGGAGGTAGTGGTGCAGGCACGAGCCGAGGTAGAGGAAGGTCAAGACTAAAATCCACAACATCTTCTATTGAAACCCTTCCGGTAAGAAATCACAACCTCTTCATGACCAGCACAGTTTCATTTTTCAGATCGCTTTATTTCTCTTAAATAATGGAGGTCGATATGTCTCCAAATAATCATACCATAGTCCTTTAAATGTCTATCTATGTAGATTTGTTTCCACTCATGTAAGATGAATACCAATAATATAGCAATAAAGGGAAAAAAATGCTGGGGATTGCACTAAACCTGTTTATTATTCCACATAGTCATGTTAGGATATATCTGGAAAGTACATTTGGTGTAGATATACAAGAATGGGGAGGGGGGTTTCTCCTGCATAGAGGAAAATCTAGCTACAGAGCTCTATGTAGTGATGCAAATCGAGTGATTGTAGCATGAAAGTGAGCAAAATGTTTCTCCAACTATAGTGCTCAATCGGATCTGTTACAAGTATTCACTTGCAGTGCTTGGTCACTTGCCGATTTCCATGTGCAAACCTTGCCATGTGATCAGTGCAGGGAAATCTCCTTGTGAATGGTCCAGAACCTCTTCCAGTTGTAGCAGCATAACTTTTTTTTTTTTTTTTTATTTGTATTTATTTTTATTTGTATATCTAAATCACACTTATCAGGTTTTGCTACTTTTGGTTATGTTAACATGTTTAGATGGCTGATATTGAAAGCTCTCCCAGTAAAGAGGAGGAGGAAGAGGAAGATGACACCATGCAAAATACAGTTGTACTTTTTTCCAACACAGACAAGTTTGTGCTCATGCAGGTGAGTTGTATGACCCTGTAACGTGTGCAATTTCAGTACTTGCGATACCTTTTGCTTATGGTGTCGTTTGTGTTTCTTTCTCCTGAAGGACATGTGTGTGGTGTGTGGCAGCTTTGGTCGTGGCTCAGAGGGTCATCTATTGGCGTGTTCCCAGTGTTCCCAATGCTATCACCCATATTGTGTGAACAGCAAGGTAAGCATAAAGGTGCAGGAAACATTTATTTTACTTCTTTCAATCTGTAGTTGTCTTGTTTTTGTTGTATACTACACATTTGTGCTGAACTTAACATAATATACAAGCAGATAGAAGTTACATATTTACAAAAATAGACACTGTAGCAGAGGCATAGTTTTTTAGAACAGGAACATGTTTATATTTCTATTAGAACAATGTTAGGAGTATGCAAATGCATCACTTTCTCATCCAGCAACTCTTATGCTGATGAGTGTTTGCAGAGCCAACATTGGTGCATTAAAGTCCAAACTATTGTTTGGAGTGCAAGGACACTCTCTATTGCGGGTCCTTTTAACATTATGTGGTCTCACAAAACTAGTCCACATTTAGCTGCTGTGTCAGATTGGGCCCTTACTGGACAAGAACGATTAGTTTGTCTCTTTCATGGCTGTGTCTGGAGGATGTAGTTGCAAATCACTTCCTCCCAGTACACACAGCCGTACATGGGAAAGTGAAGGCAACTATTTGTTTAGCCTGCTTAATCCTACTGGACTCCAAAAAAACTTTCTTGCAGGTTTGAAAACAGGACAGTAGACTCTCTCCCTCTCCCAGTGTTTTAGGAAGTGTATATTAAACTGGACATGCCTGTGTGTGAATGTATCAGAGAACGTGTGTGTTTTTGCTAGGACCCTTGGAATACAGATACAAAATTTACTTACTGGTTTTGTAAAGATCTCCAGTTACGAAGAGAATGCTAGTACCCAGAACTTCAATTTGATTTCAGGTCAGGGTTTGATGAGCAGGCACCATAGGAAATTAGGTTCTCATGACAAAGGTGAGTTCCTCTGATAAGGTAAAGGTTTTAGGATCTTGTGGGTATAAAGGTGCTAAGAGCGTTTCATCCATATCAAGTGGGAAAATATAAAAATACAATTAAACCTCAAGAAATGTAATTTAAAAAAAAAAAAAAACTTTTTTAGATTTATTTTTTTAACCAATCTGGGAGTAATGGCAAGCCAAGGTGAACAAAATAACATGAACCCTTCATAGCCTTTAATGGGCAGGCCTTTACATGTCTACATTTTTATATACTTATCTGCAACATCCCAACTTCCAAAAGGTGTGTGTGTGTGTGTGTGTTTTTTTTAAATTTATTTTTATAAATTAAAAAAAAGAGAGAAAGATAAGAGTACACCATAGGGATTCATTCAGTTCAGTGCTATAAAGCTGCGTTTTATTAAAGTAAACACACACAACAAAGTCAGGGTTGACATTTCAATCCATTAACAGGAATAGTCTTAACCCCTTCACGACCGCAGACGGAAATTTTCCGTCAACCTTGTCCTTCAGTTAAGGACCGTTGATGGAAAATTTCCGTCATTTACTAAAGTTAACCCCAGATCGCGGGGTTTGTATTAGAGGCAGACCGGGAGCACACGATCGGGCTGCCCCAGCACCGGTCCTCGCTCTGACAGGCTGTCAGAGCGAGCACATGTGCTCAGTATACTCACCTTCCGCCTCCCTGCACTTACAGGTTCTGTGTGAAGTGCAGGGTGACGGATCAGTGCTGCTGATCTTCTCCCTGTGTTAAAAATAAAATAAAGTTAAATCCCACCCCCCCTTTCCCCAGCTTTAATAAAATAAACCCCTTCTCTGCCAATTGATCACTGACTACATTGATCAATTGGCAGGGTATACATTTTAATGTCCTCTGATTTTTTTTATTTTTTTTTAAACCCCTGAGGGTTAATTATTACTATTTTTTTTTTTTTTTTTCTTAACCCTCAGGGGTTAAATTTATTTTAACTAATTTAAATATTTAAAAATGTATATATTTAGCTAGCTGGGATGGGTGGAAGTTAGTGGGGAATTGGGGAATTTGGTGTTAGGCTAACTAGGGGTTAACGTTAAGTTTTAAAATAAGCTTTAAAAAGTTTTTTGTTTTTTTTTAAAGTTTTAGTAACGTTTAAGTAAAAAAACCAAAAAAAACCCCACCCCCCTTTACCCCAGTCTAAATAAAAATTAACCCCTTCCCTGCCAGTTGATAATGGCCTACAGTGATCAAAATACAGATCACAGTATTATATTGTAATTTCTAATTTCTTTTAGCCCCTGAGGATTAACTTTTATTTTTTAACCCTCAGGGGTTCAATTTAATTAATTAAATATTTTATAATTAAGTGTTGTTGCATAGCAAGACCACTTATTGTTATCTCACATATATATTATTATTCTTATTATAGCCAAATTTGCCACCCTAACTCCTCCCACAGTTTTTACACTACATAGACAAAAATTTACCAAAAAGTGCAGATTGTTCCCGATCGGATTGCTATTACTTTGTGGAACGTTTCGCCGAATGGTTCACGGAATATCGTCTTTCTTGTGGCACAATTTGTCCCATAGGAATGAGTGGCAAAGCTAGAGTGGGAGCTGGCAAAAGCTGAAAAATCAGGACATGATTTCTAAACTGCCACCACTCCCTCATTTTCAGGCCCACCTACACAAATCTTATATCAAAACGTTCAGCTATCCCTGCTGCCACTAAACATGTCAACGGCTAAGCCATAGTCCTGATAGTTTTCACAATATAATCATTTGTTTGCAACTAATGCCGTCCATTGACATTCATTGAAACTTCACTCTACAAAGCTCAAATTTGAAGTGCAATTTCTAAACTGCGACTGTGCCTTCATTTTTAATACTTCAGAGACATACTATGCATCAAAAGAAACTATGTTTACCTATGGGTTAATCCAGCCTCTAGATGCTGTCTTATTGACAGCCGCTAAAGGCGCTTCCGCGATTCTCCCTGTGATTTTCAAATGAGAAGACGCCAGCGCCAATAGGAAAGCAGTGAGAATGCTTTCCTATGGACGGACTGACTGCGCGCGCGGCTCTTGCCGTGCATGCCCATTCAGCCGATGGCAGAAGAAGAGGGAGGAGAGCCCCAGTGCTGGAAAAGAGGTAAGGGATTAACCCCTTCCTCCCTCTTCAGCGCCACGGGAGTGGGACCCTGAGGGTGCCCTCAAGGCACTATAGTGCCATGAAAATGAGTTTGTTTTCTTGGCACTATAGTGGTCCTTTAAGAAAAGTCTTGCTAAGGGACTGAAACATCGACTGTGACTTTGGTGTATAAATCTGCTTCAATTAACTGCTTTATAGCATTATGCCGATGCCTTGTTTGTGCTATGTTGTTTTGTACTATGTTGCCTGGCTGGATTTATGAGCACCTAGGCACTGATGTATACAAAGGACATTTTAAGTTGCAGAACTCCTGTTTGACCCCCCTCCCCATATAAATGTGTCTGTTCACACACCTATTTTGATACATTTAGTATGTTTTCATGCCACTAATTTTAGATAATATATTTATTCTGATAGGATAGTTAAGACAGTGTAATTTTATTTTAAATGGAAATGCAGTGGTCTGTTTGGTGTTTGTTTTGTTTTTGTTTTGTTTTTTTTGTTTTTTTTTTTTACCCCCCCTCCTTCTCTTACAATATTTTTCTGATTAACAGATTACCAAGGTGATGCTCCTGAAAGGCTGGCGATGTGTGGAATGCATAGTTTGTGAAGTGTGTGGGAAAGCCACAGACCCCTCTCGTTTACTGTTATGTGACGACTGTGACATCAGTTACCACACATACTGTCTAGACCCTCCTCTGCACACCGTGCCCAAAGGTGGCTGGAAATGCAAATGGTGAGTTGGTGTTGCAATTTTCTGATGAAGTTCTGAAGCTTCCTGGGTAAAATGTTATACCAGAGCACTGTGATTATGCTTGTATTAGACTGTACGGAGATAACATCAGTGACTGATGCTTGGCATACCACATTGAGATGTTTTCATGTGTAATGAGAAATATTACATCTTATTTTTTGCTTTTTAATCCTTCTTATGGAAAGCTCTTAACTCCTTTAAGACCTAGGTCAGACTATTTACTTTATGATGATGATCCTGACATGTCCTTGATCTTGAGCTGGCTAAATGTAATTCTAGATTTACTTCTAAACCCAGGTCAGTTTGAAAACATTGCATTGTATTGGTTGCATTCTGTGTTTCAGCTGGGCTTTAGAAAATTTTAGTGGCAGACTATAAATTTCAGACATCCTGGAACAATAAAATGTAATCCACATTTTACACACCCTAATTAAACTTCTTTACGCTTACCAGGACTTAATCATAGCATAACATTAACTCAATGTTGTTGGTTAACCTGCAACATTGCTCTTGTCTGTTCGTGAATTACTTTTCATTTGCTAACCTCAATTCCTTGTCTCGATTTTTCCCTTTCAGGTGTGTGTGCTGCATGCAGTGCGGAGCTCTGAGTCCAGGGTTTCATGCAGAGTGGCAGAATAATTATACCCATTGTGCACCTTGTGCCAGTCTGGTAAGCTGCCCAATATGCCACCTGAAATACATGGAAGGCGACCTTCTCATACAATGTCAGAACTGTGAGAGGTAAGTGCTGGCTTTCAGTACTTGAACTCCATTAATATATGCCCTAATGACAGAATTAGCAAACCTGTTTTAACCCTTCTCTGTAGATGGCTTCATGCTGTATGTGAAAACTTATTCACAGAAGAGGAGGTTGAACAAGCTGCAGATGAAGGTTTTGATTGCGCGTCTTGCCAACCCTACATTGTAAAACCAGTGGGTAAGTAGAGATTTTAAAATCCGCAACTAAGGACCCATTAGATTTGAAAATAGTGTGACCAGTGCAAATGCTAAGAATCACCTGTTTTTATGAATAAATACATTTAAAAAAATCAAAAAGGTTTATACTTTTCGAGCTATGCGATTTTTCCTTTTTTACAGTCTCTCAGCTGATCCACTTAACACACAGATAATTATTTATTTATAAAATATTTTACCAGGAAAGATACATTGAGATTTCTCTCGCTTTCCAGTATGGGTCCACAAATCATTGCATTGTTACATTAGGGTACAACAAAATACAAAAACCATATTAATACACAATATATCCAAAATTTAACATGGAACAGGCAGGAAATATATAATCAACCATGACACGTGCATTCTGTTTTGAGGTGTGTAGAGAGGGATCTCTTAAATGACTTTAGGCTTAGGGAAGATTTTAAATTGTGCGGGAGGTCGTTCCACAATTGCGGTGCTCTATAGGAGGAGGATCGGACCACTTTCTTTTTGTATTGAGGTAGACTAAGTAAAGTGCTTGTACTGGATCGGAGCTTATAGAAAGTGGGAACAGCTGGGGAAACATTTTGTTCAGGTAGGGTGGGAGTTTCCCAGAAAAGCTCTTAAAAACAAGGCTGGAAAGATGAAGGGTGCTTCTGGATTCCAGCGACAGCCAGTTTAGTTCTTTTAGCATGTCACCATGATGGGTCCTGTAATTACATTGTAGCACAAATCGGCAGAACGAGTTATACAATGTGTTGAGTTTATTAATGTGGGATTGCGATGCAGATGCATATACTACATCCCCATAATCAATGATTGGCATCAGCATTTGTTGTACAATCTTTTCCTTACTGTAGGGCTTAGGCAGGCTTTGTTTCTGTACAGGGCACCTAATTTTGGATAAAGTTTAGATGCAAGCTTTTCTATGTGCAGGCCAAAAGATAGATTGGGGTCTAACCTCATACCCAAGTATTTGAAAGAGTGGACTGCGGTCAGTGTGCCATTTGAATTTGTTTTGATGGATAGGTGTAATTTGTGTAATTTAGGTACTGTTCCAAAGATCATTGTGACAGTTTTGTCAGTGTTCAGGAAGAGTTTGTTTTTTGCGATCCACTTTTCTACCTCTGTTAACTGGTCTTGGAGCACAGCCTCAAGTTGCGGTAGATTGGATTTGCTCACATAGATTACCGTGTCATCTGCGTACATGTGTACATTTGAGGATTGGCAGACATTAGGTAGATCATTTATAAATAATGTAAATAGTAGGGGGCCGAGAATGGAACCCTGGGGAACACCACACGTGACTGGGAGGGAGTCACTGTCAGAAATGGACACATATTGCGAGCGATCCGACACATACGATCGAAACCAGTTTAGAGAACGATCACCAATACCTGAGTTTTTGAGTTTGTGCAGTAGAATGTCGTGGTCTACTGTGTCAAAGGCCTTAGCAAAATCAAGGAAAATAGCTCCAGTTAGGGCTCCTTGTTCCATGCCAGTTTGGATGTCATTGCAAACTTTTAGGAGGGCAGTTGTAGTGGAGTGATTCTGGCGAAAGCCCGATTGATCAGGGGTCAGTTTAATTGTTGGTAGTACTCACAAAGTTGCGTATGGACACATTTTTCTAAGATTTTTGACAATACCGGGAGCAATGATATTGGGCGATAGTTAGAAACCAAAGTAGTGTCACCACTTTTATGGATAGGCACTACTCTCGCAGTCTTCCAAAGTTTGGGTATGTATCCAGACACCAAGGATTCGTTAATTAGAGTTGAGACGGGTTTAGCAATTGCCGGCGCACTGAGCTTCAACAGCATTGCTGGGATTTGATCAGGTCCACACTGGTTTTTCATTTTTAGATTATTAAGATGTTTTTTAATGACACTAACAGGTACAGGTCTAAAAATAAACTTGTCTATATTGGGCCTTTGCAAATTTAGTGTGACCTGATCCACATTTGTAGTTTCAGGATGCGTGTCATTTATTCGTTTGGCAATCAGGGCAGTAGAGCATCCGACAAAATAATTGTTACAGGCATTTGCTACATCTAAGGGAAGTTGCAGGGTTTGGTTACCCACTTTGAGTGGAGGGTTGGGAGTGGATTGGGGGAGTTTGTAGTTTATTTATGACTTTCCAAAAGTTTCTAGGGTTTGAGATGTTACTGTTCAGATTTTCATAGAAATATTGGGTCTTGGCCAGTTTTGTCTGTTTTGTGCATATATTTCGCCATTGTCTATATGCACAGTGATCATTCATAGAGCCAGTACGCTTAAACTTGGACCACTAAGAATCCCGATACTGGTACATTTGGATGAGGTCAGCTGTGATCCAGTTCATATGTGCTCTTTTTACCCTCACCTTACGCAGCGCGGGGCATGCAAATTCCAAATTTCTAGGAGTTCAGACTGAAAGTATTCAACAGCACAGTCTAGATCTGGAATAATGATTAATCTGTGCCATGAGAGATTCTTGATGTCATTTAAAAAGGATTCAAGATTAAATTTTTTTTGAAGGACCTAGTTATTTTAACCTTGGGAGAGTTTTTAATAGCCTTTATTTTGCGCACGCAGTACACTAAACAGTGATCACGGAACGTGTTTGGGAGAACACCAACCTCCTGGATTCTATCAGGAGAAGTGGAGAGAATCCTATTTTTTATAACTCTCCACCAGCAGATAAGTTAAAGGAACAGAGCAGGCCATGGTGTATTATAATTTGTTCCAGTTTGAAATGTGTGCTTATGCTGGTTGTGGTGTGAACAAAATTGGATTGAGAAAAGGGTTATTAAGAATAACAGTATGGTTATATTAGGATTCATGTTAGTGGTATGAGGTGTGTAGTTGAAAATCAAACAGATATTGCGTGAAAAAAAAAATTAAATAGAAGTATATAGTTTTGGTGTATGATATATCTATTTGTAGTGAGAGAGGGTATGTGTTCTATAGGGTTAAGAGGTTGAAAGGGTGTGCTGATCAGTGGTTGCACTTTTCATTTCAGTAGATTGAAAGTTGTGTGGGAGACTATCTATAAATGAGGAAACAACCATGGGGTGGGAGGGAAATGTCAGTCTTCCAGAAGGCTACCTGTTTCAAATGGCCATGGAACAGCTGATGGAGCTCTGAGTTCTATGCTGGACTGGGTATGTTTAAAAATCAGACTGTGGGAGAGAGATGTATATTAGGGTCAGATGGGCTAAGAGATGGGGGGGGGTGCATAGATGGACATTTGATTTAAGGTAATTTAAGGAAAAACAAAAGCAAAGATTGAGAATTACAGAGATAAGACAGATGTATTTAAGTAGGGAAATAAAACCATTAAACAAGGAACAGGAAAGATATATGGGCCTGAGCTGGTTAAACTAACTTTTAACATGATGGACAAAGACAAAGGTGATAAAATACTTTGCATAATTAGCACAGGCTATAGTTACAAAGACATGAAAATGTATACATTGAAAAGAATAAAACTAATATTTACTAAATATAAAAACATACACATACAACAAAATTAACAGGGTACATAGAAATATAATGAAATGTCAGTCTTCCCGAAGGCTACCTGTTTCAAATGGCCATGGAACAGCTGTTGGAGCTCTGAGTTCTATGCTGGACTGGGTATGTTTAAAAATCAGACTGTTTCAAATGGCCATGGAACAGCTGATGGAGCTCTGAGTTCTATGCTGGACTGCCATCCATTTGCTCTTCTGAGATTGTATGCAGTGATTGTCCTTAATGAATGTGAGATCTGCTTACAATATTCTACAATCTAATTTGAGCAGAGGTTTAGGGTTTCTCCTTATTGAAGCAGTAATAGGAAATGCGGGGCAGTGACCTGGTTGTGTGCATGTCTAAGCAGATGCAGCCACCAGGGGGAAATGCATAGAACCTTTAAATTGACATGCAACTTATCAAATTTACTTAAAATATTATTTATTGAAGGTTTATTTTATGTAGGCAAAGGATGTTTTACAGTTTACTTGGTCTTTACAGTAAATTAAATACATGTGGCTCTGTATACATAATGTCCTTTCTTTATTTTTCACCCAGTTCCAATTATCCTTCCTGAGAGTCCAATAAAGATTAAAGAACCAGGTAAGCAAATGTCAGTATGGTGTGCTTTTAATAGTCCAACAAGTGTGGCTGTTCAGTAGTTCATTCTCTCCTATATATTTATATATTGTTTTTAGAACCTCAGTACTTTCCGTTTGATGGAGTTTGGCTGACAGAGGCAGGAATGGCAGTGCTGCGCAGTCTTACTCTGTCGCCCATTCAGAAGAAAAAACCTCGTCGTTCACGATTGTGTACTGGTGGAGAAATCTTTTTGGATGGTCCAGAGCATGCTGGCTTAGAAGAAAGGAAGGAAATGGAGGGCGACTGTGAGGAACCCAAGGCAGATGGTATGTGTTGTGCAATGCAGATCTTGGCAAAACTAAAATGTCAGTTTCACGTTCTTTATTTCACTTATTGTTTCTTTGCTGAAACATTTCAGGATGTAATATTGAGTCTATGGAGTGTGAGATTAAGACAGAACCTCTTGGAAGCCCTGAAAGAGAGGTTGGAGGGGAAATTGAGGCAGGGAAAGGGATTGAGGATGCAGAAGATGTGAAGAAAAAGAAAAGAAAACCTTACAGGCCAGGTATGCCTTTTCCTGATGGAATTAAATATTTCTGTTTTTAGATATTGTTACCATATAAAGGCCATGGACTATAGTGCAGCGCCATCTGTTTGTTAAAGAGTGGTTATCAACATTTCACTGTGTGAAGTGCAGGAAAAATGCTCTGGGATTTTGAATTCATAAGTTTCCCTTTATGTGACAGTTATGTATTTTATTATGTCTCTGTTTTATGTGTTTGTGTTATTCTGAATATATCCGCATAAGTTCAATGTAGCACTGTTGAAGGTTGGTCAAAGTTTGAAAATTATAGAAATTTTCCAGTTCCTTTTGGAACAGTGTTTAAGTGTGGTTCTTTCCAGGAGCCAAGTGACAGCCTAAGGGCCTGTCTTTTGGCCTGCTTCTTGGTGTTTGGGATCAGCTACAGAGTTGTAAAACCCTTGAGCACAAGAGCTAGGCCTCACTGAGTCAAAAAAAAAAATCTTTATTAAGATGGTGCCAGGAGTAGGCAGAATGATCACTACCTGTTGGAGAGGACAGAGCAGGCTGTGAGATTGCTTTCTGTTGGAGAGGACTGATGGGAAGGGGGATCACTTTCAGCCGTAGAAGACTGAAAACCGTGAGATCGCTCTCTGACTGAGTGACCAGGGGAATCGCTTTATGCTTGAGAGGGAAGGAGCGGGCAGAGGGATCGCTCCCTGCCAGAAAGGACGGAGTGGGCAGAGGGATCGCTCCCTGCCAGAAAGATGGCTGGCTCCCTGGTGCTAGAGGAGGGATGGACAACGTAGTGGGACAAGTCCGGAACCCAAGCCAGTCATACCCTGTTCCCGTTCTAGTTCTAAAAAAATTTTTCCTGTGTATCATCAGTTTGTGAAGGATGGTGCTTGTGATAATGTTTATCCCACTTGTATAAACTTTGTATGCCAATGGTCCTCTACAGAAAAATGTTTTGAAACTACCAATTTATTTGTTTTTGTGGTTAACCAAATATTCATTTTTTTAATTAGGTATTGGTGGCTTTATGATAAGACAGCGAAAAACACATACACGCTCAAAGAAAGGAAATGCAGCATTTTTGGAAGCATGTCGAGAGAGCCAGAATCAAGATATTCACGTAGATGATGGTATGATCCTCCTTATTGCAGCCTTTTGATATGTAGTCATATTTGTAAAGCTCAACTGACATTTCTCTGCAAGGGACTGCCGTTGTAGTGGCACTTTGATGGCACTGTCCTTTATTGTTGCTCAGAATATTCAACGGGTAAAAAGGGTGTGCCTATACATGTCCAATATTTGTTGAATTATCGCAATGGCATAAACACCAGCACAATTACCACACAAATATAACTATAAAAGAAAGTTTAATAAACTTGCCAATAATTTATAAAAATGATAATTAAACGTCTATATTCACAAATCTAGATATTATTTGATTTATTTATAGTACAAAGAACAATGACCTTTAATAACGTATCAATCCAGTGGTGTTAAGGAAGAATTATTTAATAGTGTAGTAGATTATTTTCTGCAAACCAATTAGTTTGAATGACTATCTGTTCCTGTCCAAATTAAAGATAATAAAGTTGCGTGCACGCAGAAGTAAATTCACACTGAGACACAGAGTTCAGGTTAATGAAAGAACTTCGGAGAAGTTTAATGGCTTCTGTTTAAAAAGCAGGCTCGCAGGCCCTTTTAAAGGCATTATTACATCATTGAAGAAAATCAAGATATAGACAAATAGACATTGTTAATTGGCTTAGGTGCTAAGTAGTTAGTAAAATGCCCTCCCTACGGGTGTACCATCTTAGGTCACTATCCTCGTCATGATTGTCTCCTCCAGGTTTTAGCGCCATTTTGTCAACATGAGGAGCTCACTCGACGGGAGGGGCCTTTTGGCAGCTATCCATTTAGAGTGTAGCCTGGCACTGTTAGTTTCTCAAGGTTAGGTTTCAAGGCTTTTAGTAAATACACATTTTATCAAAGCTATCATTGTAAGTGGGATGCTACAGTGTTTCACACTACAGGTGCATAATATTTCTTGCTGACATGCAAATTCTATATTCTATAGACAAAGCTTTCTTGTAAAACTATGGGGCCTCTTAGAGGTATAGCAAGAGGATTTAAAGGGGCCTTACAGACTTATAGAGGCCTAATAATTCTACAACAATAGGATTTAGGAGGCTATTTGGAAGAAGACATTTAGTGGGGTTTTTTTGCAGTTAGAAACAGAGATCTGCTTCCACCAGGTTTTAGCCATGTCTATATATTCTCTTAAGTATACAAATTCTCAAGTCCACACTTAACCCACAGTGAATTGACTTCTACTGTTTTAACATAACGGTTAATAATAGTTGCAAATGTTATACATTGCCCCCACCGATCTGGAGATGCTACAGATCTGTAGTATTTCATTAATAGGTTTCTATCTGAATTCACATTTTAGTGGAAGTCGTCTTTTAGACCCAGCAAAGGTTCCTTAGATTTTCTCCTGCTCGGATCTTACTTCCAGACCCTTGTCTTGTGGATCTTTTATGTGATGGTCTCATGATGATTCTTAATCCCTGGTCCCAGTTATGTTTGGGGGAGAATGTAAGTACTGTAACTGCTTCATCTTATTGAAATGGTTATAGTGCCTGGAGTCCCTTCACATATTCAGTGTTAAACCATTTTAATGCTTTAAAGCTAAATGAGAGGTCCCTGCAGCCCATGCCCTCTGTGCTGCTCTGGCTAATGAGGAACATTAACCTGAACAACAATGGGTATCTATGATTAGCTGAGAATGTCAGCAGACAGCTTTCAGCCTATTAAAGTAACAGTCAGATTTGAATGGGTTTGGCTAGAAGGAAGTGTTTAATCACTCCCTTCGCCACACCAGTGGAGACAGAGGTCTATGAAGTCAGGGACCCCCATCCATTTTTAAACTGCTCTAAAACGGTTTCACTGAATGGAGGAACAGTGCTATAGGACTCGATGTACTATAATCCGCTTAATGAGATGAAATGGTTAGTGTCTTAAGTGTCCCTTTGAGAAATGCCTACTGGGCTAGTCTAGATAAAGTGTGCCTATTCTATTGGGATTCTAAACTTAATAACTAGTGTGCTTTATAGACAAACTAAATGCTTACATATGTAGCTGCTTTACCTGTCCATTAGGTGATACTATGGTGCCACGAATCAGCATTAGGTTTTTATAAACATTAGATAAAATTGTGATGTTTAGTCTTTAAAATAAACAAAGAGATTTTATCAATTAAGATTGTCCTCTGTAATTCAGACCTATGCTGGTGAAAATCTACTTTATTGGCCTTCTACCACAAGGTGGTGTATGTTTTTAGTTATTTATTTCAAAACTCCTATCATTTGTCTCTTTTAATCAATAGGCCACCGGTGGTTTTCCATTCATAGATAGTGAATGTTTTTATGGCCTAGAATTTTTTTCTAATAAAATGTATTGGCAATTGTTTCGTTCCACGCCAGCATCTTTTGGCTGCGAAGTTTCTCGGAAGGGTTTCTGTTAATCAACCTTGTGAACTTACTTGATGTCCATTTTCATAAAGCCATGCAAATTGTATTTCAAAAGTTCTGATTCAGTTCATTCCATCGCCCCAATAAACCCCAATGAATGATGCATAGCTATTTCTTATATTGTTATTGAGTTTGGGAAAGATTTGACATCCAGCTTTAACAGTACCAGACACAACGTTGTTTACTTCCCCTAAAAATGTATAACTTTATTTCTCTCCCCCATTCCCCCCATGTCTTCATCCTATGTTTGAGTCTTCCTAACATCGCAAAAATTCAGTTTTACGCCTAGACTTATTAGACATTTAAGCCTGAGACTAATCCCCTCTCTCTCCCCTTTTTTTTCATGCAGCAGCTCCGTCTGAAATTCCCACAGAGGCAGGTGTGGATGCAGGCGCTACAGAGGCAGATGAGAAAAAGAAACGAAGAGGACGAAAAAAAAGCAAACTTGAGGATATGTTCCCAACATATCTCCAGGTAAGACCTTGAAAAAAATGTTTGTTTAATAAAAGCACGAAAGAAACCAATATAGTGGACTTACTTGTTCCTTGGTGGATGTGTTTATTTTTTTGGATAATAATAATAAAAAAAAAATTCAAGCAAACTCATTTTGGCATTAATTATTTGTATTCTTGGAGGAATACTATATAAATGCTAAATATGTATTTTTTTCAAAGGACATTTATAGATCGATAGTAGGCAAGGCTGCCTGAGATAGAGGTCCCTCTTTTTCACACATATTGGTTCCCCCTTGTCTTGCTTGTGAATGTAGTTTTGTCTCAATGTTGGAATGCCCTTATGCATACATGCTGGCATAAACGGTCATTATTTAATTACTTTTTTTGCAGCCATTTTTTTTTCCATATTTTATCATTGATTGTTAGATGGTGTCCAGGAAGCATGTTCCAATTCATTAAGGAAACACAAGCTAAATTGGCTAAAACTGGGATTAAAAACAAAGCCTAAAACCCTGTAGTTTATGTAAAACTTTTAGGATTTAAAACAGGCATGTGTGCTTCTTAAAAGCTTCCAAAGTATTTTGGAGGCCGCAGTTCATCATCTTGGAGATGGCAAGGTCTTTTCTCCTTATCCAAACGAAGCACATTGATTCAAGTTCCACCTCAAGGCCTCAGTTATTATAAACTTTGTTTTATTCCAGCGTTTTAAGTTTAACTTTTCTTTCTTCCACAGGAAGCATTTTTTGGGAAGGATTTGTTGGATCTCACAAAGCAAGCTCTTCTAGCTGCACGGCCGCTGGCCCAGAAAGCAAAGGCTGTGCCGTGTGCACCTTGTCCATCAATAAGTGCTGCTGTAACCACCAACCAAACATCGGTGCAAGCCACAGGTAAGGTGTATTCTAGTTTATCAGAAATGTATAAATGATATAGCTGTATCTTTAATTTACACATACTGATGGTCTGCTGTAATCATTATGAACAAGACTGCCCATTGGAAAGGATGAACAGAGATTAAGTTCTGGGCCCCAGTTAATTTTTTTGTTTGTGTAACCTATCTCTTGGGCGCTATACATGCCAGACACAGGGAGGTTAACTTTGTGCATTGTCTGATTTCTTGCTAATACTGGATTGTAGTGAGAGGTACGTCGAGTAGCACACTGCAAACTTGTCTACCCTCCTCCCCATAATTCAGGAACCTGACATCCCTGTGAGGGAGATGTAGGCAGTCTAATTTTTGTGAACCTATAAATTCCCCCAAAGCTTGTCAAAGGTGTACACGTGGGGTATTTCTGGAGTGGGGAATTGTATGTAATCTATGCATGTACATAGTGGATTTGCAGAAAACCCTTTAAATTGACACACTGTTGCCCACATAAATCCCTTTTTTGTAAATATATCTCGAATAATGACATGAATGCATTTCCTTTTAGATCTTTTGTCTGATTTCCTTTGCAAGCCCTTTACATTTTCCCCAGTAAAGAATTTCTGTTGCTGTTCAAACAACGCCTTCCCAATGCAACTCAATGAAAAGTCTTTGCAAAGCAGGTGCTCTGAGCAATTGCCTGCCTCTTGAGTTTAGCTCCACTGATCTAACCAAACCAGGAAATAACAGGACAGCTTGTCTGACAGTGAGGGGGGTTTAATAAGGTTAATTTTATAAAATTTACCATTTTTGTTAAAATCAGAACTTTTTGTTAAATGGGGGAAAAAAGATACATTCCTCACAAATAAAGCGCTACACTGCTTTAGGTGTGTGCAGTGTCTCTTTAAAGAGAACATTAATTTATGATGTGACAAAAAATATGAAAAAGGGGACAAAAGGAAAACCTCTCAATTGGGAATGCACAGAGGTTCAGAAAAGGCACAATCGTGAAGGGTTACTAAGACACCTGTTCAGTTCATGTAATAAAAGGTAAAATAATATAAGTAACCTAGGATTGGAAGTCACCAGTTCTCAATAGACTATGGAGTCTAATAAAGTGCATCAGACTGTTGAAAAATGCCCATATTTTTATCTTTTTCCAGAAGAGACCGCTGCTACGCCTGCTTCAGCTGCGCCACATGACGAATCCGATGGCAATGAAACGAAAACTGAAAATCCAGGTGTGCAAAGCATGTTTTGAAATAGGGGGAATTACTGTGCCCAAAGTATTTTGATTGTCTTGCGATACTGATGATTTACACTTTACAGATGGTTGTCTTTTGGTTTGCAGTGTGGCAAATATATCCAGTCTTTCTGCCTTATTTCAGATGAGATGTCAACTTAAAGGGACACTATAGGCATCAAAACAACTTTAGCTTTAGCTGAACCACTTTTGGTGTATGGTTCATGTCCCTGCAAAGCTAAATCTGTTTATACAGTCCTAGTCACACCTCCATGAATGTCACTTGCACAGTTTTCCTAAACACATCCCCTAAAGAGAGATCTAATGTTTAAATCTTTTTTTGCACATTCTGTTTAATTTAGAATGTATTATATCCTGCTCTGTTAATAGCTTTCTAGAGTCTACATGAGCCTCCTATTTGTGATTAAAGTTCAATTTACATAGCAGATAAAAGCTTCTAAAGCAAGTTAACATCTGTTCCTAAGTGATTTAAAAAAAAAAAAAAAAAAAATATATATATATATATATATATATATATAATAATATTATGCAGTCTGTTTGAGTCACAGCCAGCGGAAGTGTGGCTCTGGCTTTATAAACAAAATTGATTTAACTCGAATGTCAGAGAATTGAGCGGTGTGATTTATCTACCAAAACTGCTTCATTAAGCTAAAGTTGTTTTAATGTCTATAGCATCTATTAAAATATATTATCATTGTTCATAAATATTTGTAGTAAGCAGTCTTATCTTCTTAAAATAAAATACATTTGCCAAACAATGAAGACAATGACTTTCTCTGAGCATTTTGTTTTCTATAAACTTCTGTTGTTCAAGATTATCAAGAAAGTGTTCAAAATATTTAGTTTTATGTAACTGCAAACGGTAGCCTAAATAATGAAAATCAAGAGCTTTGAATCGGATCTCTCCTCCTTCTCCTTGTGTGCGGCCAAGTGGCAATAGTGATTTACCCTCCCCTTCCCGCAGAGGACACGTCAGAGACTGAGATCATGAATGTTGCTGCTGTTACTTACTCCGCAGAGAGAATTACAGTGATGCACCCAGAAGGAGCCCTCGGCTCGGATCTGGATAAAATCTCCACGGAGGGTTGGTCTCACCCCCACCCCTTTATTATTTTCTTTTTATTTATTTTTTTGATATAAATTTTTTTTAAATTCCAGCCATCCCTTCCTCTTGCACTTTATTTCTGTTTTGTGTTGGATATTCAGCTATAGGTGACTACCCTTCCACATTGGGATGTCTGGAAAATATTGTGATACAGCATCTGATCAATGCCATGTTTGGTATACCCTTGTCTTGATGTGATGCTCACACAGTGAATGGCATGAAATCTCTAATTCAGAAATGTAACACTGCAATGCTGTGTCAGAATACCTTAATCTGTTGTGTTAGTTGTGTTGTCTTTCCTGATTCTTTATTGTAATAATATGCATGTATCCTGGTGCTTACTGGAATTGCAGATTTGAGCAATTTTGTTTACCATCAGTCTGTTCATCACTGTTAAAACTCACTCCTTATCCTGAATACTGCCCAACTGTATGTGTAAGCAGACTAACTTGATAAACGGTTTGTTTGGCTACACCTTCCCTTCCCAGATAGTTGAAGGGGACGCTGAGCAACCTAACTGCTACAGCTTACTGTAGTTATGCTGCCTAGGGACCCCTGACACTGTCCCCGGGTGTAAAATTAAACCATTTAGGATCAATGTCACATTAACCTGGATCTTGTCAGTGCACACAAACTGCCCTTGCCTCAGATGAGTTAATACTTCAATATTGTCAATTGATTATAATCTAGACTGCATTGATTTGACTCAGTGCTGGGCTGACTCTCTGTTAACTCTGTGCAATTTATCTAGCCAAGCGGGGACAACAAAGACAGTCTATATAATTTCACTCTTTTTTTTAAAAATACTTTTACATTAAACCAGGGGACCTTAGGAAGCAAGCTGTAATGTTGTTTAGAGTGCACTGTTTGTAATAGTTTTAATTTGTATTCTGTGTTTAGCCGTCTTTAAAGCTGCATCTAGAATGAATTATGCTATTTGATTTGAATCACAATCCAACCGGTTTAAACAGCATATGGCTTGGATCATATTTTATATTTCTAAAACTGTACACTTGGCGCCGTTTAACTTTACTAACCAATTGTGATTTAAAAAAACGTGCACCTATATTTCAAGAGATTTCTAGCTGTAAGCTGGTGTTCCATCTTCTTGACTAATTTAGCCTTCTTAAAACTGAACCCAGAAAGGGATCTTGGTGCTGAGAGAGTTCCTTGGGTTAACAAATCGAGAAGATTTAACCTTAGATAACATTTGATATAAAATGAAGTACCTACATCTAATAGTAAGTGTAGTTATGGAAGATCTTTCTTCCTGTCAGACTCCATTTTAGCAGATCTTTGTGGAATCCAATGTAAAGTACCTAAAATGTTTCCTTTCATAGTGCTGCTAGACTTTTTAATATATTTTTCTTCTGTTATAGTTACCCTCTTCTTAATTCTGTGAAATAAATATGTACACCATTTAATTTGAAAGCTATCCCTTGTACTTCACTAACTGTTTATAGACTATTGGTGCCATCATGGCTTATTTCAATTGTATGAGGTTATTTTATTTTTGTTGAGTGTTTTTTATTTTTTTTTCTCTGATGGGAGTAATAGCTTCTGTAGATTGACAATGCAGATGCAGTATGAGCTGTGCTTTTTTTATTTTTATTTTTTTTTTTAACTGTAATATTAATTTTGTATGCCTTGTGTGTCTTACCTATTACCTTACATGCCAGCCTAAATGCTACATAGGTACACCTCCTCTAACAGCACTTTTTTAATTTTTTTTGTGATCTGAAGAGATGCCTAAAATGGAGAGTAATGACATACAGCAACTTCTGAAGGATGTTCTAGGACCCCCAGATAGTGAGCAGACTGTTAACAGTTCTGCGGGAAGGACTGAGGGGCCATCTATTCCTGCAGCTGTTAACCAGCCTCAGCAGCAAAGACCTTTCCTTCAAGGTATGACAGAGTTGACAGTTTGAGTAAACTAGATGGCAGTTCTTTAAGATGTGTCCTGTAGCAAAAACTGGGGAGGTGCTATATATTAAAAAGTATGGGAAACGTTGTGGATAATACATTTTTCTGTTTAGTCTAGTCAGTGCAAATCCACATAAACCTTTTGTTTGATGTATTAGATTTGTTCTTGCTTATATGGGAGAATTGATATATTAAATGTTGATTTTATTATTTTTATATGCTTATTAATTTTTATATAAAGTCTTCATAAACTTGAGAACAACTCTTGGGGTACAGAAATTAAACAGGAGGGTCTGTCAACAATCACAGTAAATCGTTAGATTGTAGGTTTGTCCATGAGAGAACTGCTTATGAATATTTGTAATTATGGTATTGTTCCTATATATCCCTTTAGTGTGTCCTCCTATGACTGTGGAAATTTAAACCACAGCCGCTCTCTTTTGATCAGGATAAATGGTTCCTGTCTTTTAACAGGAGGAAATTGCTTAATGACTATTGTGATTTGAAATTCCCGATGAGAACGCTTGCTTCATTTTACCCAACCCACTGCTTCTCTTATAGGGCTTTTTAAAAAAAGCCACAAACGAAAATATATCAATATACTGCTCCTAATGAGTGTGCTGTTTTTCAGGTGTGTCAATGGCTGCTCCTCTTCACCTTGATTCATTTTCCCAGCCAGGATTCATAGAGAACAGGTGTGTATGGATTTCATCCTGTCCCTTAAAAAAAAAAAAGCCATTATTATCCATTTATTCTCAGTAGGTTAACTTTAGGTTAACATTACAAGTCTGGCAAGCATCCCAGTTTAGTTAGGTCCAGAAATATTTGGATACTGACACAAGTTTCGTTATTTATTTTGGCTGTTTGCTGTTACATCATGAATATGGGCTTAAAGTGCTGTCTCTCCGCTTTAATTTGAGGTTATGCACATCCAAATTGGAGGAAGGGTTTAGCAATTACAGCTCTTTAATATGTAGCCCCCTCTTTTCTAGGGACCAAAAGTAATTGTACAATTGACTCAAAAGATGTTTCATGGATTGGTATGGGCTATTCCTTCGTTATTTCTTAAACAGTTAAGCAGGTTAACAGTCTGGTTGATTCCAGGTGTGACATTTGGAAGCTGTTGCTGTGCACCGGCTACATGCGGTCGAAGGAGCCCTCAATGCAAATGAAATCAACAAGCCTTAGGCTGCAAAAATAAAAAAATCAATCAAAGATAGCAGGAACATTTGGAGTGGCCAAATCAAAAGCTTAGTACATTCTGAGAATGAAACGAAAACCAAAATGTACCAGAATGATGTGAACTAAAAAGCATGGAGAAGGCTTGGAACAGCTAATGAGCCAAAGCATACCACATCATCTGTAAAACACAGTGGAGACTTGCATGGCTTTCAATGGCACTGGGTCACTCTTGTTTATTGATGATTTGACAGAAGCAGACTGTTGAATTCTGAAGTGTTTTGGGATATATTGTCTGCTCAGATTTAGCCAAAATCAGCTGATTAGACGGCGCTTCACTTTACAGATGGTTAATGACCCAAGACATACTACGAAAGCAACCAAGGAGCTTTTAAGCCAAAGAAGTGGAATACTCTGCAATGACTGAGTCAATTACCTGATCTTAACCCAATCGAGCATGCACTTCACTTGCTGAATACAAAGCTTAAAGGAACACAAATGTGTATTCCTGACCCTGCAGTGTTAAAGCTACCATATAGGTGCCTTATTCCTCTTAAAAGGTAAGAAAACTTACCTTCTTTCCAGTGCTGTGCAGGTCAGACAGCCCTGCCCCTGATCTCCCTCCTTGACTGACATACAAATTGATAATCTCAGCCAATCCAATGCGTTCCCTTAGGAAAAGTATTGGATAGACGGAGATCGTCAAGGAGACGGGCGGGGCTAAATGCCAGCCTGGCCAATCAGCGTTTCTATGCGGAAAGTTCAGCGTCTCCACCCAGGAAGCAGCTGCAGTGGCCAGTAGAGGTGTAATCACTGAAAAGACAGTGTTTACATTAAAAAGTCTGCAGGGACATGCTAAACTCATTTTTTATTTTTAAATTCTTTATTTTTTAATTTTCATGATTTTTTTAATTTTTTTTTTTTTTCCAGATGTGAGGGTAACATAAAAAAAAGGAAGGGTAACTGTATGGGTTAACAAGAGTACAATTTCTGGCATTTCACAATTACAATTGTAATTATAGTGACTTGCATTATGAAGTCTCATTGACTATACTCCTTATAACTACATTAAGCTTCAGTTGTTCTGATGACTATAGTGTCCCTTTAAGGCAGAAAGACCCACAAACAAACAAACCACTGAAGACAGCTGCTGTAAAGGCCTGGCCAAGCATCACAAAGGAGGAAACCCAGTGTTTGGTGATGTCCATGTGTCCAAGACTTCATGCGGTCATTGCCTGCAAGGGAATAAAAACTAACATTTTATTTATGATTGTGTTAATTTTTAAATTACATTTGAGCACCTGAAATAAGGGACTGTATATATGTATATGAAAATGGTTGCAACTCTTAAATATTTTATTACAATATTTTTGGGCAACCCCTTGAATTAAAGCTGACAGTCTGGACTTAAATTCCATCTTTGTTTCATTTCAAATCCATCGTGGTGCGTAGAGAGCCAAAATGAAGCTTCCGTTACTGAGGCTCTAATAGCAATGTCACATTATCCAGTGAAGCTAGGATTACTTGTACAATGTTTTTTTTTGTTTTTTACCTTTATTTTTGTTGTGCGCTCATCATAAATCAGCATGCAATGACATTGCATTTGTTTCAAACAGAATATAGAGGAACAGCAGTGTCAGTCATAATAAGCAGCACTTTTTACAGTAATAATAAATGTGTTTATAGAAATGCTGGAACGTTAACCTAGGGTGATAAACAAAAAAGGTCAAAGCGGTGTTAATGCTACCATTGTGAGTAGTGTTGCGTTGGATGTTGCTATATCAGTGCGGTTGAGGCCTTTGGGGGCGTGGGTTGATTGCCAACGTTAAATGGAGAAGGTAATCCAGTAGCTCTTTGTAGAGTATAGAATGTGTGGCTGAGGGAAAAAAAGGAATTAAGAATAAATTTTTAAGCGTTCTTGCGACCGTGATCATAAATGTGAGCTGCGCCAAAGCATAGGGACATATGTGCCTAATGCAGTGTGCGTGGTCTTCATGGCGGGCTGCTTAATGCCCACAGTTGTGGACTGAGTAGTATGTTTTTATAAACTTACCATGGGTCTCTCATATACCCCAGATCAGTGGGAAGCAACACTAGGTCTTTACCCTGCATCATAAATTAAACCATGGGGATAATGTGTCAATGAGACAGCCACTAGAGGCTGGATTAACCCTATTGTAAACATAGCAGTTTCTCTGAAACTGCTGTGATTACAGCAGAAAAGGTTAATCCTAGGTGGACCTGGCACCCAGACCACTTCATTAAGCTGAAGTGGTCTGGGTGCCTATAGTGGTCCTTTAAGGTTTTTGTTTAGAATTAAAATCAGATATTTACATACTGCATAATTGGTTGTTCAGACTTGTTTTTGTTCTAACTAGTCCATTGTTGTAATTTTTTTTTTTTTTTTTTTTTTAGAGACCGGACTGGATTATTCAGTCCAGAGCATTGCGACACTGACAGCTCCTGGACGACCGCTTCTACGCCCACTACACCAACAGAAGGGGAATCGGAAGGTCTGTCCTACAATCAGCGTAGCCTACAACGTTGGGAGAAAGATGAAGAGTTAGGGGAGCTTTCTACAATATCACCCGTCCTCTATGCTAATAAAAACTTCCCAAACCTCAAGCTGGAATACCCAGGTGAGTAGTACACTCAGTCCAATGAAAGATGAATTTTACTGGAGTTTTTGGTCTAGGTTAGAATAGCCATACATGTTTTGAAGCATATCAGTATACTCTTTTAAAATTATTAAGATTAGGGTTGCTGAACTGGTGGTGTTGAATTTTGCTTCTCCTGTAACTATCACACTGTGTCTTTGCTCCATGCTAGATTGGTCCAACCGGTGCAAGCAAATCATGAAGTTATGGAGAAAAGTCCCAGCCCCAGACAAAGCTCCATATTTAGTAAGTCTTCCATAAGTTCTAACTGGACAATGCTTTGGTTAATAAATCCTATATTTCATATAGGCACAAGTAAATAAAGTGTACACAAACAGAAAAAATCACTACATGCTCTAAAACACAAACCAAAAAAGTGTTCCCTTTAAGAAACTCAGAATATAATAGAAACAGAAAAAAGACCAAAAAGGGCAAAACCCTATATTGAAAACCACCAAATAAAGTGATTTTAATAAAGGTTATATACAACCTGGTAAAATAATCACAAGATATTCTGCAAATAAATAAAAAATATATGGTGCAGGATGTTAAGTATAAATGTCAGGGTGGGGGTGGTAGAGAATACACTAGAAATTAGGGGTAGGCAACCTTCGGCACTTCAGAAGCTGTGGACTACATCTCCCACAATGCTCTTACAGCCATAATGCTGGCAAAGCATCATGGGAAGGGTAGTCCAAAACAGCTGTAGTGCCAAAGGTTGCCCATCCCTGCACTAGATAGATGTATAATCAGGCATGTCTCCATTTCAAATAGGTTCAGGATGTTTAGATAGATGGTCTTCAGAGGAATCCTCTTGATAGCCGAGGATATTAAAAAAGAGAGCATATAGTGCAGATTGTATTAACCCCTTAGTGAACAGACCACTTCAATTTTCTTACCGTTTGGGACCAGGGCTGTCTTTACATTTCTGCGGTGTTTGCGTTTTCTCTTACTCATTTACTGTACCCACACATATTATATACCGTTTTTCTAGCCATTAAATGGTCTCCATTAAATGGTCTAAAGATACCATTATTTTCATCTCATATACCGTATATACTAGAGTAGAAGTCGAGTTTTTCAGCACATTTTTTTTTGTGCTGAAAAACCCCCACTCGACTTATACTCGAGTCACTGTCTGTATTATGGGGGGGGGAGACTGTCTGGGCTGTTCAGCGTTCTAATTCCCAGCAGACGTATCGGGTATGTCCGCTGTCCTCAGGGACAGTTTTTTGTCGGATGTACCTGATATTTCAGAGGTCGGGATGGGGTTAAAAATGAGATTTGTTGCACAATATTGCATTTACAAGATAGCAGATAAAATCAAGCGGGCGTGGTAGCCAGGCTTCAGCAGATAGCAGGAAGCTCTGGAGGTTAATATGCAGGGTGGCAGATTCCAAATAAAACAAAAGTAAAATAAAGCAATTAAAATAAAAGCAAAGTAAAGATGTCCTACGCGTTTCGTCCGTTAGGACTTCTTCAGTGATCGATGTAGGTGTTCTAAGAGACTCTTTTTATATACCAGTAGGTATTGAGAATGATAATCGGCAGCTGGAACCTTTCTTGGTAGTTTTTGCCCTTTTTTTTTTTTTTTTTTTGCGGTTTCACAAGTAAATAAAGCAAATCCATATATTACAGAAACAGCCATTAGGGCAGTACAAAACAGAGCAAAATGCACAAACTAGAGCACAAAATGAAGAACCTCATGGATATATGCTGGTAGCAGCAATTTGATCGTGTGTGTGTATTTTTATTTTTAATTTTTTAATTAAATGAAACCTATAAAAGAGTTTTTTTATATTGGGGAAATATGATGTTTTGATATTATCTGGATGCTGCTGATTTTATTCTAAATCGATCGCTGTTTTGCGATGGACTCTACTGTAAGGAATCCCAGTCGGTGAATGCATGGACTCTGAGGTATATTAAGTGGAAATATGGTAGTAATCAAGTGAAGTTGAAAAATCTTGCTATGGACAGTGAAGTGGATTTTGTGTTTTACTGTGATGCATTGGCAGCAAATATTAGTGGACTGCCATTTAAACCATAAATTATAAAGTGTAGACATGTTCATTTTAAGGGTTTGATCTAGCTGAAATGGAACTTAGAAATGGTTCCTCAATTGTCCTCTCTGAAGCCCACCTTCTTTTGGAAAAGCTGTAGAAGTATTATTAACGTCTGTATATGTGTTTATACTATTCTACAGCAAAAAGCCAAAGACAACCGTGCAGCACATCGTATTAATAAAGTTCAGAAGGTAAGACCTTAAATTTCACAAATATTCACAATTTAAACAAAATAAAATAGCATTTTGAAATGTTGACATGCAAACTCTTTCATAATGATGTACAAAGTTGTTATATTCTGTATCACTAATTATGCTGTCTTTATAAAGAGGGTTTTTTTTTATTTTTTATTTTTTTACATAACCTTCCGTTTGTTAAAATGTATTTCTATCTGTGAAATAATTTTTCTTGTTTAAATACTGTAGGGATACTCAAAGCACCAGACCAACCTTGCCCCTGCAACCTCACTGGTAAATTCTCTCCCTTTTGTTTGTTTATGCAGTTGTAGCCACACCTCCCCGGCTGTGACTCACACAGCCAGTATTAATTATATATTTTCTTTTTTAAATTTTCAAATGCATCTTACAGTACAGTATGTTTATTTTGGAAGTTCTTATCTCCTGCTCTGCCTTAACCGAACATTAATCACACACAGCAGGCACCTGCAGGCAAATACGAGAGCAGGAGATTAGAAATTCTAAATTAATTACAGGGAATCTAAACAATTTATCCTTTTTGAAGGAATTGTGTAGGTAGGCTATGTGAGTCACAGCCAGGGAACGCGATTTAACTCTTAAGTGGATTGAGAATTGGGCAGTAAGACTGCATGGGCATTATCTATACCCTAAAACCACTTCATTACGATAAAACTTGTTTTAGTGGTTAGTGTCCCTTTAAGTATGTTTCTTTTAAAGGAACCCTAATAGCAAAAATAGCTATAATTCTGTTTAGTGTTCTTGAGGCTCTCTAGTCCAGCCCAATGCTTCTAGCATTGGCAAAGGTAAACAGTTTCTCACAAATGGCAAAGTTTACAAGAATTAAACTGAAGAAACAAATTCTTTACATCAAAACCACTACATTAATATGTAGTCCTCCATGGTTCTTTAAATGTGTGCTTACATTCTCCAAAAATAAGTCCATGTATTTGTTTATTAACTCATTAGAAATCATATCACCGTTTACAAAGTCATATTCCCAAATGTTGCGTTTAAAACCATAAACCTATTACTTTTATTTATTTTTTATTTTTTTAGCAAGTTTCAGAATATTAAATGTCAGACATATATACTGCGGACTTAAAAAGGGACACTAGTCGCCAAAACAACTTTAGCTTAATGAAACAGTTTTGGTGTATAGATCATAGCCCTGCAGTCTCACTGCTTTAATTTTCTGCCATTTTGGAGTAAAATCTTTTTTTATTCATGCAGGTTGTCAGTCGCTGCCAGGGAAAGTGTGGCTAAGGCTGCATTAAACCAAACAAGTTATTTAACTATTAAATGGCAGAGAAATGAGCAGTGGAACTGCAGGGGCATGATATATATATACGCCAAAAGTGCTGTTAGTCTAAAGTTGTTTTGGTGACTATAGTGTCCCTTTAAATTCCACAAGCCTATTTCGTTTGAAACAAACACACACATCATGCCGACATTGGACAATCCATGAAACACATACATTACAAACTTGCTTCGTACCCTACATTTACATGCATTGAGCTTCCCCACACACCTTCCTTCTATCTGTGGAGTGCTGATAATAGATGCAACTGTGCTTTGACTATGCATTATTATTACATAGATTACACACTGAAACAAACTATCATTACCATTATCGAGCAAAGTAAGTGCCTAGAGTGTTTTATTTAAACAAAAACACACTTTCTAATCTCTACAGAAAGCAATAAATTTGAGTAAAACCAAACCGATTTAATTCTGGGGTGTTTATTCTGATTTCATGTTGTTGCAAACACTGTCCTCAGCCTGTTTTTCCTTTTTGTATTTGATGTTTTCTTGCTGTCTGCTCAGTAATTTGTTTATGCAATCTGTTTTACTTGTACAGCAGGCAGAAAGTCAAATCAACAAGCAGTCCAAAGTTGAGGCTGTGCGGAAAGCAGAACGTCCAGTTCTTCAGCTTCAGATTCCGGGACCGTCAGGCTCTCATCATGTTGGCCCTCCTGATTTTAGAGCTGGTGTTCCTTCAGGACAGGAACTATTTATGTCTAGTGGCTCTGGGATGTCTTCTTCCTCTGACATGTTTCTTAAACCCACATCAGCTGGCACTCCGGGAGCAGAATCTCCCAGTGACATTTTCTTCAAACTCCCTCCCCAATCTCCATCTCAGGAGCCTTTCTCCAACTCTCCCGCTTACTCTTTAGATGCCAGATATACGTCTTCCTTGGGACAGTCTCCAGCTTCTAGTGGTAGCTTCCAGACTCTTTCTGGATCAGAGAACCAACCTGCACGGAATGCACAGCATTCAGCTCAAACTGATTACCAGTCATGTCATCCAGCTACCCCACATCATCAGCCACTCACCCCAGAACCTTTTATGAAACCACGCTATCCTACTGGCTCTATTGATAACCTTTCATTGGTTGGAAGTCCAGGCCCAAGGTTGTGCCAATCTGAGAGTGCAAGTTCTAGCAAACCTACTGAGCCCATGCTATCACCTTCACGTTATGGGGATCACAAGAGACAATCAGATGGCATTCTCCTTCAAATCAAGAAGGAAGATGTTGGACTTGGTTCACCAGGCTTTCCACACAGCGTTGGGTCATCTGATGGGACAGAGACTAAATGTGATGTATTCAAAGCACCTTTAACCCCCAGGATGTCCCAGATAGAGCCCCACAGTCCCGCACCCTTGCACAGAGATTCTCATATGCAGGCACAAGTGACATCACCTCAACACCATTCAGACATTTACAGGCCACCATCTGCTGCCCCTTTCACAGACCCCTATTCCCAGCCACCTCTAACTCCACGTCCTCAGTCAGTTGAAGGAAGCTGCAACTTGACCCCCCGATCTGTGACATCGGATCCCTTCACTCGTGTTCCCACAAGCCCCCAGTCGCAGGCCAGCTCACAGTCTCCACTAACACCTAGGCCATTGTCTGCTGAGGCATTTTGCCAGTCCCCAGTCACTCCTCGATTTCAGTCTCCAGATCCATACTCCCGTCCACCTTCTCGCCCTCACTCACGGGATCCTTTTGCCCCACCTCATAAACCTCCTCGTGCCCAGGTGTCAGAACAAGGCTTTAAACCTGCTTCCCAACTTTCGCACACCTCTCCTGCCAGTTCAAGTTATCAACCGCCACTTGAAAACCACCCCAAAATTCAAGTAAACCAACAGCAGAATTCCTTATTTGCTCGGTCTCCTGGTGCCAGTGTATATCCAAACTCCCAAAGCCAGCTATGTTTCACTTTCCCTCATTCCCCTGATAGTGTAAAGAGTTCTCCCTCTCACCAAGCTAGCTTCCCTCCCTCCCATTCTGTTAACAGTCATTTCACCTCTGGCAAACCACAAAGTTATACATCTCCTGGCAGCAACCCTTCTTCTTTCCATCAGTCTGGAAGCCCACATTCGACCGGAAATAGTAGCACTCCTGATGTGTATGCACAGTCTCCCATGCGACCTCCGTCTGTACTGCCTCAAGAAGCACCCTTCCAACCTCCTACTGGCCAGAGGCCAGGCCTGAACTCTCCTGCAGAAAAGCAAAGGGATGATATGGCTGGGGTTCCCAATGCCCTAGGCACCCCGGTTCGAGAAGTTCCGGAGTTGCAAGGCACACCTGAAACTGCGCTAAGTAACTTGAGTCAGACTGAGCTAGAGAAACAAAGACAGGTACATACATATGCATCCATTCTATTCCCTAGTCTTAAAAATAACTTTATAGTATACCATATGCATTAACGTTCTAAATATCATTCATACATCCAAAATTTTATTCATTTTCAAAATACTGACTTTAGTTTTATAGGGAGTTAATGCAGACTGCACGTAAGCCATATTCCTCTGGCTAGATGTCTGCACAAAACTTTGTTAAGAAGAAAGGGATGAAGAAAAGTTAGACCCACATCTGTTTATTCTGCATGCATGCTTTACTCCTTATGTCACAGTAAAGTTTGTAGGATGGCTGTAACTCAGGACATTGGTACAGGAGTCTACATACCAAAGAAATAACTCTTTTATAGAATTGGCACTGTGAGAATGCAGCTGGCATAAAATAGCTTTGCCGTCTACCACAAACCTCCAATGCTGGTTGGTTGGGGCACTTGCCGAGGCGGATTAACCCTAGGTGGAAGCCACTGAACCGCAGCATAGATTTCAGATATAAAATCAGCAAAAATGCATATGTTTTATGTTGCTATGGTGTTAGCATTGTCATTTTTTTTCTTTTCTTTTCTTGAAATATTTGTCTAATTTAACCTGTGCGTTTAATCTTAGCGTCAGAGACTGCGTGAACTGCTCATCAGACAGCAGATACAGAGAAACACTTTAAGGCAGGAAAAAGAGGCAGCTGCCGCTGCACTGAGTTCATCACATGCAGGGTGGAATGCAGATTCTAGTGGACAAGGCTACGATCCTACTGGACGCATTTTGATGTACCCTCCCACACCGGTTTGTATGAATCTTACTATATATTAGTAACTAGGGGAATTTGTGCATTTTTTTATACAAAGATCAAATAAGCTCTTCAGTTATATTTTTATCCAGTATGGATACAAATGTTGTTGCAATGTATGTATCAATTAATTTTTCCTTAAAATGTTATTTATGTATGAAATATTATTACTTTTGTTGCCAACAAATGGGGAACTTCCTCTCGTGATCCCGATTTTTGCCTTGTATGCCCTGTAGGAGAAAACAAATATTGGAACAATTCCTGCCTCCACCAATACAGCTGCTGGTAAGGTTACTGGACAAAGTGTAACCCCTTCGTCTTTCCCTCCGGAAGACCGGGTGAACACACCTCTTCCTACGCCGTCTCCTGGAGCTGTGGACATTCCTGGACGGTACGTTGGCTGAATGTTTATTCTGTTATGGGTTCTCTTGTGAAGTCATTGAGTTGTGATTAAAAGTAATATATATACAGATTTTGCTGTACCTTGTAATTTCATCACTATTCTTGGCAGCTTGCATGTATAAAAACTGCTCAATACTAATTGGATTTGGAATTTTTAGAAGTATGTGTTCTATAGAGCATACCCAATTAAATGTGCTAGTCATACTTCATTTATGAGAATTGTTGCAGAATCTTGGAGATAAACCTAATTTACCATTGATATTTATGCATATGTGTAGGCATATATAATATATTTATACACATGCATACATAAGCTTCATTGGTAAAGGTTAAATACCACACAACTTTGGCAGGTATGTGACTGGGACAGGACTTGCTTCATTGTTGATGCCCAAAATGGAAAGGGTGTGTTTCCAACAGGGTACTAATAGTCTTCCAGCCAGTCCCACCCAGGGCACACTGTGCATAGAGTGCTGCTGAAGCACTCTTTGCATGGTGCTAGTTCTATCAGCACAGGACAAGCAAATGGGCTCCACCAGGCGGCACTACACATCTACTCTGCACTGCAAGCTCTCTTTGTTTAGCTAAGAATTAGCTCAACCTTGGGAGCATCTGACGGAGCGGAAATGTGGAATTGTGACACTGGAATAATTTGACTTTCCATTATGGGGCACCAGGACACTCGTGGCACCATAACCACTATAACATACTGTGCTAATTATGGTGTTACTAGTTTTCATTCAATCTAGTGTAAAGTACCTTTTGTTCTACCTTTTTCTTTCTACTTCACATCACTCTATCCATGTGACTTCTGCTTGGCTTTCTCTTGTTTACTAATAATCTAGCCTTTTGTTCTCTGGAGTAAACTTAATGTTATGGGTTTGTATATAACATACAACTTACTGGGTTTTTGTTTTTGTTTTTTACACAGACACTCCACCGAAGGGTCTCAATCGTTTTATTCAAGGGGATCGTTTCCTGATCAGCAACAGGTCTGGCAACCTCCTGTAGCACCACACAGGACTTTAACACCTAATCGCTTCCAGGAGGTGAACCGACAGTTATTAACATCGGTTAATAGTGGTGGAATGATGCGATTACCTTTTCCTGCAGATCAGGTCACAACTTCAGTTACAGTGGGAGGCGCACCATATATAGAATTGCGCCACCATGGACAAAAACTACCTTTGGGGCCTGCGTTTTCTCCTCCTGGTTCTCAAAGTCGACCTCGCTTCTATTTACCAGGTGATATAGGCAACACTTCTCTTCTTCCGGGAGTTATGAGAGGTGATGTTAATCCCTTACAAGTTCCAGTTATGAGAAGTCAACTTTTGCAGACCCCCAAAATTTCACCTTCTACTTCCCTTCAAACAGGAAACATGGTAAGTGTCCTGCAGACCACTCAAACCAAAATTTCCAATGTCACTGGAATGCCACAACAGCAAGAACCTGCCACACATCCTTCAACACAAAATACAGCTCAAGCAGAAGGCTCAAAGGAAACATCTGCACCTGTTCTAGAGCGTGGACGAGTTTCTTGTGATGATCCCTCGGAACTGGATGTTGATTTTGTCACTCATAAAGACTTGGAGGATGATGACTTGGCAAATTTGAGTCTTGATGTGGCTAAAGCAGACGATGATTTAGGCAATCTAGATAACCTGGAGACAAATGATCCCCACTTAGATGATCTCTTAAATGGGGATGAGTTTGACCTATTAGCATATACTGATCCCGAGTTGGATACAGGGGATAAAAAGGACATTTTCAATGAGCATTTGCGACTGGTTGAGTCTGCCAATGAAAAAGCAGAAGAGGAAGCAATGCTGAAGATGGACCCTGATGTTGATGCTGATGGTGACGCAAAAACAGACTGCCCTCCTAAAAAAATGCAAAAGGAGTCACCAACTAGTGCAAATATGGAGATTACCAAAGAGAAACTAGTAAGCGAGTTGGGTTTGGGCACTCACTCTTTCAGTACAGCTGAGAAAGCACCCCTACTTAATCCTGCAATGGAAACAAAGCACTCTCCCTTTTCAGGTGATTTAAAACCAAAGCTAGAAGATGGAGGCCTCAAGACAAGCACCTGCCAGTTTTCCACTAGCAATTCAATATCTATTAAAACTGAAAAATCTTTGCTTGGAGCTAGCATGCTAAAGACTGGAACTGGCCATCAGGTTCTTGGTGCAAATTCTGCCCATTCATCACATTTGAGGGGATCCCTGTTTCAAAGTAAGGAATCTAGTATAACTTCTGTAATTACCCATCAGGGTGGCCTAATGCTTGGAAAGTTTGAGTTGGATGAAGGAACTCTGGCTCTACAAGGTCCTCGCCATTCACCCAGTGATGATTTGGATAAGATGGAAAGTTCACTTGTAGCTAGTGAGCTGCCACTACTTATAGAAGATCTATTAGAACATGAAAAAAATGAACAGCAGAAAAAACAGCTGATGTCAGGACAGCACTCAGAGGGTGTACAGCAGCTTCCAATGATAACTCATTCTTCAATGTCAACTCAGCAGCAGGGAGCCCACATTCAACAGCCTCCAGATAGCCAACAAGCTGGGCTTGTGGGACTTGGACTAGTATCTAGACACCAAGGATTGAGTTCCACGGCCCAGCTCCTAACACCACAGCAAGAGATGCAGCAAAGGCTTCTTGGAGCACAAACAAGCTCTACCCTAGATGCAACCCTCGGTGGAGCTCCAGGTCACTTGATAAGTGGTCAGAACATGGTACTGAATACTGGTCCTTCACAACAGGTCCTCCCTGCTAAATCGGCAATAGGGCAGCAGATTGGAATTAAACCACAGTCACTAGTTGTGCAGCAGCAGCCTTTGCCAAGCAGCCTTTTCCCTGATACAGGTAAAATTTTATTTTTTATTTATTTATTGCAAAATATTTACAAATTTGAATATATTCTTTAAAACCTAGCAAACCTGCATGAGCAAAGTAAACACAGAATACCTATTAAAAAAATGAATAAATGAAAATCTTATTTAAGATGCTATTTAGCCATACATAATCTTCAAATGTTTACGCTTTCCACTGGGTGCTGCCATAGAAGCAAATGTCATTGTCAGAGGGGGTATTTGCAAAGACCCCTTGAGTGACTGTACAATATGAACAATACAATTCCCAGTTAAACTGTAAGAGTACTGTATAGTTAATGGCAGTCCATTTACTTTGTTTTTAACATGATCAGACTGTTTTTAATGCTTTATCTCATTACACAGTGCTATCGCTATGTGAATTTCTATTTAGAAAATACTTGGACACTAGTCTCACTTGAGTACACCATAGAACATTGAAACGTTTAATTTATATGGACTTGTTTGTTCAGTATATTATCCTATGACCAGCTGGTATGAATTTTTTACTCAATTCTCATAGGAACCACTACTACTTCCTGGACTATGTACAGCTCTTACTTTACAGCTTTGAAGAGTAGTTTAACTGCAGAATTCCCATATTTACACATTCACATAATTTAATGTTATTTCTGATGAGATGAGATTTGTTTGAGGATATTGTAATTTATTTGTGAACTGTTCAACTTAGATGTGTTTTTTTTGTTTTTGTTTTTTTATATATACTTTGTAAGGAGCCATTTTATTAACTCATATTTCAGTAAAGTGTGTGATCAGCTGCTTCTATAAATGCTGTTTTTTACAGAGTTTTTTTACTACAAAAAGCCATTTTTAAACAATTGCTTTTATTTTCTTACAGATCTTGATAAATTTGCACCTGATGATATCTTGGATCCCATTGCTAAGGCCAAGATGGTTGCTCTGAAGGGGATAAAGAAGGTGATGGCTCAAGGTACTATTGGAGTCACACCTGGCATTAACAGGTATGCAGACATTGATTTATCTTTTCTTTGAGTTTAAATGTTACATGGCTTAGGATGTATAATTAAACCCTTCTCGGCCAACTAAACACAGAGTATGTTGTACAAATTACATACTGTAAATAAATTGGAAGTTTGTCTTTTGAACTGGCACTCTTTTTAAAAAAATAAATTTTTTTTATCTGTCACATGTGACATAGCCTGGAAATAGACTTCCTTTGCAGTACAAGCAATGCTGGGTGCCCATAACAATAATGTGAATGGTTCCAGTAAATCAACCAGCATTTCTGTAATTTGACCCTTATTAAATTTCAAACATCTGAGAGAGGTTTCTATGGGGGCTATTGCTGTACTCGACTGCAGTAGGACAAGACAAATTAAAGTTCCTTAAAGTAGTGGGAATTACATGGCTTGTGAAATCAACCTTAAAAATGAAACGTGTGGGGGGTGGGGGGGAGAGACAAACGATTGCAATATAACAAGCAGATTTTGTTGGGTAAGTGATGAAATTTTAAAAATGGACATCTGTTAGAGGGGCTTCTGCAGAAATGTCAGAGTAAAACTATTTGTATCAGACGCTTTCCTATGGGAAAACATTGGATTGGCTGAAATCATCAATATCTATTATCTCAGCCAAGGAGGTTGGGCCAGTTACAAAGATGTTTGTGTTCTTAACGCTATAGTGTTCCTTTAGAGAAACTCCTTCTTTGCCTAGTGTCTGTAATTTTTCTATAGACCACAACACTGGTTATTCAGAGCTACAGCGTGTCTAACTTCCACCTTCTCAATGAGCTATTCTACAGCTCATTCAGAAGCATAGGGGAGTCGCGATCATGTGCGTGCTCTGGCAGTTTGATCGCAGTGGTTTCTCCAGGAGACATCTCTAGTGTAAGTCAGTGCTGGGGAAAAAGTGAACAGCTTCCAAAAGATGCAGACAGATCATCTATATTTTCACATATACCTCTTAAAGAAAAACCTTGTTTGTTTTTGTTTTTGGAGAGTATCCTTTTAAAGTTAGTCTCCGTTTGTCAGATTTTGAAAAGTATAGTTTAAAAAAAAAAAAAAAAAACATATTTCACTCCTTATGTTCCAAAAATGAATTAAAATCCTTGCCATATTGGACATTTTAATAATCAGGACTAATAAGTGAATTTATTTTGAGTAATTTTTCTTTTTCTGTACTAGCTATATAGAACTATGAACAAAACTGTGGTAAAATGTGCTGTTGTGTTTTTGTATTTTTTTGTCTTAATTAGTGTTGTAGTGAGTGATAAGTTATGAAACAGAATCTTTTGGTCGTGAATCGGTAAAATGTGATTGTAAGGCTCCTTTTAATGTTAACAATTATACTAGTTTTAAATCTGAGTTTTGTGTTTCTAAAGACAACAGGTATCTCTTCTTGCTCAAAGGCTAGGGGTTCCAGGAGTAACAGAGCCCAGCAGTCAAACACCGTCTGGTGCTGCCCAGGTATGTAGTTTGTCTTATCAAAAGACAACAAACTTCCAAGAGAACCACTTTTTGTTCTGCAGTGTATTATGTTTTTATTTATTTTTTAATTTTGCAATTTTAACCACTTTTAGGAGAGGAGCAGCATTGACCCAACGCAGCCCCGCCCAAACCCTCCTCCATTTGTTCAGGGAGGAATCAGTAAGTATTGTTTGGCTAAGTGTTTTTTGGCAAAATACTTGTGCTATGAAAGTTAGGGGTATATGTACTTTCTGAAGCTGCATAATGAGGTTTAGATTTAAATAGAACATTTCATGCGAATCACAGACAGGAAATCTATTTTCTAAATTATCTCAAATTGCCTCCTCCTTCCCCATGTAGATGATGCAGATCAACGTCAGTATGAAGAGTGGCTATTTCATACACAGCAACTCCTGCAGATGCAGCTTAAGGTGCTTGAAGAACAGATTGGGGTGCACAGGAAGTCCAGGAAAGCTCTGTGCGCTAAGCAGAGGACCGCAAAGAAGGCAGGCCGTGAATTCCCTGAGGCTGATGCAGAGAAGCTGAAACTAGTCACAGAACAACAAAGCAAAATCCAGAAACAGTTGGACCAGGTGTGTGATGCCACTAAAATGCCAAGGAAGCATTTCCACCAATTCGGATTACTCGTCTAAAAATGTTCTGTAAATGACAAAAGAACATTTGGTCAATAATCTATAGTTCTAGCTGGCCACATTTTATGTTTTGATCTTGGTGTTTCTGGTTATAGAACATATTATATTGTTACTATTATACATATACTATAAAATAAATCTAAATCCTGTAATTACTTTAGATGGGAAGTAAAAATTTTCAGTAACACAGTATCTTCTAGGCCATTTTTTTTGGGTGACCATTTCAATTGAACGTTTTGTGTGTGTGTGTGTATATAGATAGAGAGAGAAATATTAGTAATAGAATTGGCTCAATCTATTTTATGCTGTAATTCCTTATTTGGTTTTGTATGCCAGGTATTATAAACTGTATTTATTTGATTATTTTTTTTTTTCCCCCAGGTCCGTAAGCAGCAAAAGGAACATACAAACCTTATGACGGAGTACCGTAATAAACAGCAGCAGCAAACTTGTGGAGTTTTACCTGTCAGTCCAAACCAGAACTCGCGTGTTCTCACTAAAGCTCCTGGCCAGATCCTTGCTGGGCACAGTATGCAGCAAACTGGACCCATACAGCACAACCAATTAATTGCACAGCCAGGTAACATAAGAGGTCTTCAGCCAGGGGCACCCATGCAAACACAACAAGGTGTATCATACACCAAGTCAATTCAACAGCAAACTCAAGTGAGCAACCCTGCAATTCCTGGGACCTCGAGTGGCTTTTATCCAACTGCACCTGCTCTCCATGGTCTCACACCAGATCAAAGGATGATTCAAGAAAGACAACTCCAACAACAACGGTTGCAGCTAGCTCAAAAGCTTCAACAGCAGGGATTCCAAAGCAATCTTCCTCAAACGATGTTGGCCAAGCAGCATGGGCTCATTGCAAACTCCCAAGGCTTGGTTGTACAGCAGGGCTCACCTCAACCACAACAAATTGCTGGTCATCCATCAGGAGCTGTATTACAGCATCATTCTAATCAGCAAAGACAACTTTTAATTTCTCAACAACAGAGGGTGCTTGGATCACCACCAGTGGCTCAAACTCAAAATATCATGGGACAAAGGCTACTTTTATCACAGACACAGCAAAATGTTATCAGTCTTTCTCACATGCAGCAGCAATCTGGGTTAGGTCAGTCAGCAACAGCTTTGCCTCAGCAATCCCTTGTTGGGCAAATGACCCAAGGCGTGCCTGCTCCCCAACCAAACATTCATACTCAGCAAGGTCCAATCTTGAGTGATTCAAATATGTCAGAACGTTCACTGCTTCAAGATGGTGCAGAAAGTCAAGTGCAACAAAATGTTCTGCAACAAACAACTTGCAGTCCAGGTAGTCAAGAGTCTTCAGATCAGTCATCTCAAGAGCAAGTTAATCACATTTCTGCTGCCTCACTCACCCAAGAGCCAGATCCACAACCTGCAGGATCTGTGGATGATACTTTGCAACAAAACCAACCTCCGGATCAACCACAGACTCAGTTTGGCATATCTAGTCCAATGCAGTCAGTAAGGCAGCAACATAATGTTCTTTCAACTCAACAGCAAAGTGTGCAAATGCTTGGCACACCAGTGAGGCCAGAGTCTGTCTCAAACACTCCTCAGCATCATCTTACTCAGGAGACCTTACATCATCCTCTCGCTGTGTCTCAAAGTATGACTGGAGATCAGCAAACAAGCATAGTGCAAACGCAGCAGATTGGGAGTCATGGTCAAGTGTCTATACAAGGAAATGAACAAGACAAAAATGTTGTTGGCCAACTGCCACATCCAGTGGGACAACAGAGACCAGTTTTGAATGTTCAACAATCACAAAATATTGTTAATTTCATGGGACAAAACACTCCACTCATGGCTCAAATTAGAGCTCAGCTGCAGGGAATCATTGCAAAGAATCCACACTTGCGACATTTGACCCCACAACAGCAACAGCAATTACAGACTATTCTTATTCAGAGGCACCAGCAAGCTCAGAACCAAGCTTTGAGACAAGCTTCTTATCAAGAGTCAACTATACAGTCTGCTTCTTCAAATGCCTCTGTGAGTAGTGGGACATCTGGAAGTCAAACATCCACCAGAGGAGTTTTTCAAGTTCAGCAAACTGGGTCAGTTGCTACAGATCCAGCTCATTCAAGTTATTCTGAAGAAACCTCTCAAATGAATGTACAGAAAGTACAAGAAAATATAGGAACACCACAAGCACCAGATCCTGGTCAAACTTCAATGCTGAAATCTCCAGGAATGACAAGATATTGTGCCACTCTATCTCAGGAAAGTGTACCTGGTCAACATCCTCAAAGCACTGCAAATTTAAGACAAGTCCCACAACAACCTCCCCCACAGTACAGAATGCCACAGGCTCAGTCACAGCAAGTAGTTCCAGGTCATCAACCATCCCAACAGTATCAAATACAACAGCAGGGACAACAGGTGCAACCACATTCACAACAATTGCAGCAGTTACAGCCACTTCAAATGCAGCAAGTTCAGCAAACACAGATGCAGTCCGTACAACCGCAGCAACAACAAACACAACCATTACAGCCGCATCAAATGCAACAGCAAACACAACCTCAACAGCCACCACAGCTTCAACTTCAGCAGTCTCAACAAACACATCAGATGCAGCAGTTGCAACAAACACCGCAGCAAGTTCAACAACATCAGATGCAACAGTTACAGCAAACACCGCAGCAAGTTCAACAACTTCAGATGCTGCAGCAAACACAGCAACATCAAATACTGCAGCAAACCCAAATGCAACAACTACAGCTAGCACAGCAGCATCAATTGCAGCAACAGTTACCCCAAACGCAGCAGCAAATTCAACCTCCGCAGCAAACGCAACAGCAGATACTACAGCAAGCACAACAGCAACAGCAATTAATACAGCAAGCTTTGCAACAGCAGCAAATGCTGCAGCAAGCTCAGCAACAGGTTCAGCAGCAGCAGGTCCTGCAGCAAGCTCAGCAACAGGTTCAGCAGCAGCAGGTCCTGCAGCAAGCTCAGCAACAGGTTCAGCAGCAGCAGGTCCTGCAGCAAGCTCAGCAACAGGTTCAGCAGCAGCAGGTCCTGCAGCAAGCTCAGCAACAGGTTCAGCAGCAGCAGGTCATGCAGCAAGCTCAGCAACAGGTTCAGCAGCAGCAGGTCATGCAGCAAGCTCAGCAACAGGTTCAGCAGCAGCAGGTCCTGCAGCAAGCTCAGCAACAGGTTCAGCAGCAGCAGGTCCTGCAGCAAGCTCAGCAACAGGTTCAGCAGCAGCAGGTCCTGCAGCAAGCTCAGCAACAGGTTCAGCAGCAGCAGGTCCTGCAGCAAGCTCAGCAACAGGTTCAGCAGCAGCAGGTCATGCAGCAAGCTCAGCAACAGGTTCAGCAGCAGCAGGTCATGCAGCAAGCTCAGCAACAGGTTCAGCAGCAGCAGGTCCTGCAGCAAGCTCAGCAACAGGTTCAGCAGCAGCAGGTCCTGCAGCAAGCTCAGCAACAGGTTCAGCAGCAGCAGGTCCTGCAGCAAGCTCAGCAACAGGTCCAGCAGCAGCAGGTCCTGCAGCAAGCTCCGCAACAGGTCCAGCAACAGCAGGTCCTGCAGCAAGCTCAGCAACAGGTCCTGCAGCAAGCTCAGCAACAGGTCCAGCAGCAGCAGATCCTGCAGCAAGCTCAGCAGCAGCTCCTTCAACAACCACAGCAGCAAGTTCAACAGCAGCAACATATCCTGCAACAGCAGCAAATGCTACAGCAGTCACAGCAGCAAGCCCAGCAGCAACAACTATTACATCAGCATGTTCTGCTTCAGTCACAGCAGTCTCAACAGATTTCGCTACAGTCGCAGCAAGGCAAACCGATATCACTACAGTCACAGTCGCAAGTCCAACAGCAGCTGATGTCGCAACAGTCACAGCAGCAGGGACAACAAATTTCACTACAGCCACAGCAGCAAGGTCAACAAATATCACTAGAATCACCGCAACAAGTTCAACAGCAGCTTATGTCACAACAGACACAGCAGCAAGCGCAACAGATATCGCTACAGTCACAACAGCAAAAGCAACAGATGTCACAGCAGCAACTACAACAGCAAGTGCAACAACAGATGTCCCAGCAGCAACTGCAACAGTCTCAACAAGTGCAACTGCAGCAGGTTCAACAGATGCCGCAACAAACACAGCAGCAAGCCCAGCAGTTACTTCAGCAATCGCAGCAGCAAAAGATACTGCAGCAAGTGCAACAGCAGCATATACTGCAACAACAAGTACATCATCATCAGTTGCAGCAAAAACAGCAGCAGTTGCATCAGACCCAACAGCAGCTACAACAAACACAACAAATGCAACAGCAGATTCTTCAACAAACACAGGTACAGCAGCAGATGCAATTGCAGCAAATGCGGGTCCAGCAGCTAGAAAATGTACAGCAGCAGGAAATGAATAGCTCACCATCTCTACATAAGTTACCACAGACAACTGAGCCAGTACAGCAGCAAGTTGGTCAAACACTACAAAGTGACCAAATGCAAGACCTGAACCAATTACAAGAACAGAAGCAAGCTGAGCAAATGTTGAACATGGAGCAAATTCAAAATCCAGAGCAGCAAACACAACCTTCTCAGATGCATCAGGTGCAGCAACAGTCATTGCAAGTACATCAAATTGCACAGATGAAATCTCAACAACATTTGCAACAAATGCATTCACAGCAAACTCAGCAGTCCTCCCTTTTGCAGCAAGGTTCACAGGCTCAGTCTGTGCAGCAAGGCTTACAGAAGCCTGTTCAGTCACAACAGATTCAACAAATGTACCAAATACAATCACTGCAGAAACAAATGCAAACTAAACCACCACAGACATTACAGCAATTACAACAGCACATTCAGCAGCCTCCACAATTGCAGCATCAAAGCAAAACACAGATGCAATTGCAGCAGCTGCAATCCATGCAATCACCACAACACCAGATGCCACAACAAGTTCCCTCACAAACTGCACAATTGCAGCAGCAAATGGGGAATACACAAATCCAGATGCAACAATTACATTTGAAGCATCAGCAACAAATACAGATACATCTTCAGCAGCTTAACCAAGCAAAGCCACAAAATCCACAGCAGCAACGTCCTCCACAAATGCAACAACCATCACAACTGCAAGCCCAGCAATCTAATCTTGTTCAACCACAACAGTTGAAGCAAAGTCAGATGCTGCAACAAAAGCAAATACAGCAGCTTCAGCCCCATCAAATTCAGCAAGTTCAACAAATTCTGCATTTGAAGCAGCAGATAATGTTGCAGCCACCTGAGAAACAGTTGCAGTTGCAGCAACAACTACAATTGCAGTTGCATCAGTTTCGGCAACAGGCACAAATGCATTTTGAAAACCCTCACGCTCTAAAGAAAGAGCCACCAGAGCCCACTGCTATAGATTCTGGACCTGCGGAAACATCCCAGCAACAAGGTCAGAATAGGTCCCCAAGTGAGCATCTTAAGGGATCAGAGTCAAAGAGTGAATTTGTCATGGCCAAAGCCAGTCCCAGTAACCAGTCCCCAAATTCTGACAGTCAAAACCCAGATTTGTCATCCTCTATAGCTGGTTCTACAATCCCAGCTGGCTCTGGTGTCCAATATTCCCATACACTTAATGCAAAACAAACAGAACCTTTGACTTCTCCTTTCTCTGCTGGGCAGTCTAAACAGGAGGAAGCAGCTAGTGAGATTGGTAAGAAGTATGAACCTACAGAGAAGACAGACTCTGGATTAGATAAATCATCTCCCAAAGAGGGAAAAATGGCAGACCGTCACATAGAACAAGAAAATCAAATGGACACCTCATCTGCCCCAACAGCACCTGTAGAAAATGGGAACAGGACTGGATTGTCCATGCCTCTTAAACAAGAGTTAATTGAGGACGGAATGTCCTGTATTCAGGACATCAAGAATGAGGCAAATGGCGACCTGGCAACTATTGAGGCTAAAGCAGAAGCTGGTCACCTTCTTCTACAGAAACTGCTGCGTGCCAAGACTGTGCAGCTTGCTTCTCAGCGCTGTTCTGATAGTCTCCACACAGATATAAATGGCCATATTGACAACAAACTGAGTGTTCTTGAACAGAAATTGCAGACTGTCCCTAGAAATAAGGAGGTAGGCTTTTTTTTAATTCACTGATTTATTTTCTCTTGTGAACATTTTTTTTTTTCTGATGGCAAATGTATTTAACCCTTTATTTAAAACACCCAATAAATATATATTTGTGCACTATATTTACACAATGTCTAGGTAAACAAAGGGTGAAAAATATACTTTTTAAAAAAAAAATTTTTTTTTTTTTCTGTTTGCAGGAAAATTCATCAAAGAAAAATTTACCAAAACCAAAAAGGACACAAAAGGCAAATGAGAAAGTACAAAATTCACGCAAAAAGATTCGTCGAGAGGACAGTCTAAAATCTCCAGATGCCATTGTGAAGCAGCTGAAGCAGGTAACTCTCTGGCCAAATGCTTCACTGTTGTCATTGTCTTGCATGTACATGCCAAGCAAAAAGTGACAGCACTGCAACATCGTCTAATGATAGCAAGGTTCATTTTGTTTGTAAAAGGTATTGGTATAGTTTTGCATATTTAATGTATAATCTGTTTATCTGTGTGAATATGTATGTTTTTGGTTTCATACGTGTAACTTTTTCCATTCTCTTATCCGCAGGAACTATCATTGTTGCCGTTGGTTGAACCTTCAATCACGGCTAATTTCAGCCTGTTTTCACCATTTGGGAGTGGTAGTCCCATTAATGGAAAAAGCCCCCTTAAAGGGTCTTTTGGCAGTGGCGCTTTGGAGAGCATTCCTGACTATTATACACAGCTGCTCAGCAAGGTGGGTGGCATATTATATAACCCTTTCGAGCAGGTGTTCTCAACCCAGTTCTCAAGGACCCGCTACCAGTCCAGGATTTAGGGATTACCTGGGTGTCTCTAAGGGGTTTAGAAAAAGAAAAAAACACCTTAGACACACCCAGGTACTCCCTAAATCCTGGATTGGTAGGGGGCCCTTGAGGACTGGTTTGAGAGCACCTGCTTTAGAGGTACATGTGCATTTAACATAAGGCATGTAAATTTAAAGTAAAACTTTCTCTAATAACTATTGTAATTTTTACAGAACAATCTCAGTAATCCTCCTACACCTCCTTCCTCACTGCCTCCTACGCCACCTCCCTCTGTTCAGCAGAAAATGATGAATGGGGTGACCACAGCAGAGGATCTGAATGACTCCAAGAAAGAAGCTGAGAGCAGCTCAGATGCAGAAGTTAAAAAAGGTGAGCCAAAATGTTTATATACACTGTTTGCACCTTAAGCATCACATCCAGCCCAGATACAAAGTGCATGCAAGCCTCTGCATGAGAGACTTAAAGGGACACTTCACTTCATAATACAAAAAAACACAACTGTTTAGTGGATATACCACCAACGAAAACATGCATGTATTTAAGTATGCATTTTTTAATTGGGGATATGTCTAAAACAGCTGTAGAGTTCTCCTCTCCTAATCCAGCCCAGGCATTCCGTCGCTGTCCAATTAGACTTCCCAATGCAGCTCAATGAGAAATCTTTGCAATACAGGTATTCTGGATAATTGTTGCCTCTTGAGTTTAGCTCCACTTACCTAAACAATCAGGAAGTAACAGGATCTGTTGTGGGATTATCAGCCAGGGAGGTGTAACAAGGATACTTTAGAAAAGCTCCAGTTTGTTTTAAAGTATGCACTCGTTAATTGAAAAAAGAAGAGGATACACCCCTGACCCATAAAGCACTTCAGAAAGCTGAAGTGCTTCTAGTGTCTGACGTGTCCCTTTTTATAACCCAGAAAGTATTGATTTCTACACTGACCATTGTTGTAGTACGTGACAAGTACTTGTATATCTCAAACGTTATACTTTGACTTGCACTATCTGCTCTGTTGAGTGATGCTAGCTTCATAAGTGAAAGCATTTAAAAAAAAAAAAATTAAAAAAAAAATTCAATCCATTTGGCTAGCTTATGCATATTAATGTTTGGTTTGGCTAAATATGCATTTTGACTGTAGCATTAACCCCTTAACGCCGTTACGGCGTTCTATGCCGTCGCGGCTTTAAAGGGCTTTAAAGCCGTTGCGGCGGCATAGAACGCCGTAACGGCTTAAGCCTCCAGGGGATCGCAGCTACTTACCTCCGCTGCGATCCTCTTCTGGAGGGCTGCTTGACAGCCCAGGCAGCCCTCCTCCGGCGAATCAGGGGCCCCTATAGCAGGCTGTGGATCTGCCAGCAGGGGGACTGTCTAAAATATCACAGTCCCCCTGCTGGTGGGAAATGAAAAAATAAATAAAATAAACATGTGTAAAAATAAATGAGATATATAGATATATACATATTATATATAACGTCATACGTTGTGTATTTTAATACGAATATTAGTATATATTACTATTAAAATACACTTAGAATGACTTTTTATATATATATTATATAATAGATATATACACATATATGTATAATTACATTAATAAATAAATGAAAAAATAAATTAAAATATTGAAACAAATTCTATTAATATTATATATTCATATGTAATTTCATTCTAACTGTATTTTATTAGTGTGTGTGTGTATATATATATATATATATATATATATATATATGTAACAAAATACACTTAGATATATAAAGAATGTCATTCTATCTATATATAAAATACAAATAACCGCATATATAATTACATAAAAGATTACATTAGTATACACGTAGAATTTAAATACCTATAAATGCATATATATTAAAATTTTACGTGTATATTTAAGTAATCTTAACATAATTATGTGATTTGATTAATTAAAATTTGATTGACATGCCTGACAACACAGGGAGAAAGTGCAAAGAATTTAATTCGCATGCACTATATTTGACCCTGTAACTCTCCAAGACCCCATAAAAACATAGGGGGTACTGTTTTACCCGGGAGACTTCGCTGAACTCAAATATTAGTGTTTCAAACTGGTACATTGTATTACAACGATGATATTTTAAGTAAAAGTGAAGTTTTTTGCATTTTTTACAAACAAACGGCACTTTTATGGACTATATTGTTGTTGTAATATGTTTTACTGTTTTAAAACGCTAATGTTTGTGTTTAGTGAAGTCTCCCGAGAATAACAATACCCCCCATGTACAGGTTTTATTGTGTTTTGGAAAGTTAGAGAGTCACATATAAGGCTTGCATTTCATTTTTTTGACATTGAAATTTGCTTGATTGGTTATGTTGCCATTGAGAGCGTATGGTAGCCCAGGAATAAGAATTACCCCCATGATGGCATACCATTTGCAAAAGTAGACAACCCAAGGTATTGCAAATGGGGTATGTCTAGTCATTTTTAGTAGCCACTTAGTCACAAACACTGGCCAAATATTAGTTTTTTGCTTTTTTCACACAAAAACAAATATGAACGCTAACTTTGGCCAGTGTTTGTGACTAAGTGGCTACTAAAAAAGACTAAACATACCCCACGTTCAATACCTTAGGTTGTCTACTTTTCAAATGGTATGCAATTATGGGGGTAATTCTCATTCCTGGGCTACCACACCGTCTCAAAGGTAACATTACTAATGTGGCAAATTTAAATTTGAAAATGGAACGTTCTATATTTGACCCTGTAACTTTCCAAAACACCATAAAAACTGTTAATGGGGGGTACTGTTGTACTCGTGAGACATCGCTGATTACAAATATGTGCATATTTTTGCAGTAATACCTAACAGTATTATGACATTAACAGCTAAAATGTCAGACGGAAATACAAATTTAAAAAAAAATCTTATTTTCTAAAAAGAATAATAATTTTATTCATAATAAATGATGTTCCATATATGAATAATGATAAATTAAAGCCCTGTTTCTCCTGAACAAAATTATATATAATAAGTGTGGGTGCACTTAATGTGACAGCGGTGAATTACGGGTGAACAGACATATAGTCAAATTCCAGTTTTTGTTTACGTTTTGTTTTGATCAGAACGTGTACTATTGACTCCGTCCTGAAGGGGTTAAAGAAAAACCTTGTTTAGAGATGTACAATTAAATAAGCTTATCCTGCATTCCTGAATTGGATATTTCTGCTCTCTGTAGATTATAATTTAATATATAGCTGGTGATAGGGATGAGGGTTATTGTTTCTGGTGGCACATTGGCACACACAGAGTGTGCTCTTTTGTAAACTTTCCCTGCTCAACAACACTCTGCATATGCATGTTACATATGTCACCTCTGACATAACCTTTTTGACATCAACTAGTAAAGAGTTCTGACTGAAAACTAAAGCAGGAGCTATAGAAAATGGCAACTGACTTCCTTTTGGTTTAACCCCTTAAGGAACAAACTTCTGGAATAAAAGGTAATCATGAAATGTCACACATGTCATGTGTCCTTAAGGGGTTAATGATTCCTCTTTAAGAAAAACTGTCCTGATCTCCTGTGGGTTGCTGCTAGTCTTTTAATAGCTCAGCATTTTACACATTTAGTTTAATTGGACAAATGTGGAGTTTAGATTGACTAATCATATATAAGTTTTTATATCTATTGAACCAGTCTTGCAAAGCAAGATGTCCTGCTCTTGACCAAATATAATGTATAGCATCTGAACATCATACAGTTAGACGGCATAACATTTCTTAAAATGCATATATTCTCCAAAATCATTCTCTCTGATTGTATGCTTATATAATGTTGAAATATTTACTGGTAAATCTTTAGCTATGGTAAATCAACATCTGATTATATTCTGTTTTTTTTCAGTAGAACGTAGTTTGGACCTATTGGCTGCCCTACCTACACCACCACACAACCAAAGCGAGGATGTTAGGTAAGTGGCTCTTGTATATTAAAGCAACAATCTAGTTTGTAAGGTATAAAAAATGTGTTCCTGACATTAGTTTTAAAAGCACTGTTTAGGTGTCCACTCCCTCTCCTGTCTTTTAAAACGTGACTTACTTCTCGTCATAACTGGCTCAGAACAGCTCCACCTCCTTGGCTGGCATCATCAAATTTGACTGTCTCCGCTAATAAAATGATTTTTCATAAGTAAGCATTGGAAGGCTTTTGCGCAAGCATGGCAAAACGCTGCGCAAATCAACATCTTCTCTTAGGGATGCAATGATTCATGCATCTTTATAGGAGCGTTCAGGTAGTGCATGCATTCATGTTCAAGTTGTTGAACATGAATGCTGCACATTTAGCAGGACTTGCCTAGGAAGCATCTCTAGTCGCCGTCTGCTGCCTAGGAACACCTCAAAATCACTCAAAATTGTAGTTTTTACATTAAAAAGCCTGCATGGACAGGCTGTAGACACCAGATCAACATTAAACTGTAGTTGTTCTGATGATGAAAGTGTCACTTTATTGACTATTTCAGGGTCCGTCTAAGTAGAATAACTACATATTAATCTAGTTATTATGGTTCTAATGGACGGGACACAACATCCCCTGCTTCTACGTTAAGCCTTTTTGTTTTTTTGCAGTTTGACTAAAACCAGGGGTGCAAGTCAACTGCAGCCCAACATCCCATTTGCCTATTGCAAATGCAGAAGTGGAACCTCCGAAAAGGGTCTCTAATATTCAGACAAATTTGATAGACTGTGAGGGTGGGTGTGGAAGTTCCATTTATCCTGGAGAATAAATGCATACTGTCCTTATGGTGTCAAAGTATGCTACTATTTTAGATTTTAAACTGGATCTTGAATCATCCTGAAACCATGGTATAAATGAAGCCATTTATACCATGAAAAAGAGAAAGATGTCTCATAATGCGAGTCATTTTTTGATACAGGTTCCACCTTCTAATTAAATATTACCTTTTATGAATATTATGCTTAACTTGAATTTAACGATTCTTGTTGCAGAATGGAGAGTGATGAGGAGAGTGACTCTACTGACAGTATTGTTCCAGCCTCCTCCCCAGAAAGTGTTGTTGGAGAGGACACACAGCGTTTCCCTTCTCTGTGCGATGTCAAGGAAGAGCAAGAGGAGCGAGCTTTGTCTCCTGTCATTCCACTAATACCTCGTTGTGCCATACCAGGTAAATGGCAATGGTACTTCCTGTTATTTGTTTACACAGGCATAACTAACGTCTTTGTTCTCTTGTATAACGTATATGTGCTATCGGTGATAGTTATTGGTGATTTCAATAGGAACATTTTTTTTTTATCTGAATTTTATAATGTGGAAGCTTTTTTCGACTCTTATATGCTGATGTCAATTCTTTTCAAGTGTTTCCAGATGCAAAGCCAGTAGATATTTTGCCTGTTCCGTCGGAGCATGCTGAAAAGGGACTTGTGAATGCTGCAGGAACTGTGGCCTGGGAGAAATCCAAAAGCAGTGAAGTCTCGGTCATGCTCACATTGTCCACAGCTGCTGCCAAGGTAAGTAATTCTATTACTCTGCTAAACCTTTTTGTTATCCCTTTCAACAGTTAATTTTTCATGTCTCTCTTGTCTACCCACCTTTAGAACATGAATGGCGTAGTAGCTGCTGTAGCAGGTTTGCTTAGCATCAAGCTTCCGAACTCTTATGAGGTTTTATTCCCAGACACTGGTCTCAAAAATAGCATCGACATAAAAAGTCCCGTAGAACCTTCCACAGATGGTAAGTGGAACATTCGTTTCCCTGTTTTAAACAAATCTAAAATCTGAATGTTATTTTGACAAGTTGATAAAAACTGAATAGACAGAAGTTGCATTTTTACTTGTTGTAAACAAGTTGAGTGATTTGTAGGGTTGGGAACGAAGGCTACCTTTTTTTTTTTTTCAGTTCAGGGATTAAAAAGTTAAAGCCGCTTTAACTTCATAAACTTTATTGTTTTCTGTAGTACTGTAAAAGACTGTGTACAGTAACTTAAGACCTGACAAATATGTGCTATTTTCAGTCAGTGATGAAACGATCACAATCATATGATTTATGTTTTATTGTAACAAGATTGATTATAGCACTTAAATGATCATTTTATAATTGTGCAGCGCCAAAATAGACAAATAATGAACACAGCTGATACAAAAGGAAAAAAGATCTGGTCTTCTCAGTCAATTAGTGTGTTTTTTTTGTTTATATTATAGGTGTAAATGTGGAGAAGGACAGGTCTCAAGTTGGAAAGTTGGATAATAACACTGACTGGTTGAAACAACTTGATGCAGTCCTTCCTGGATACACGCTAAAGAATGAACTAGACATTCTAACTCTTCTTGCCCAGGTATGTATTCAATTCCTTATTAACCTAGCCAGGGTACACATTGCAAACTAGGAGTAAAAATAGAATCATTGTTTCAATTCGCCTTTTCTCTGTTAAGCTCTTTCTGTACGGAGTTCCAATAGTGTGTAGGTTGGTGCCAGGGCTATTGTTGTGCAAACTGTAGTGGTTATGGCATGTAGTACTTGGAGTGTCCCTTGATTATGTTAGTACTCGGTTCATTTTATTTAGAAGATGCATTACTTTCACAATGAAGCTACGCAGGTATAGCGTTAAAGCATTTCATAAAGTACTTCTGCTTCTAGGACAATTGTTTAGCCTTGCCCTTCCAGCTTTAGGTGGCTCAGCTGAAAGACAGGAATTATAGTCCATGATCAGGTTGGAAGCACAGGTTTAACAACCCGGTCGTAAAATGTTCAAATGCTGATTCCACTATCCTACAATCTGTTTGTTTGGTGAGGGGAGGGTATGATGTTTTGTTACTTATACACAATTTATTATTTAATTATTTTCTGTTTTTACTACATTTCTTTCAGGAGGAAAAAGTGGTTGAGAAGGCTGTGCTCCATTCTTATGTCAATAATGTTGCCAATCTTGATGTTCGCCAGCTTCCAGTGTTACCTGAAGAAAGCTCTCCTCCTCCTTCTCCATTTGCCCCCTCACCAGCTAGTCCAGTGGAAGTTCCTGCTGCAGAACCGGATCCACCTGCAGCTCCTATTGCACCATCCCCTCCACCACCACCACCACCCCCGCCGCCACCACTGCCACCACCACCACCCCAGTCTCCTGATAGAGAAGAATCAGATGATATCGCCAGAATGAAGCAGCGTGTCCGCTCCTTTGAAGATGACCTGGAAGAACCACGGCTACGTGTAAAAAAATGGAAAGGTGTTCGCTGGAAGAGGCTGCATATACTTATCACCTTTCAAAAAATTCGATCACGTCACTGTGAGAAAGAAGTTTGTGAGGTGATTGAGAGATTGGGGACCACTCTGAGGCCTGATACATTACCTCCAGACTTGCGTAAATGCTGCTTCTGTCATGAGGAAGGTGATGGTGCAACTGATGGACCAGCTCGACTTCTCAACTTGGACCTTGATCTCTGGGTACATCTTAATTGTGCTTTGTGGTCAACGGAGGTGTATGAGACACAAGGTGGTGCGCTAATCAATGTGGAGGTGGCATTACATCGAGGATTGCTCACAAAGTGTTCTCTATGCCAGAAAACAGGAGCCACAAATAGCTGCAACCGTCTGCGTTGTCCCAATGTCTATCACTTTGCCTGTGCCATCCGTGCCAAGTGTATGTTCTTTAAAGACAAAACCATGTTGTGCCCAATGCACAAGCTCAAGGGACCGTGTGAGCAGGAACTGAGCTGCTTTACTGTCTTCCGAAGGGTATATATAGAAAGAGATGAAGTTAGTCAGATTGCCAGTATCATACAACGAGGGGAACGCATCCATATGTTCAGAGTTGGGGGATTGGTTTTTCATGCCATTGGCCAGCTGCTTCCCCATCAAATGCAAGACTTCCATAGTGTGACTGCTCTCTACCCTGTGGGATATGAGGCCACACGTATCTACTGGAGCATGCGCCACAGTCACCGACGGTGCTCTTATCGTTGCAGAGTATGTGACAACAATGGGCAGCCAGAATTCAGTGTTCAAGTAATTGAATATGGCTATGAAGATGTAATTCTGACAGATTCCTCCCCACAAGGTATGTCTTATTGATGCAGGGATTTATATTTTTGTTGATAATGATTTATGAGAACATGGATGAATTGATAATACTGCTTTATGTTAAAAGAAAGCAAAACAAGGCGGTATTATTGGAATTCTGCCTGGGGAAAAAAGGGAGAACACCAATAAGGTAAAAAGATTTGAAACCATTATAAAAGGAAGTATGAAGACAGCCGACATACTAATTCATCAGAAGTATGCTACAATGTGACAGTTTTTCTTATACTGTATTACTCAGTAGAATTTAAAGGGACAATCACTAAAACAACTTGAGCTAAATGAAGCAGTTTTGGTGTATAGATCATGCTCCTGCAGTATTACGGCTCAATTTTCCGCTATTTAGGAATTAATTAACTTTGTCTATACAGCCCCAGTCACACCTTCCTGTGATTTGCACAGCATTCCTAAACACTTCCTGTAAAGTTAGATCTAATGTTGAATGTTCTTTTTAATTTACAATTTTGTATCTACTGCTCTGTTAAAAGCTTGCTAGACCTTGCAGGAGCCTCCTGTGTGCGATTAAAGTTCAATTTACAGAGCAGGAGATAAAAACCTCTGAAGTAGGTTAACATCTAAATGAAACAATTTTTGTTTTTCCCATGCAGGCTGTATCAGTCACAGACAGTAGAGGTGTGGCTAGAGCTGCATAAAAAGAAATAAGTTATTTAACTCGTAAATTACATAGAATTGAGCAGTGGGACTTCAGCGACATGATCTATATATCAAAACTGCTTCATTAAGCCTCAAGTTGTTTTGGTGACTATAGCATCCCTTTAAATGTGAATTGTATCTCAATTATTTTTTACATTATATAAATTTGCATAAACAAATATGATATAAAATATCCACATTTGAAGTTGCTGCTTATGAGCAGGGTCAACCCACAGCAGTGTAAAGCTGCATATTTATCATAACCGTGTTTAAAAGGGAGGAACTGACTAGCAGGTTTCAAAGTTCTTTTAGCACCTCCTCTGTTCTGCACAGAGCAGGGTTTTCATGACTTGTAGCTATCTTCCTTCTACTTGGGAAGGACATTAGCTGAACTACAATTTTCTGATCATTTTGGTATGATTGCAAGCACTACCACTGTCTAACTCCGTTCACAAACCAAAAAGAAAGCATTTTTATCGAGTCGCACAGTGAAAACTTGAATTTGCATATAAAGATACCTTATGTTAATATGAATACGCGGTGAATAGAGTAAGGAGCACAACCATAAATCTTTATATATATGAAAAAATCTTTATTAAATGGGTATATACTATAGGACTGTCTCTTTAAATATTATCCACAGAGGTACAAAGTCATGCTATTCAAAAGCATTTACCAGAAAAGCAGTGATATAGGCAAATATAAACGCTCAATGCGTAATAAATGAATGAAATATCATGCAAACAGTCCACTATAATACTAGTATAATGAAAACCCAGACATATAAAAAAAATTCAGCAAACAATACCAAATTCAGTGAGAAGTAGGGACAGAGTCAATTAAAAAAAAAAAAAAAAAAAACGTTTCGGCTGAAAAGCCTTTGTCAAGGGAGCATATATGAATACGCGGTCCAGGAGACATAAGTGACAGGGAGATCACTTTATGATCCTTGTAAACCCTTGTTGATCTTAGCAGACAAGAGAAACACGCACTGAGCAATATTGAAGGCAAAACATGGCCTGGCTGTAGACTGCATGCTTGACAGTTGCCGCCTATGTTGTTGCTTTTTTGAATGGGTAGCAGTGGTCAAAAGAGCGGAATATTGGAAAGACTGATTTCAAGAGGAAATCCATGTTACAGGTATTTTCAGACAACCTTCAATATGAGATATTAAAGAAGAGGTAACCTAAGCTGAAAAAAAGTTTAAGCTTTTTAATAAATGCGAGAAATACTGACAGTTTTCCTTTAAATTGTGAGGAGATTGTGGTGAAATACTGGTTACAAAAATAATTTATTTTGTAAAATTTTAAAATAGTTCCCAAGTATAGGAATACTAAGACTATAATGCACAATAGTACTCACTTATAAAAAGATCAAACATTCAAATTCATGATTAGAAAATGATAATGCTAAAGTGATAAAAAAATAATACTAATAATATAACAAATAGTAGTGGATGTAGTATAAAATAAACTGGTTTCAAACAAGCTATCCTAATATCTGATTTTCAGTAATGGATCGCAATGTTGCTAGTACACCACTAGATGTCACTCAATAGTAGTGTAATGTTCTTTGAGAGATTTCTACCTAGTAGCCTAAGTTCTGCAAGAAATAAAGTTCCCAATTTAGATGCAGAGTAATTCCTAAGGATGTAGTGTGCATAGAAATCCAATAAGGAAATAACTGGGGCAACAGGGAAGGTGCATGTGCCGGTTGGTCCCTGTTTCCTTGATACATTGTGATATTTCTGGTATTGACCTTCGATTTGTTCTTGACACTGACTTTCTCTGTAACCCTTTCCTGACTTGTTTACACGTTTCTTTGATATCTCTAATATCCTGACCTAAGCTTGTATTTGACCACATTTCCGTTCTATATTATGTTAAAGGGACACTCCACTGCCCCCCATACAAAAAAAATTAAAACCACTGTTGGGTAGATATACCCCAAATGAAAACTTGCATGCATTTAATTGTCTTATTTTAAACTGGAGTTGTATCTAAAAACAGCTTGCAAAAATGTCAGAGCTCTTATCTGCTGCCTTTACAAGCCCTCCCCTTCTGACCCTGCCCAGACTTTCTAACTGTCCAATCACAGACTTGACAATGCAGCTAAGTGAGAAGTCTATGCAAATCAGCCGTTCTGGGCAATTTCTGCCTCATGCGTTCAGTGCAAATAAGCTAACCAAACCAGGAAGTAACATGACCTATTGTCTGCTTGAAAAGCCAGGAGGATGTACTCGGGGTTTGACAAATTTCAGGCTTCAGGTCGCCATGATGTCTGGGATTTGTGAGCCCGTTCGCTCCGAGGCTGGTTTTTCAGTTTTATTTAATAATGTAAATTCCTACGTGATTATGCCCTTTTAAAAGGGGCTTTAAATTAAAATTAGGTTACTCACAAGGAGGTAACCATTTCAGATTTTTATATTTATATAGCGCCAACAAATTCCATAGCGCTTTACATTGGGTGGACTAACAAATATGTAATTGTAACCAGACAATTTTGATGCACATAAACAGAGGGGTTGAGAGCCCTGCTCAATGAGCTTTTACATGCTAGAGCGAGTGGGGTATAGTGACACAAGGTAAGGGAAGTATTAGGGAATTAGATTGGTGGAATAGTATTTAATAAAGACTTAGTGTGAATTATTATTATTATTTTTTTTGGAGCCATTAACAGTTTAACTGAAATGCTTTTGTGAAAATTTTTTTTTTTTTTTTTTAATTCTTTATTTTTGCAGTGTATTTTCATATAACAGTCACATATGAAGGTACCCCAATGGCAATCCTTCAATCCATTATGGTCGTTATTAATATAGAGATACATGGTGGCACTATTTTATATTTATGAGTATTTTGAACAGGTATATCTCAAGAACACCTAAGTAACAACAAGGTACATTAATCTCAGGTAAAACTAGAACGATTATTGCTGCATAGGATATACAAGTTTAAGCTAAACGGTTGATTACAGTACATTTACAGCAGGCGCTCACTTGTGTGGTAAAGTAGCGGAGACTCCTGATGATTGTGTGTTCAGGTTGTGTGGTCAGTAATAGTTATTCCGATGTGTGCATCTGTGTAAGCTTTAATATGATACATGCTTATGTGTTGCGAGTGTATATGAGGAGAGGTATACGTGAAAATTGCCAGGCAGGCGGGTATGGCCCCGTTAAGTGAGTGAGTGGTCGCCTTCTCTGAGCGTGTGAGTGGTATGTGCAGTAAGGCTTTACACGTGTATTAAGACTTCCGTAAGATTGCAACTAAATGGAGTCAGACCAGCTTTAAGTTTTCCGTTAAAGTCCCACGTTGTTGGTGAGTCTCTGGTTAAAGGGTTGCGGTGTGGCATAAACAGCTTCTCTTGTAGCAGAGATTTTGGATATGAACCTCCGTGAGTCCCGACAAGTGTCTTCATTATCAGCCTATGCTCTGCACCGGGAGAGATGGTAGGGATGTTTGGCATTCCTGCTGAGGTACGAGTGGGTGTAGCGTCGCTGGTTCCGACGGCTGGCTTATCCAGCCGCCGGTGTGAAGGCCTGCTTTGCTGTTGCCGGCTGTTGGAGTCACCTTCTGGTTCTCTTGGGCTTCCGGTGACATCAGGTGAGTTTGGAGCCATGAGGGGTGCTTTCCTGTTAATCGCATTGTGGGTCTCTGCTTCATTCCGTGTCTATGAGGAGCTTGAGAGCCCTGTCGGGGTGATATTTTTGCGTGGTTCGGTCTTGCCTTCTGGCGTGCAGGCGTTGGGGGCCTCCTTTTGTTTTTTCGCCCGTGTGGCTGTGGCGGGTATGTGCGCGTTCTCCGAGGGGCAAGTGCGCTGGATCTGTGGTCTGCCGCTCTGTTAGCCAGTTTCTCCCAGAAGGCATCTAATAGGGCGTCGAGTTTGGTTTGTATTCGTTGCCTTTCTGTATGGTAATAGCGGTCCCATGCGGCGTCTGCCATTTTGCGGGTCTTGTCAGCCGTGGGCTGCTTGTGGAGTTCCGCTGTCAGCGCTCTTCTGGACTCCGCTGCCTGGGGGGTGTGGACCGGGATCACCCCCACCAGTCCTGAAGGGGGAGGGAACGGGTAGTCAGTGGCTCGGTATCTCCGCTGTAGGAGCGGACGTCTTCCCCTCCCTCCCTCCCCCCCCCATCTCCCAGCTCCGTCCACCATAGGCTGCAGCCTGCCGCCTCGGTTGCACGGTTATGGGGCACACTCACCTTTGGTATCAGGAGAGTCTCCAGGGGGCCCCCAACATGGGTAGCATACCCCGATTTTATTGCAGGCTTGAAAACTTTGAGTATTTCCCTTGGAATCCATGTGTTTGGCTAGAGCTCCTCCACCATGCGACTGTGCTGCTTGCAGGTTAGGCCCCACCCCCAAAAAGTGGGTTTTGAATTTTTTTTTATTTTTTTTAAGGAGTGGAGACTGGGTAAGCGTCTTTCAGAAAAGGGAAGGTAGTTCCATAGGATTTGTGCAGCCCTCGATAAGTCTTGAATGCGAGCATCAGAGGTGGGACTACAAACAGAGGATAGACACAGGTCTTCAGCAGCGCGTAGGAGTCTAGATGGGACATACTTGTGTATTTGGGAGGTTAGCTAGATGGGAGTAGCAATATGTAGAGATTTGAACGCAAGAATCAGAATTTTGCATTGAGCTCTATATCTTACCGGAAGCCAATGCAGGGGACTGACAGAAAGGTGAGGCATGGGAGGTGCGGGCAGACAGGAAGATGAGCCTCACCATCGCATATATTAGAGAATACAAGGGGATAAGTTGGAACATGTAAGACCACTGAGAAGCGGATTACAGTAGTCCAGACGAGAAAGGACAGTGAAATGGACCAGCACCTTAGTCGCATCTGGCGTTCAATAGGGGCGGATGTGTGTAATGGTTTTTGAGATGAAAGTGGCCGGATTTGGCGATTGACTGGATATGAGAGTGAAGGAGATGTCGAAGTCAAAGAACACCTAGGCAGTAAGCCTGCGTGGTGGAGCTGATGGTAGCACCATTAACGTGGAGGGAGACAGAAATGGGAGTAACAACAACTGAGGGAGGAAAGACCAGACGTTCTGTTTTGGACAGGTTGAGCTTAAGGAAGTGGGCAGTCATCCAGTTAGAAATAGCAGAGAGGCAGTCCAGGCACTCAAGAGGGGCGGGGGAAGATCGGGGAGGAGAAAAATCAGCGTGTCATCTGCATAGAAATAATATTGGAAGCCAAAGGAGCTAATGAGTTTACCAAGGGAGGCAATATAGATCGAAAAAAGTAGGGGAACAAGGACTGAACCTTGGGGGACACCAACAGAGAGAGGGGTTGGGAGGAAAAGGCAGAGAAAGAGACTAAAATAGCACTGGGTGAGGCAGGAGGAGCACCACGAGAGAGCAACATCTCGTAGACTGCGATTACGGAAGATGAGAAGAAGCTGTTAATGATAAACCGTATCAAAAGCAGCGGAAAGGTCAAGGAGTATTAGGATAGAGTAGTGACCATGAGATTTTGCTGCAAGTAGATAGATACATTGGTCAGAGCAGTTTCCACAAAGTGCTGAGCGCAGAAACCAGACTGAAGTGGGTCGAGCAGAGAATTTGACCTGATGAAGTCTGTCAATCTCACATACACAAGTCCTTCAAAGATTAAAGATCTTTTTTCTTTGTCATGTCAATGTCCACATGTTATACTGCTTATATATTATTGATGTTTTAAAATGTTGACAAATATGTATAATTGTTATTTTTATTATTATTTCTTAAAAAACATTAAAAAAAATTAGAAAAGGATCTTGGACGCAAAAGGCAGTAGCGAGATAGGGCGGTAGTTTGATGGGGCGTTAGGGTCAAGGTTGGGCTTTTTTAGAATCTGGATTACAGTTGCATGTTTGAAGGGTAATGGAAATATGCCAGAGGCGAGGGAGAGATTGTCTCCTTCTCTTGCTTTGCCTCTCACTAAAATTCTCAGAGTACGGATGAAATGCGAGGGATTAGGATGAAGGGAGCAGGTGGTGGGACGGGAGAACCAGAACAGAAACTTCTTCTGCTGTAGTGGGTGCGAATGAACAGCACAGGGAGTGAAGTTGGGAAAAGTATTGTAAGGGGAAGGAGAGAGATGAGAAATCTCTTCCCTAAATGTAGAGATCTGGTCAGTGAAGTGAGTTGCAAAGTTTGTGATGGTTAAGTTGTTAGAAGGAGGAGCAACAGGGCGAAGAAGAGAGTTTAATGTGTGAAATAGTCGTTTGGGTTGGCGGGATAATGTGGTAATGAGGATATTGAAGCAATGTACTTTTGCAGAGAAAAGAACCAAGCTGTAAGAGCGCAGCATAAATTTATAGTGGAGAAAGTCAGATGCATAACACCAGCATTGTTCATCTGTTCTGGAGCGTATTTGGAGGTATCGAGTCAGCTTGGTGTGCCATGGTTGTAGTTGGGGGCGCTTGCAGCGTTTAAGTGTAGGAGGTGCCATGATGTCTAGTTGAGAGGAGAGGGTGGAGTTGTAGAAGGAGATTACAGAGCTATGGCAGCTGAGGTTTGAGATGGTTAAAAGGAGTGTTTGGAGGTTATTGGAGAAGTGCTCTAGGTCAAGACATTGGAGTTTTCTGTGATATTGATATTCATATGCTAGTCTCTGCCTTTATCTGGCTTGTTATTGGTCTGTTAGGAAATATTGGATTTTCCACCCGTGTCACAGATTTTATTGTATTTTTTTCTGGTGTTGGTTGGGGTCTTTATTTGGACAGGAAATGAATTCCTGGTAATATATTTTTGTGTACAATGGGTGATTCATTTATTTGTTACTCATATGATATTTTAATTTCCTAGCGCTTTGGAATCGGATTGCAGAACCTGTTGCACGCATGAGGAGAGAGACTGGAATGCTACGCCTTTTTCCAGAGTATCTTAAAGGAGAAGAGATGTTTGGGCTTACTTTGCATGCGGTGCTGCGCATCGCTGAATCTGTAAGTAACCAATCTTCAGCTAACATTTTTATCAGCCCATTCTTTTTATTCTGTTGTAGCTTTGTATAGTAATTTATCAACATTGTCATTTCTATATTTCACTTTTTAATGTTATTCATTGTATGTGTTTGAATTTAGTTGCCTGGGGTGGAGAATTGTCAGAATTATCTCTTCCGATATGGTAGACATCCTTTAATGGAGTTGCCTCTCATGATCAACCCAACTGGCTGTGCCAGGTCTGAGCCAAAGATCATGACCCACTACAAGCGGTGAGTAGAGATTTATAGAATATGCCTTTTTAGAAGATGAAAAACATAAACATACTGAGGTTACAATTAAATGTCCATTGGAGTGATACGTAAACCATTATTTAACTATGCATAGGGATTTAGATAACTGTTTTTTGGGAGGGGGGGTTAAATAAAAATATTGGTGGTCAAAATTTTGATAAGCATTCAAAGTTTGTAGCAACAAAAGCTTCCCTATCCCCTTTTATTTTGTATTCTTCACGCATTCTCTAGTCTGTGTGATGAATCTTGAATCTTCAGTTGTCTTTGAACTCACCAGAAATACTGCAACAGGTTGTGTCTATTAAATGCAGCTGTAGGCTAATTGCTATGACAGATTCTTGGGTTAAAGACTAATTTTTGGATTATTACAGAAAAATATACTAGTTAAAGTGACACTATAGGCGCCAGAGCAACTTTAGCTTAAAGGGGCTCATGGAAGTGGTCTGGGTGCAGTGTCAGTCATACTTAGTCATGCAATGTAAAACATTGCCGTTTTAGAGAAACGGCAATATTTACATTGCAGCACTAAAACCACCTCTAGTGGCGGTCTACCAGACTGCCACTAGAGACGCTTCCTACTTGCTAGGCAACTTAAGCCTGAAGCCGGACGTCCTCATGTTCTGCATGAGGGGTCACGTGGGTGGGGAAGGCAGATGGGACTATAGTGTTAGGAATACAAGTTTGTATTCCTAATACTATAGTATTTCTTCAATGAAGCCGTTTTGTGTACAGATCATGACCCTGCAGTCTCACTAATTTTCTGCTATTTAGGCGTTCATTTTTATTTCTGTTCATGCAGCCCTAGCTACACTTACTTGTGTGTGACTTGCACAGCCTTCATAAACACATCCTGTAAAGATAGCTCTAATGTTTAAACTTCCATTATGTTTAATTTAGAATTTTTTTTAATCTCCTGCTCTGTTAATAGCATATGATTGAAAATCAAAGCATTTTTATGCAGGCTGTGTCATCCAGAGGAGGTGTGGCTAGACCTGCCTAAAGTGATTTAGTGATTTAACTCCTTTATCCTAAATGGCAGAGGATTGAACAGTGAAATTGCTGGGGCATGACTTAACCTCCAGTACTTCTTCATTAAGCTAAAGTTGTTTTAATGCCTACAGTGTCCCTAAAAAAAGAGAGAGGAAAAAAAAACATGAAAATTTATATTTTTAATGAAATGGCAATTTTTGGCACATAAGCTAAAGCTCTGACCTAGCAGTCAATTCTAGTTTCATGGACAGCAGAACAAAATAGATATACCTGAGGACTCCTGTGTGATGCTGTTTTGCTTGAATTAAAAGGTTCATGTCGGTAGGTTTTCAAATGTATGCATTGCTCCAATGAAATTTAACCCCTTCAGGACAGGTGACGGACGAGGTCCGTCACAGAGGGGAGACCCTTAACGACGGGTGACGGACCTCGTCCGTCACGCGGTAAAATTAACCCCGGATCGCGGCGTTAATGGTGCTCCCGGTATGCCTCCGCATTAGAGGCATACCGGGAGCACCCGGTCAGGCTGCCCAGCACATGTGCTCGCTCTGACCGCAAGTCAGAGCGAGCACATGTGCTCTGTATACTCACCTACCGGCTCCCTGCACTTCCGGGTTCTGTGTGAAGTGCAGGGAGCCGGATCAGTGATGATCCTGCCCCCTGCTGGAAAAAAAAATAAAGTTAATTTAAAGTCCCCCCCCTTACCCATTTTAATAAAAAATTAACCCCTTCCCTGCCAATTGATCACTGACTACAGTGATCAATTGGCAGGGATTACATTTTACTATGATCTGATTTTTTTTTTTAACCCCTGAGGGTTAATTCTTTTTTTTTTTAACCCTCAGGGGTTAAATTAATTAAATTAATTAATTATTTTTTAATTATATATTTAGCTAGCTGGGGTGGGTGGAAGTTAGTGGGGAATTGGGGGATTTGGCGTTAGGCTAACTAGGGGTTAACGTTAAAAAAAGTTTTAAAAGAAACTTTAAAAAGTTAAAAATTAAGCTTAAAAAAATGTTTTAATAACATTTAAATAAAAAAAACAAAAAAAACACACTTTACCTAGTCCAAATAAAAATTAACCCCTTCCCTGCCAGTCGATCACTGCCTACAGCGATCAAATAGAGATCACAGTATTATACTGTGATCTAATTTTTTTTAACCCCTGAGGATTAACTTTTATTTATTTTTTTAACCCTCAGGGGTTCAATTTAATTAATTTAAATATTTTATAACTATATATTTTGCTAGCTGGGGTGGGTGGGAGTTATGGGAAAATGGGGAATTTACTGTTAGTGCTGCATACTGCTAGTTAGGGTTTAACGGTAAAAAAAAAAAGCTTAGAAAAATGTTAAATCTGTAAAAAAGTTTTAAGAAAGTTTAGGAAAGTTTAAAAAAAATTTATAAGCAAAACAAAAGTTTAAAAACTAGTTTTTAAAAGTAAAAAAGTTATAAAAAGTAAAAAAATACATTTTAAAAACGCTCATTACCACTACACCTGGAACAAACTAGAGAAAAAATTATCCCACGCCAAGGTTCAAAATATGCCTTTTGAATTACCCCAGGGTGTATTCTTTAATAAATAGTATGTGTTTGTGGGGAAGTTTCAATAACCAACCGTCTAAACTACTCCAAATTGGAACATGGACACAGCGTAAAACTTCAAAGTTAGAAAAAAACTGAATGGCTGCGTCTCAAATGCGCCCCTTCAACATCCACATATACCTGGCAAAGGTACATACGGGGGTATTGCTGTACTCAGCCGACATAGCTGAGCAACATATGAAGTATTATACAGTCATAGTACACATAAGGTTTGCAAAATATGCTGCGCAAACTCACTTTGTATGTCAAAAAGGCAGAAAAAATGCTTATTACCACTACACTTGGTACAAGCTAGCGGAAAAATGATCCCACGCTAAGGTTCAAAATATGCCTTTTGAAATACCCTGGGATGTCTTCTTTAAGAAATGGTATGGCTTTATGGGGAATTTGGATTATATAGCCTGGTAAAATACTCTAAAATGGGACATAGGCACAGCATAAAAATTCAAAGTTTGAAAAAAACTGGAATGGCTGTGTCCCAAATGTGCCCCTCCGATGTCCACACATACCTGGCAAAGGTACATACGGGGGTATTGCTGTACTCAGCCGACATAGCTGAGCAACATATGAATTATTATACAGTCGTAGCACACATAAGGTTTGCAAAATATACTGTGCAAACTCACTTTGTATGTCAAAAAGGCAGAAAAAACGCTTATTACCACTACATCTGGTACAAGCTAGCGGAAAAATGATCCCACGCTAAGGTTCAAACTATACCTTTTGAAACACCCTGGGGTGTCTACTTTAAGAAATGGTAGGCCTTTGTGGGGTAGTTTGAATTTAAAACCTGCGAAGATGCTTGGAAATTGCACATAGGCCCAGCGTCAAAATTCAAAGTTTGGTAAAAACGGATATGGCTTGGTCTCCTATATGGCACTGTAGCTTCACAAAATAGTGACAAAGACATTCATTGGGGGTGTATTTTTACTCAAAAGACTTAGCTGAGCATAATTTGGGAGGTTTGAACTTAGTGGCACATATGAAATATACAAAACGCCCAGCAAAAATGCAATCCGTATGTAAAAAATGCACAAAATAATTTTTTTACCACATACTTTGGCATATATTGGTGAAAAAATGGGGGTATGTTAAGGCACAATATGCACCTTATGAGATACCCTGGAGTGTCTACTTTTACAAATGGTAGGCCTTTGTGGGGGTTTTTTGAACAGTCAAACTGTTATAATACCCCAAATGGAAGCTAAGGCTCATTAAATCCATCTCTCAAAATTCTACTGTGAATACTGAAAAGGACAGGTATCCTGTATGGCACTGTAACTTCACGAAATAGTGCAAAAGACATACAATGGGGGTGTCATTTTACTCAGCAGATGTAACTGAACACAAAATAAAACTTTGTACAGGAATAGCACACACCAACTTTACAAAATATACACGAGAATTTCTCTGTTATAAGTTTGTGTGCCAAAAACCAAAAAGAACACAATTTTACTCCAATATTTAGCAGAGGTTGGCGGTAATATGGCTACGTAGAAAGTGTCAAAACAACCTTAGGTAAATAGCCCGTGATGTCTACTTTATATAAATATATACTTTTGTGTGGCAATTTTGTTTTCTTTTATGGCTATTAAGCTTACAAGACAAACATACCAAATTCTAAAATCGCTCCACATTAAAAGTTTATTTTACTCCTTGTGCTTTGTGACCTGTAACTACCAAAAAAAACTTAAAATCCCAGACACATTATATATTCTGTAAATCAGAACAAATAAATAAATTTATTTTTAATTACTTTCCTTAACCTGCACTAATTATGCACACATTATTATTGCAAAAACTGTAAAAAAAAACAATATTTTTCATTTTTTTTGCATTTTTCTGTATTTTTTTTATAATAAGTAAGCATTTATATATATATATGTTATATCAAATTAAAGCCCTTTCTGTCCTTTAAAAAACAGTATATAATATGTGTCGGTGCAATAAATGAGAGAGATGCAAATTGCAGTTGAACGCAAACAGCAAGAAAATGCAAAAATTGCTTGTGTCATTAAGCGTAAGTCAAGCTTCTGAAGCTGTGTCCTTAAGGGGTTAAATCAAATTTGATTATTTATATTATGTGTATGTATATCTGGTTATTTCAAAATGGCTTCTGTAATCCAGTCACCCTCTGTGTTGCCCATTGTTGCTGTTTGTCTTCTCAACGTCTGCTTCTGTAATTTTTTTTTCTTTATGGACATTGGATAAAACTATGCAAATGTGAAGCTGAAAGTGCAGCTGTAGGCAGGACCTTCCCACCCGAAGGTGAAATGGTCCGATAAAGTGCTCATTCTGTTGTGTCTGCATGGATCTGATCACAACTCTGTCCAGCAGAGGACGATAGCCTCAAAGTTCAGTTGAAGTCATCATTGCTCAGTTTAGCTCTCTCCTGTGAGGAGTAGAGTACCTTTTTGTTTGTAGCAGGTGTACTCCACTCAAATAGGACCAAAATTGATAAGAACAACTCAGAACTTAGTTCTAAACTGCTTAATTGACAGCTCAGTGAGCGATCTTTTAGATTAAATGACGTGGTCAGGTTCTCGCTCCCCTGTTTGTTTACCTTGCTCTCTTTCGCCATGTCACTCTTCCTCTTGTGGGGTTTCCGTGCTTGCGAGTTTTGGGGTTCCTGGAGTGGTTGTGCTGCTAACAAACGCTGATTGGCTCTAAAATGCTCGCAAGTGGTAGAAATTGTACTGTGGCTCCTTCCCTCTCCTCACATTGGCCCGCATTCCACTTTAGGCACCAGTCACAGTCATGGTCTGTGTTTAGGGTGGAACCATCACTAGAAATGGGCTCCCTAGGCATATGTTCCCTGGCCTTTCCTTCAGGTATTCCTGACCATATCTGCACTTTATCCCTGTTTCGCTTTAGTTTATTTTGAAATGTCATTTCTGTGTTTCGGGTTCCTTCCACTAACCTGACAAATGCTTTTTACAAATCTTTGCTGCTATAACCCACACTAATCTAAGTGTGCTCTGGATGTTCTAAGCACCAAGCACTTTTCAATATATCAAAGTGCTTATGATATGTAGACTGACCCTTTAACAATTGTGTGATCGAAAAGTAATGTGTTGTAAGGAATTGTGCGGGATGTATTTTTTTTCTTTGTTTTGCATAATGTTTCATTTGTTGTTGATACCTTTCTTTATAGGCCTCACACTCTGAACAGCACTAGTATGTCCAAAGCCTACCAGAGCACCTTTACAGGGGAGACAAATACACCCTATAGCAAGCAATTTGTGCACTCAAAGTCCTCCCAGTACCGTCGGCTGAAGACTGAGTGGAAGAACAATGTATATCTGGCTCGTTCAAGAATTCAGGGATTGGGCTTGTATGCAGCAAAGGACCTGGAGAAGCACACGATGGTCATAGAGTACATTGGCACCATAATCCGGAATGAAGTGGCCAATCGTCGGGAAAAGATCTACGAAGAGCAGGTGAAGACAGCTTTACTGTTTGGTTCTCCCAGATCTCTGTTACTACTATCACCACGACCACTTCAGTGATTTGAAGTGATTAGGTGGTAAGAGTATGTTTGTGCAGTGTTACTGCTTGAAACACTGCACATGCATTATTTTCAGTTGTGTGCTGGAAACCAGTTGCACCACCAGCACATGTGACTTGAGTAGCCCTGAACTCTGTTCATGCTGCCTAATTTCAATTCTGTGCTGTCTTGCCTTTGCAGGGCAGCTGCAAGGGTAAAATAGCTCTCCCCTACCTTTCATCTCTCACCATTGAATAAATAGGAGGAATTCTCCCTCCCTCCCCTCCCTTTGCTGGCACAGAGAGCACGCATGCACTCAGAGCCAGCGTATCAATCTAATCACAGACTTCTCAGTGAGAAAATCAGGACTGGCAGCTGCGCCTAGTTCTGGATTAAGGTACGTTTAAAACATTTAAATTTTTTGCAAGTTTTGACAGGAACAGGGGCCTAATAGCTATGACCTATGGGGCATTTATAAAAAAAAAAAAAATTTAATTGTATATCAGGGTCGGAGTAACACTTAATATGAACAGTCAAGCAAGGTTTGAGGATTGTTTGTTTTGGTTTTTTTCACCCATGGATCAGCAAAATCGTATTTTCTTTAGGACCACCTACAAACAATAATGGGGAGTATACATCTGCTTCCTAAACACATCCTTTGGGAAAATGGTACATGCCCACCATCCCCAATTCCTGACCTCAGGCTTTGAAGAGCCAAAACCTTCCACTTTTGGCATGGTATTGGGTTAAATTTTTTCCATCCTTGAGTTTTGGACTTGTTTCCCTCCAACTACTACTCCTCATGTCATCACTTTTACATTAAATTAAGTGCCTCTCATTAACAAAGGGCATCTGTAAATTACTGACAAAAGCCTGAAAGACTAAAATGAACGAGTAATAAGCGTAAATTTCTAAAATGAACAAATACATCAAAAATTAAACTTTTGTCTTTTGTTTTTGTTCCAGAACCGGGGGATATACATGTTTCGAATAAATAATGAACATGTGATTGATGCCACTTTGACCGGTGGGCCTGCCAGGTAAGATTTTACAGTTTATGGGCTGGTAATTAGAAAAGTTTTTAGAAAGAAATGTTTCTAACTGCCCCTTGCTTTTTAAGGTACATTAACCATTCCTGCGCCCCCAACTGTGTTGCTGAGGTAGTAACATTCGACAAAGAGGACAAGATTATCATTATCTCCAGTCGCAGGATCCCAAAAGGAGAGGAGGTAACGGTTTGGTACACGTAGTGTGATGGAACATTAGTGCCAGGACAATGTTTAATCAAAATTACTTTATAGAAAGGTAACCTGGTGCCTGTACATGTGTGCTTATAGTCTTAGAAACTGGAATCTCTTTCTCATTCCTGTCGCATTCCTTGCATCCTGTCAATTTGTAATGACTCATGGGAATTTACGATTATTTGCTTCTGTTTTCCAAGTGTCATCATATGTTAAAACTCTTAAAATTACAAATGCTACAGTATTAAATTATAAATTGTAGGATCAGGCAGCAGCGCCTGTGATGGGATTCCCATGCTCAGAGCGATACGGAGGAGGGAAGGAAAGACACGGATATAGTGTAGTATGTTGAGATCTTTAGTGATGGTAAATGAAGGGAAAGGAATTGCACTTATACTCTGCTCCAGATATGTGTGCCTGGATGGTACAATCCCCACCTATGGATATGTAGATGGTCCTTGGATGTCAACATACTACACTATATCTGTATAATTTTCCTTCCCTCCTCCATATCTCTCTGAGCGTTGGAATTCCATCACAGGCGCTGCTCCCTGATCCTACTATTTACATCCATCGTACCACCAGAAAAGAAGAGACTCTGTTTTTTTGGAAGTTTCAGCAGCCACATACTATAATTACAAGTACTGATATTCCTCCTACCCCTCTATTCATCAGTATTAAATTATACTCTAGACCTTAAAATGTTGTTAATGCTCTCGCTTAAAAAAAAAAAAAAAAAAAAATCATGTTGGTGTGTTCATTTAAGTACATTTTCACTTTAGTCATTGTCAGTCTGATATTGATCTAACCTGGTTGGAGAGGTTAAGCAGAGAACTGGATTTTATAAAGTTATCTGGTTATAAACCTTGTTTTCAAGAGGTTTAGAGGAAAAAGAAATACAACATCCGATCAGGGTCATGGATATTGGGTAAATGATTTGTTTTGAATGGGAGTGATTATTACATATTTGGAGGCAATTGGAAAAGAACCAGGAGAAAGTGAAGACATGTTAATCGAAGCTGCAACTAGAGAGGGGGAAAGAAACCTAAAAATCTGTGTATGTGGGTTGTAGGGAGCGAGAGAGAGAGAGAGTTGAAATCTTCTCTATAGTAACTGGTGAAAACAAGCTTGTGGTAGGGTAAATAGGATGGAGCTTAATATATAAACAGTTTAAAGCCGGTAGCTCACAGTTTATTTAGCATTATACGCAACAAATGTAACTATGTAACATTGTAATTTACCAACCTTTCATTTCTTCTTGCTAGCTCACATATGATTACCAGTTTGACTTTGAGGATGATCAGCACAAGATCCCATGTCACTGTGGAGCGTGGAACTGCCGGAAATGGATGAACTGAACAGCACGGTGAAGTTCTGCTGTCTAACAAAATCCAGAGCGTGCGCTCTTTTAGCAGAAACGTTGGGGAGAGAGCACAGGGCACTAACTTGTGTCCCTCACCACCCCATCTGCTATTTCAAGCCTTCGCCGAGATGCAGGTCCCAGGCAACTCTGCATCTTACCCAAGTAAGGCTGGTGCAGCGATGTCATGAGAGCTTCATTACCAGTCTGAAGACTTCACACATGGTGAGAGTGATGCACTGCTCGAAAACTACGCTGCGGAGAACAGATGTTCACACTGAACAGCTGGATGGATTAATGTGTAGCACCCATTCCTTCCTGGAAGAAAATATGCTCTATATGAAGGAAGGGAACTTATATTTTTTTTTTTTTTTAATGGAACTTTTAAAAGAGAATTATTTTTTTTCCCTTTTATTTTCTGGGAATCAAATTATTTTGCTCTGACTTCTCAAATAAGAGAAAATGCAAAACAAAAGCAAAAAAAAAGAAGAAAAAAATGTTTAAAAAAATAAGTCATTAGTTAACAAAGCAGTTTGACAATCCTAAATCTACAGGACCCTCAGCGCGCCAGAGTGAGCACATAAGACTGCAGAAAAAGAGCACAGAAGTTGCTTTAAGTGAGCGCCAGAGACAGTCCAATGACTGTTACCTGTCACAGCTACCCAGTCCCAGAGGCACCTGCCAGCACCTACCTCATCTGCCTGTTGGATACTAATGTGTATATGTGACACTCCCATGGCAATCTAAATTAGATAGCACCTCATAAACAATGACACAGCTCGATAATGGGAGTCATGAAATGAAAATTATTGCCACCCATCCCAAAGGGTTGGACTGCTTTTGATCCCTTTCTGAAGCTTTGTGGCCTGTCTTTTGTCCTTAAAAATGGGCTTTGAGCAGGCAGGAGTGCACTAAGAAACGTGTTTCTGCTGACTGCCTGTTTTTTGACCTGTCCTTTGGCAACTCGTTTCTTTCCCTATTTTCTGTGCCTGGAGTCCTCACCCTTCGCTATACATGGAACATGAGATGTAATCGGAAGACCTGCTGTGTAATGGGGTAGAGGGAAAGGCATTTACGGCAGGTGTGTGTGTATGTATGTCAGTAGGTGTGAGTGTGAGACTTTTTCCCTTGGTTTTAATTTAACAGCTACGCGTGCATCTTGATACTTTCCAATTCTTTCTCTGCGAGCCCAAAAATAAGTGGAAAGTTATGTTGGTATATATTTTTGAAGAGGGTAACCTTTTTTTTAAGAAAGAGAAAAAAGTGGTTTTAGAAATGTATTGCTGTCTGCCCCAAACATCCTTCTACATTACCCTTACATTCATTATTCTGAAGCTGCTGCTTCTATCAATTTTTTTTTTTTTAATTCTTTTTTTTGTTCCTTTTAAAAAAAAAATAAAAAAAAAAATTCTAGCACAGTGCTTGGGGTAGGAATAGGTGAAGGGGAGTTATTTATTTGTACATGTAATTATATTTATGTATTACAACCTTGTGTGAGGGAAGTACAGGGTCATTTTCTGAGACTGGCATGGTGTCCTAGGGCTTTAATAAATTATAAATTTTATATGCTTTGTGAACAATATTTGGCTCATTGGTGCAGGAAGAGGCTGAGCGCAATTAAAGCCCTAAAATGCAGTTAGTTACTGAACTGAATGGTTTTAAAATGAGTAGTTCACAATCCTTATGGCTTCCAAGTTTTTGTTTATTTTGTGGTCCCCACCTCTGCTCCTTCCCTCCAACTGTATGATATTGCTGTAGATGCAGAAAGCGCATTCATGTTTCACAAATATAAACTTTTTTCCGAACTTCACAAATTTGGTGTCCCTTCTCCTAAAAAAACACACCAATTATGTTTTGAAAATAGACAAAGTACTGATGGCAAAATAGACCAAGGGCATTTAAAGTCAAAGCTAGTGTGTATATGAGAGAGAGATTACGTGCTGTTGCTTTTTAACACAAGCTGCTTCCACAACTGTTTAAAAGCTGCAAACCTGTATAAATAAAGGAATGGTGGATGTAAATAAAAATGTAAGAAAAATTAAAAACATAAAATAGTTAAAAGTAAAGAATGTTGTGTATAGTCAGGCACCATTTTAGAAAGAAACCACTGGACACTATGAAAAGCCTGAAAATTTGGAAAGAAATATACCTTTTCCTTATCTTTAATTTCCTGCTTTTCTTACATTTAATTTTAGGAGAGCATCAGGCTCTTCTCTGGAAGCTGACAGAAAAGCCGTGTCAGACCATGATATTAGATTATCATAGCTATAAATTACATTAATATAGCTCTTAGATAAACTCTATACATTTTTTTTGTATGAAATATAATCCAGATCCATGCTTGAAATACTTGATTTCTTTTTTGGCTTGTAAAACACTTTCAGTTGCTGTGTTTTGATTTGATTTTTTTTGTTTCCACTTGCAAATATTTTGTTTTCATTATATTCACCCCCACACTTTTTTTTTTTGTATTGACAATATTCCATGAGGAGCTGTAATTTGTGCGGTGAGGATTCTGTACAGAAGACTTGTCCTTCGTAGAAAAAAAACAAAAAAAAACCCCATAAAATTATTCCTTTTTTAAAAAAAAATAAATAAATAAAACTTGTACGTGGCATGTTTTTGTATTGAATATAATTTTGAAATGTATATAATTTATGTGAAAGAAGCGAATAAGGAGAGCCTAATTGCTTCTTTTGGTTTGTTTTTAAAGGACAAATAAAATGCATTTTAAATAATTCCAGTATTTTGTTATATTTTGATTTTATTATTTATTTTGGCTCACTGGTCCTTTCAGTAACAATAATTATTTGGGGGAAAAGCCATACTGCCAGTCCTATGGCTCCCACACGCAAGATGGCGTCTGAAGCAATTCTGGAATCATGTACGTTCTCAGCGTGTGACATCAACTGAGGGCGGAAATTCATCCTGGTGTAAGGGCGGAAGTGAATATCTACGAGCTACTCTCATTGATGAAGACGCCGCCATGGAACCGGTGAGAGGAGGGGTATGTTAGGGAGTGTATTGTGCTAGCGTCGGTATTGTTTTCACTTTTTGAAGATAATTGTTTACGAAAATTAGTGGCCTCTGCCGGCGTCTTCCGGAGTACCATGAAATGGCGGGATACGGGGCGCTGGTGGTCTCTGCCCCTAAAAATGCTGTCTGGGGGCTGGTGGTGAGCGGTGCGCTGACTGTGGCCGTGCAAACTCTGGATTACAACTCCCATTACACTCTGTAACCGTGAAAAACCCGCGCTCTCTGCAGCGTTTGCGATATCCCACCCCGCAGTGCTCGTTGTAATGTACTAATTATTACTAAACTACAATGATTGGTAATATTCTGTAAGAAGACCAGTCCTGAGTGTCCTTTTTTATGGCATAATTTTATTTACTTTTTTGTAACATTTAGTACGTAAACATTCTGTGTATCCATCACTGTAGTGCTTAGGTCCAGGGATGGAATTAAAGTTACCCACAGCTTGCTATTGTGCTAGTTAAGGCTGGCAAAACACCATGGGAAATGTAATTCAACAGCTGGAGAGTTACATTTTGGGTCACCTCTGGATGTTTACATGGGCATGCAAGAATGTGAATAGTGACACTATGTAGCTACTTTAAAAAAAATGAAAGTAAACTTTTCCCAGCTTGAAATAACTTCACTGCTAGCTGACTTAAACCAGGCAGTGCTTATGGTTATAATGCATAGTTTGAGCCTCTAGAAACTCAAATAAGTCGAATTTGTTACATGCTAATGTTGAAGTAACAATATCCAACACCTTTCCAAATTGTAACCCTGATTATTATGATGCAATGTGTGAGCTGCCTAACTTGGAATAAAACCAAAATACAAGTTGACCTGAATTTACCACTATGTACACCAAAGTATATATTGGTTCACAAGCTTCTGCACAACTTAATTAGTTTAAACTGACGTAATGATTACTTTGTCTCCTGGTTTGTATTCATAATAGACTGTACAGGAAATGAATACTACAGTCTCTGAAACCACTAACTATAAAAACTTGTATTTACAAACTTTCCATAGCTGCATCTCTTTTGGATTAGTTTGAACTTTTGGTTTAGGCCAGGAAATGCTTGAGACTGCAGGTATAATAGTTCTCTCCTCCTTCCATTTCCATACCAGAGGTTATTTTGTTATATATATATATATATATATATATATATATATATATATATATATTATTTTCTTCATTTGAACAGACTTGGTCATTTCTTTATGTGAAAAAAAACTTTTTTTAAATATATTATAACCACCCTCCATGTTTACTCCTCTTGTAAATCCTTGACCCATTTTTACAATGGTTTGATTATTTTCAAAGGGGTCTGCCCTTTCTCTTATTCCTGCTGGTAGAATTGAACCCCAGAATTTTCATTCATGGGCTTCCTTTAGCTCTTCTGAGCTAAGCCCTGCTTAGTGGTCCCCAGGTACAAATTCAAACCGTTCTAAAATTGTTTGGCTGCTTATGGGTTTATATACTAAACAGTGCATTCAGACACTTAAAGCAAAATTTTAAGGCAATACAGTAGAATTGGAAAAGTTTTCCTGTTGAGTGTTTTTATTTTTAAATTTATTTTAATTGCCTTTTTGCCCTAAATTTAAGTTTTACTTTCATGTGACCCAATTAACTGTTGACTAAATGAACACATTTTTTCAGAAAATATACTTTCTTTGCTATATGCTACCAGATAAAATGAGCTCTTAATTTCATTCCTTGTGCATGTTTAACTTCATTTTGCATACAAAATTGCCTGCTTCCTTATGATTGTTTGTGTGCATAAACGTTGTCATGTTCTTGGCACTGTCTTTTTTTTGTTTTATGTATGTTTAGTTCAATTGAATCTTAGAGGGGAACTCCAAGCTAGCAGCACTATTTAACAATTCATTTATAGATATTACCGGTATCTATATTAAGTAGACAGGAAAAAATAATTTAGAATAAAAGATGGTTTTCTCTCTGAAAATTCCAGTTATGTAATTAGCTAAAGCATTAACTGTTTAACTCTGTACAAAGCTTAGACGTCAGATTGTGATAAATCTAATGAATTAACTTAATTCAGAAAATTAATTCTTACATCAAAGAAAGCGTAAAATTTGCATTATTGCCTTGTGTTTAATATTTACATTTTCATTGGATATAAATGCAACTTCATCTATTTTTGCTCCAAATTTAAAAGTTTCTAGTAATTCTACCTCCTACCCCTTATAGGTACTACTACCAAGGGGTTTAACAGGAGTTGAGCTGAGCTGGCAATAAAATAAACATTGTGAAGAGCTACAATATTATATTTCTGAAATTTCTAATCTGGAAGATTGACTGGTTCTGACATAATAAAATAGAAGAAAAATATTTCAAATCAAAGCTGTTAATTTTTATTTTTTTGGCATGTGAGTATGGTCATCTCAGAAGTAATTTACTAATGCATTTTAGTTATGAGCAAGCACTAAGATACAGTGCTCTCATTACTAGCTGTCCAGATGTGAAAACTATTTTTTACTGCTAAATTGCTTGTGAATTGTTTTTAATTAAAACAATATTTGTAGAAGGGTACTGCAGCAAGGATTTGATGTTCAGCACCTGATTGTGTGCTACATGGAAAAGTCCTAGGAAAAAATCAATACTATAATATACCATAGCACTCTGTTGGAATATGTATCTTTATTGGTATCACAATAAGATAAAAATAAAAAATTTAGCATACCAGATATATCCTACACCTTGAAAATAATCTCTCTAATCCAAATTACCTTTTACATGCAGAAAAATTCTAGCAATAAACCCCAATTCAGATGGACCAAAAAAAGACTGGTTTCTACTCTAGTTCCCTTTGAAAATGACCTAGTTGAAATGGAGTTTGTGGTCTCTTCTTTTTGGCTATCTGAAGGCAAAGTTTAGTTTATTGGTATAAAAAAATCAATTGGATTATAGTATATTGTAATATGAAATCTGGCATTCCGTTTTTTAAAACTTTTTTTTTTTTTTTTTTTCCTCTCATCAAATCCGTGTGAAAATCACCTTTGCTATAATGTTTGTTCTGTTTGTATGTTATGAAATAAGACATTGTTTTGTTTTTATCTACAAGGCACCTTGCTGTAGACTGGCTTTTCCTTTGTCTGGCACTGCACCAATTTAAACCTCCTGCCGCCTTATTTGATTACAGTATTTTGCATGCTGGGGCTGTATGTTTGTACGTGACATTAGCATGTTGTTGAATGCAGTTTTTCTTTTGAATGGGTATGTTGCAATATTATCGCTAATGGTGAGGTCATGATTCCTTATTGTGTAAACCAGGATGTTACATTCAATCTGACCGACATTTGATGTTAAATAAAATTAGCTTAAGGGGATGACTGTAATTAGTTTCTCAACAAAAAAAACTAGTCTCTATTAGACGAGTGACACGTGTTTGCAAAATGTATCCAATATTTAAAAAAAAAAAAAAATTTTTAAAAAATGCACACTGAGAATGTAAAAAAGAAAATGTTAATCTGGAGAATATCATCTGGGAGGGGGACACAAAGTAATGGGGCATACGGGCAGGGGACATCAGATGGTAATCTTCTCTCCCACAGATGGGCTGTGCACTTTTAAGATAAGGAACGGCTCTAAGTTAAAAAGTTACTCAAAGCACTATAACCACTACAGAGCACAGCAATTTACCCTCTTACCTGGCTCCAATGCTCATTGTTGGTCCAGTGACATGTTTGTCTTCACAAACAATTAAGTGGCCGTGGTACTTGGCCTAATCTTTAAAAATATCATACAGAGAACATGGGAAAATTTAAATCGTGTTTTCTTTCAGAGGGAATGTGCTAAACAGGAAGGCCACAGTGATTTGCCAAAAATGTTACTTAATCAGTTATTCAGTTATACAGATTAGTACTCCTCGTGTCTCAACCTGAATAACGAACTGTATTGAGAAATATCCACTGGTGGTACAAAGCTTCCAATGGCTGTCAGAATTAAAACTAAAAGGTACTGACCTGGTGTGCTAAACACTACTACTAAACAGGGCTAGTGTTGCGAGGATGCCTTCTCATCCACTAAACTATGTATGAAACGTGTTTCGTTATTCAGGAAGAATGGTAACATGGGTTCTTGCTACTTTGGGGTACCTGGTCCATGAGGTTGTGCTCTTCCTAGTATAGATAAGATGCTCAAATTTGGTTTGTCCCCTTTTCCATTGTTTTGCTGTCTCCTGGTGCTCCTCCTACCTCTCCCAGCGCTCTTTCAGTGTTTCTTTTTCTAGCTCTGCTTCTTCTCCCCAAATCGTCTCTGGTTTCCCCTAAGGTTCAGTCCTTGGTCCCCTAATGTTCTCCATTTATACTGCCTCCCTTGGTAAACTCATTAGCTCCTTTGGCTTCCAATATAATTTCTATGTAGATGACACAAATTTATCTGTCCTCCACTGATTTCTCACCACTCCTCTTGACTTGTGTCTCTTACTGCCTCTGCTATTTCGAGCTGGATGACTGCTATTTTTCTTAAACTGAACCTGTCCAAAACAGAACTTCTGGTATTCCCTCCCTCAAGTGTTGCTACTCCCACATTGTGCGCATCCGACCCTACATAACGCCAGATGCGACTAAGGTGCTGGTCCATTCCACTGTCCTTTCTCACCTTGACTACTGTAATCCGCTTCTCAGTGGTCTTGCGTGCTACCAACTAGTGCCGTTACAGTCTAATCAATGTGGCAGCGAGGCTCATCTTCCTGTCCTCCCACGCCTCACCATTCTGTTAGTCCCTACATTGGCTTCCTATAAGATATATAGAGCTCAATATAAAATTCTGGTTCTTGCTTTCAAATCTCTATATAATGCTGCTCCCACTTATCTATCCTCCCTAATACACAAGTATGTCCTGTCTAGGCCCTTTAGCTCTGCTGAAGACCCACGTATATCCTCTGTCCGTACTCCCACTTCTGATGCTCGCCTTCAAGACTTCTCGAGGGCTGCACCGTTCCTGTGGAACTCTCTCTTCCCTCCTCCGTTAGATGCTCACCCAGTCTCCAATCTTTCAACAAAATCATTAAAAACCCACTTCTTCATAAAAGTGTATATATTAAACTGTTAATAGCTCCTGACTTGTTCCTCTCCTGCAACTGTCATTAGTCTAATACTTCCCTTACCTTTTGTGACACTTTACCCCACTCCCTCTAGCATTTAAGCTCACCGAGCAGGGCCCTCAACCCCTCTGTTCCTGTTTATCCAACTTGTCTGGTTACAACCACATGTTTGTTCATCCACTCACTGTAAACACAAACATGTATTCCAGACCCTATGTGTTAAAACCACCATCTGCTTTCCCTCCCCCACTATGCTCTCTTGCCTATGTTTCACATAGGATTGGCAGAGACTGTCAAGGAGACCGATCAGGGACAGATTACATTCAATCAATGCATTAATTGAATCAATGGGTCTCTATGAGGAAAGTTCAGTGTCTGCATGCAGAGGGTGGAGACACTGGCAGTGCTGTACACTGTGCAGCACTGCCCCAGGAAGCACCTGTAGTAGCTATCACTAGGCTGTAATGTAAACACTGCATTTTTGCTGAAAAGACAGTGTTTACTGCAAAAAGCCTGAGGGAATGATTCTACTCACTAGAACAAATACAATAAGCTGTAGTTATTTGGGTGTCTATAGTGTCCCTTTAAATCTTTTTATTCTTTATTTCTTGCTGTCTAAATATAGCTAGGTATATTTAGATTTGAGGGTCATATTTTGCATCTCAACTGTTTCAAACTCGCACCTCTGCAACCTATCTTTAGAAAGGTCCCTTTATTTTGCATCCATGGGATCTAAATGTTGACCTTGATGTGGAGGACTGGTGAGAAATCTTGACAAACAAATTGTAGCTACATTGTTGGCCTCAATTACAATAAACATGTAAATTATAACTCCTTCTTGCCAGCAATTTTTAACACACAAAATAATCTGAATCCTTTTGTTAGAAACCCTTATATACACACAGAAAAATATATATAAACACACTTGTTTTTGCCCCCATTTTTCATGAGCTGAACTCAAAGATTTAACACTTTTTCTATGTACACAAAAGGCCTATTTCTCTCAAACATTGTTCACAAATCTGTCTAAATCTGTGTTAGGGAGAACTTCTCCTCCTTTGCTGAGATAATCCATCCACCGCACAGATGTGGTATATCAAGATGCTCATTAGACTGCATGATTATTGCACAGGTGTGCCTTAGCCTGGCCACAATAAAAGGCCACTCTAAAATGTGCAGTTCTATCACACAGCACAATGCCACATGTCGCAAGTTGGGAGGGAGCATGCAATTGGCATTCTGACTGCATGTTATATTGCATCTAACCTGCCTCACAACTGCAGACCACGTGTAACCACACCACACCACACCAGCCCAGGACCTCCACATCCAGCATCTTCACTTCCAATATCGTCTGAGACCAGCCACCCGGACAACTGCTGCAACAATTGGTTTGCATAACCAAAGAACTTCTGCACAAACAGAAATTGTCTCAGGGAAGCTCATCTGCATGCTCGTCGTCCTCATCGGGGTTTCGACCTGACTGCAGTTTGTCGTAACCAACTTGAGTGGGCAAATGCTCATATTCGATGCACCTGGCACTTTGGAGAGGTGTTATCTTCTCTTCACTGTTTCCACTGTACAGGGCAGATGGTGGATAGCATGTATGGCGTCGTGTGGGTGAGCAGTTTGCTGATGTTAATGTTGAGGATAGTGGCCCATGGAGGCGCTGGGGTTATGGTATGGGCAGGCTTATGTTATGGACAACTAACACCGATGCATTTTATTGGTAGCATTTTGAATGCACAGATACCGTGATGAGATCCTGAGGCCCATTGTTATGCCATTTATCCAGGACCATCACCTCATGTTGCAGCATAATGCGAGGCCCATTGTTGCAAGGATCTTTACACAATTCCTGGAAGCTTAAAACCTTCCCAGTTCTTGCATGGCCAGCATACTCACCGGACATGTCACCCGTTGAGTATGTTTGGGATGCTCTAGATAGGCATATACAACTGTTCCAGGTCCTGCCAGTTTCCAGCAAATTCGCACAGCCATTGAAGAGGAGTGGACCAACATTCCACAGGCCACAGTCAACATCCTGATCAACTCTATGCGAAGGAGATGTGTTGCACTGTGTGAGTCAAATGGTGGTCACACCAGATACTGACTGGTTTTTGGACTCCCCAATACAGTGAAACTGCGCATTTTAGAGTGGCTTTTTTTTTTTTATTTAATTTTTTTTTTATTCTTTATTGAAGAATTTATTTTATCATACAGTACATAAAAGACATATAAATACAGAAAATGTGTTCTTTTGTGTAATTAGCTTATACACATTAGTCCTATTTTTGTTATAGAATATTCATCGCTAAATAACAATCAATTGGTAAGTCTAGAATACCAATATCATTCATCCTAACACATCAAACATCCTTTCAGAGTAGGTTTATCACTTCTGTATAATAAAGGTTGAGCACATATTGTCTTATTTTGGGTTAATACTATATTGCAATTATTTTATCTAGCCATAATTTATATCTATTTCTATTTTTAAATATAGTAGTGAACTGTGTGATGCAACATCAACCCAGTCAGAGGTGGAGCGCTGAGACAATTATAAATAACTCACCATCCCCCTCTCCTTTTGGAGTATATTGAGACCTAGAGATGGGGATATAAGGTGGAACTACAATAGTGAAGTACTGTAGAGTAGTGATAGAGAAAAAATGCAAGTGTATAGAACCACTCACTTGGTACTGAGCCTTAACAGGACAGGCTCAGGTCACTTGAGCAGGTGTGTATATCTGGCAACACAAACCAAACAATAGATGGGAAAACTTCTGAATCCTTTAGGAATAAAAGAGGCCAGACATGGTGTAGTATGAAGGTGAATAGTAATTGTAGTGATAAAATATATCAAACTGCTCACCTGATTCAGAGCCAATGACTCGGGCTCTGAGTTTAAAAACGTAGGTACCACTAAGGGGGGTACCAAACCCTGCAATGGTAATTAGGAACACAACTTACGTCCAGGTATAGGATATAAAAAGTAAATTTATTCTATACAATGAAAACTAAAAAATATAAATATCAATAAAAAAATATAGTAAGAATCCTCCTGGATGTCCGAGACGCGTTTCGCCGGTAGGCTTCATCAGTCGGTGTGTTCCTATGCTGCTGTTCTTTTTATAGCCGGATAAGAGTTCCGTGATTCCAAATCAATTGCGGCTGTGTTCCGCTTTCGTCATTTCCGCTTGCGTCATCCTACAGCGCGGTCACTTGTTCGTGTCCATATGTCTATTAAGACTGCTGGCGCCATATTGGAAAAGGGCAAAGAGCGTCTATATACACATATATCGTTTCTCGGATCGAGAAATGACCGGAAAGAGCAGAATATGTAGACATATGATTAATATCAAAAATAAAAAACTTTGTTTTCATTAAACACCATTTATAAGGGAATTCTTTCTATATTCATATATAGATTTTTTCCAATAATTCATCTTATAGCTTAGTCTGTATGGGTTATGGTTCTATTTAAACTAATTAAGAAATATTAAATTTAAATATAAATTAAGATCTTTTTGAGCCAAATTGCCTATATTAAATCCAAGGATTTTTTGAAATATTCAGGATAAAATAATCATAAGTGTAGTTGAGTTATTCCTATTGTAATTCCCCTGTACTTTGTCATTATTAAATATAGGTAGGATCAGATATGTATTACCACATTAAATACAACCCAAATGCAAATACATATATCAAAGAGTCATGAATTAAAACGCCTCCATATACCTATGGGTGTATATGCACACTTATGTACACATGTATACGATCTTATTTGTCTTATAAAAAATGGCAGCTCAAAATCGCTATTTAATCCATGAGGTAGCAAAGTATTTAAAGTAAAAATCCACCTCATTTCAGTACGACCTATGTGCTGTACCAGGTCCTCACCTCTCCAATTGGGAGTGATTTTTTGTATTCCCATAAATTGGATGTTTGTAGGGTCTTTATTATGTTTTTTAGAGAAGTGTAGGGAAAGGCTATGCTTATCAAATCCATTGCGAATATTTCTAACATGTTCTTGAATACGTATATACAGGGGACGTATAGTGCGTCCTACATATATCAAACCACAAGGACATGAAATTGTATATATTACTTTTTTTGAATGGCATGTAATTAGTTCATTGATTTTAAACATTTGATTTAGGTTCTTTGGATGTGAGAATGTTGTAATGTCTTTTTTTTATTTTGAGTATTTTTTACAGGCTATACAACTTCCGCATCCAAAAAAACCTTTCGCATTATTTAGAAAATGTGTATTTTCCTTTTTTCTTATATGGTTACGTACTAATGTTCTATTGAGGTTTGGAACTCCTCGATAGATTACAGTAGGTTTTTCTGAATGAATGAATTATTGGAAAAAATCTATATATGAATATAGAAAGAATTCCCTTATAAATGGTGTTTAATGAAAACAAAGTTTTTTATTTTTGATATTAATCATATGTCTACATATTCTGCTCTTTCCGGTCATTTCTCGATCCGAGAAACGATATATGTGTATATAGACGCTCTTTGCCCTTTTCCAATATGGCGCCAGCAGTCTTAATAGACATATGGACACGAACAAGTGACCGCGCTGTAGGATGACGCAAGCGGAAATGACGAAAGCGGAACACAACCGCAATTGATTTGGAATCACGGAACTCTTATCCGGCTATAAAAAGAACAGCAGCATAGGAACACACCGACTGATGAAGCCTACCGGCGAAACACGTCTCGGACGTCCAGGAGGATTCTTACTACATTTTTTTGATATTTATATTTTTTAGTTTTCATTGTATAGAATAAATTTACTTTTTATATCCTATACCTGGACGTAAGTTGTGTTCCTAATTACCATTGCAGGGTTTGGTACCCCCCTTAGTGGTACCTACGTTTTTAAACTCAGAGCCCGAGTCATTGGCTCTGAATCAGGTGAGCAGTTTGATATATTTTATCACTACAATTACTATTCACCTTCATACTACACCATGTCTGGCCTCTTTTATTCCTAAAGGATTCAGAAGTTTTCCCATCTATTGTTTGGTTTGTGTTGCCAGATATACACACCTGCTCAAGTGACCTGAGCCTGTCCTGTTAAGGCTCAGTACCAAGTGAGTGGTTCTATACACTTGCATTTTTTCTCTATCACTACTCTACAGTACTTCACTATTGTAGTTCCACCTTATATCCCCATCTTTGGTCTCAATATACTCCAAAAGGAGAGGGGGATGGTGAGTTATTTATAATTCTCAGCGCTCCACCTCTGACTGGGTTGATGTTGCATCACACAGTTCACTACTATACCTTGTATTTTTGTGTCAATTAGTGAGAGAATTGCACATTGGTGGTAGCAGCTTATATAATCATTTATATAGAATTTCTTAAGCGCCTTAAAACACAATATCACTTCTATTCTATTTTTAAATATATTTGGTGTGCTCAATGGGAGATCAATTTCCATGGATAATTGGAATTTGATTTGGTTGAACAAATCAGTTTTTTTTTAAATGGAGTGGAAGACCTCCAGTTCCAAGCAATCAGAATCTTTGCGGCTACCATGCAATGCATGGCTAAACAGATATGATTAGTATTCTTTAAGTTCCATTTTATATGGAGAAGAGCGGTTGCACGGGTTCTTTCTTACTTGATATCCGTTAACTTTAAAAATATGCTAAAAACCCATTTCCATAAACCCTTAACTATAGGGCACGACCACCAGATATGAATATCTGAACTTGAGTAGTTGCCACATCTCCAACATTTTGAATCATATTGTGGAAACATCTTAGAGAGTCTCATTGGGGTATAATACCATTTATACATTAAAGTGAACCAAAGTGAATCTAGTATGAACTGGGTATGAATCCAGACCTTACTAGTCAAATGAGTGAAGCGCTATATATTTTCACTTACCCTAATTTAGGGTTAAATCTCAGATGTATGTTGATACATAGAAGTAAAGAAAACACAATACAACACAATATAGTGTAAATCTGTAAATAATGGGGATTTTTGATGTTATAACAATGGTCAAACTCACATGGAATAGAGCCTCAAACAGAACATGCTCAAGTCACTTTCACCGTAGTGTCGTAAGGAGACACTGCACCCTTTGACTGGATTAAAATTTCCTCAAAGAAAGAAAAAAGGAAAAAAAGGGGAGAAGCCCCCTAGTGTACTATGTTTTGACTTAGTGGTTACACACACAGTAGTTATAGTGGTGCTCACCTTCTTTTGAGCCAATGAGAACCTGGCTCTGGATGGTAGATTTAGGTGCCTCTGGAGGGGGGCACCAGCCCTTCTTTTAGCAGCAAGGCAAAGTAGGAAGCCAATGGGATATAGTAAAAAATAATAAATTTATTCTAAGTTTTAAAATCAAAAAGAATAATAAAACAATGTAGAAACAAATATAAAATATAAGTCCCAATAAATGACTTCAAATCCGAAACGCGTTTCACCCACGTCCTGTGGGCTTTTTCAATCGGCTCTTCTTTTCTTCATTACCCTGCTGTTTAAGTTTGCCGGTCTTCTTTCCGATAGGTGGTTCTTCATAAGTTTAGTCCAATCACATAGCTGCATATAGTGAGGTGGGATACCTCACCTGTAGTCCTTCAGGGTGATCGGAACTGGCGCGGTCTCCCAGTCCTCGTCATTTCCGCTTTCACCGCGGCCATTTTTCTTGTGGGAAAGTTCCCTGAATTAAATACCGGAAGTGACGCGACGGAATCAATCCGTTAGTCATTTCCAACTCAGGCCGTTTTACTGGCAAATTTAATGTATAATCTGCCCACACTTTCTTATGGGAAAACTCCCATCACAGGTATCCAAATGGAGGAGTAAAACATTTTACAAATAGCCAGAAAAAAGGGGAAAGAAGGGGAAAAAGAGGGACATATAAACATTTAGTACATAATTCATCACCTAAACAGTGACAATGTCAACTTCAGAATATAAACCAAAAAGTGCTCATAATTTCAGACTTAATATATATACCCTCAAATGTATATCATCTGCTCCCTTCTATTTTCATATGTAAAATTGTATAAAGATAAACAAAAAAGAATTTAGGCAGATGTTAACAGACTACATATATATAGAATGAATATACATATGGTAAAATAAACCATTTTTTAAAAATCCCCCCCTTTCCTATTCCTTTTCCCTTATTGTTTTATATAAATAGTTGACATTATCTTGTATAATATATATACATAGAATATAGAATATTATATTTAATGATCTATATCTTTTTTCAGAAGGAACAGGTGGAGTAGGATAACATATAAAATTAGATGAAGTGGCATATCTCAAAATCACTATTAAGTCCACCTGGAATCAAGGTGTTTATACATTAGTTTAAACTGACATTCGACTAAATTTAGACTGTTTTTATTTGTATTAGATAGAGAAAGGCACCACTCGTAGTCAGATATTTCTAGTCCCAATTTTTTTTCCCACCCCTTTATAATTTTATATGGTTTATCATTTAGGGTATCTATACGGAGATTAGCTCTTGTGGTAACTTTATTAATCGTTTTATATGAAAAAATATTTTCGACCGGGGATGAAATTATCTGAGAAGATTTAATGACCTTTTTTTCTAAGATATTTTTAAGTCTTAAATAGGTCAAGATTTCTCTACTAGGAACTTGGTATTTGTCTACTATTTCTTGAAAAGACAATATTTTGTCTCCCCGCATTATATAGGAGAGTCTGATTGTATCATTATTTGGCCATAATCTTAATGAGAGGTTCTCTACATTTTGTTCTAATAGATTTAGCTTGCATGTTTTTGGTATGCATTGTGTTATACCCAATAATTTTATTTCTTCCCATGCTTCCAGTAAATGTTGTTATATTGTGGAATTAGTGTATCAGATCATTAATTTTTTTCCTACTATCTCTCCATATATATTGTTCTAATTTATTTGTTCCAGCCTCCTCTGCTTCAGCAAAAAAACAAGGTTCTATTGCAATTTGATTGTCTTGTAGTTTATATATATGTCTGATTATATTAGTGTAGTAATTATGTTTGGGAAGTTTAGGCCTCCTTTGCAAAATTTCTTCGATAGGGTCTTTAGGCTTGTTTCCTCCCCCAAATAAAAGCAGAGAAACTAGCCTGGATCATGTCCAGCCAACTCTTAGGCATTTTGAGTGGTATCACGGAGAACAAATATAAAAATTTTGGCAATATATAGGAATTAATATTAATTTTTCCCATCCACAAGGTTTTTAGATTTTTTCCATTTTAAGATTTTTATTAGTATGCCTTAATAATTCTAAGACTTTTAATTCCATTGTATTTGATACCTTAGTAGGTACTACAATGCCTAGGTAGTTAATTTGCTTATTTTTCCAAATAAAATCATATTTTTTACTTAGTTTTTCCACATCCTGATTATTCATATTTATATACATTGCAGGAGATTTTGTAACATTTATTTAAAAATTTGATACTGCACTATAATTGTCGATCTCTTGGATCAAATGCTTTAGTGAGACCTCTGGAGAGGTAATTATGATTGTATCCTCTGCAGACATTGAGATTTTTATATCTCCATTCTTAGTGCTATAGCCCTTAATATCCATTATCTCTTGTATTTACAACAAAGGTGATAAGGGGCAACCTTGTCTGGTCCCGTTCTTTAGGTCAAACTAGCCAGCGGATATATTTGGACCTATAGTTCTAGTTGATGAGGCAGAATACATAGCCATCATTGCTGTGTGTATCCATCCGTTGAGCCCAAAAGCTTTCAAGACTTCCTCAAGGTATCCCCACCCAACCCTGTCAAACGCTTTCTCTGCGTCCAGTGACGGGGCTAGGAGGGGAATTCCTTTCCTATTTGCCTGATCCAAGATATCCAACAACATTCTCACATTATTAGTTGATGATCTGCCTGAAATAAAACCAATTCGATCTTGGTGAATTATTTTAGTAATTATTTTTAATCTTTCCGCTAAGATGGCGGCATAGATTTTCATATCAATGTTTATCAATGAGATAGGTCTATTATTGCTAACTTCTTTAGCATCTTTCTGAGATTTTAAAATTGGTATTAAGTTAGATTGAAGATGTTCTTTAGGAATTCGTATGTTATCCGCTATCATTTAGTCAAAATGGGTTTAATTAGTTTATAGTAGAGATTGGTAAATCCATCTGGTCCCGGAGTTTTGTTCAATTCTAGTCTATCAATTCGATATTCAACTTCCGCTAAGGAAAAAAATTTTATTTAATGTTTCCAGATCTAGTGCAGTGACTTTTGGTATCTTAGTAGTTAATAAATACTTTTGGATGTCTGAGATTTTCAAATTAATAAGATTATATAAACCACTATAGTATTCGTTGAAATTTTTTCCCAATTTGTTGTGGTGATGTGTAGATATTGGGTCCCTCCACCAGTTTATCTACCCTAATTCTAGAATTTTGTTGTTGTAGTTTTTTAAGTTAGATTTGTATTGGCTCTATTGCCTGTATAATAGTTATTTAGCCTTAATTTATTTGTTTTAATGTTTTTTCTTCCAATTTATTTATTTTATTCTGTAGTTCTGTTAATATTTTTCTTTCGGAAGTTGATTGTCTTTTGTTCAAATTTGATACATTATAGTATGTTATATATGTCGGCTAAGTTCTTGCCACTATTCTTTTTCTCCATATGCCCTAATTTAATTAAATATCCTCTCATCGCCGCTTTCTGTGTACACCAATTTATCGCTTGTGAGGTTTGTTGGGAATCGTTCTCGTCAAAGAACAATTTTAGTAGTTTAGTTAGATCATCTCTGTTTTTATCATTCTTGATAAGCATATCATTTAATCTCCAAGTGGTCATACCATAAGATTGTGATTTACCAAGCTCCACTATTAAAAAGCTATGATCAGACCAAGAGTTGTCTTTTATTTTAATTTTGTTAGCGAGAATTAACGAATTAGCATTAATTAAACCTAAATCGATTCTAGAGTAAGAGCCATGAACATTTGATAAGTGTGTATAATCCCTGTCTACAGGGTGGAGAACTCTCCATACATCATATAAGTCATAATTTTTACACATATTTATCAACTTAGTGGATTGTTTAATTACTCTTTTTTATCAGGCTTAGTTAGTATCTGATAGGCCTTGTCCATCTTGGGATCAGGTACACAGTTAAAGTCCCCTGCTATAATTAGGGTACCCTTTAAAACCTTATGGACCTTAACCATTATATTCGAGAATGGAGACATGGGATCAACATTTGGCAGGTAGATGTTAACTAAAGTAAATGGTTTATCTATATTGCAGACCAAAATTAAGTATCTAGCTTCCTTATCTGCCTCTTGATATAGAATATCAACTTTGATTTCTTTGGGGGAAAAAAATTGCTACGCCCCCTTTTTTATTTTTATTTTTTTGGATAGAGATGCTTGTCTGATTACTGGAAATTGCAACCCTCCCCATTTCTGCTGGACACCTTGCAACCAATGGGTTTCTTGTATGAAACCCAATTGGATATTTTCTTCTATTAAGGAATTGTATAGCATGTTTTTTTTTTTTTTTTAATAGTATTAAGACCCTGTACGTTTATAGACATTAATTTACCCATTTGTGCAACAAGTTTTCATTATTTTTAAAAGACCTACTCTGAAAACTACTTAAACAAAAAAAAAGCCTTTCATACTTAAATGACCCGTCCCTTCTGGAGACGTCACTTACACACACCTCGTGAGTTCCTTGGAACCACGTTCCTTTAAATCCCTCGTTAAACATTTAGTCACAAGGGAAAACAATGTAGGATCCCTACATAAAGTGGGGCAAACCCCGTAGGAAAGGTTTAAGATCACCTTATAATTATTTTCCCCTTACATCTTTCCCTCCCCTTAAGCTCTCCTCGCAAAAAAAATAAATCATTTAATATTTCAGTGTACTCCGTGATTGTCTTAATTGGCATTCAAGTGATGTACTTAATTTTATTTATTATGCTAAGGTTTTGTATTTATTCAACAGAAAGAGTCCATTGTTTATATTTTGTATTTTCAATTTTCTCTTTTCTTTGCCCTCCTCTCCCCCATCTAACACCCTCCCCTACCCCGTCGTCCTCATCCATCTTACAAATATTTTACCCTGATTTGTCTATTATTATTATTTTTTTTAATTGTTAGAAAATAGCAATTGAGGAACTTGGAAAATACCTTAAGTAGTGACAATGTGTTACGTTAAGTGAACAAGTGACTGTATTTGTAATCTGTTATTTAGTATACAGGCTGCAAATCAGCCTTTTATTGCACCCTAATATATTCTACCTATAGCACTCCATATCACAATCACAATAATTATCCTTTGATTTCACATAAATAAACTTAGTGTCTTAACTTTGGACTTTTTCCAACAAATTTAGTGAATATTTGATTTGACAGAATTTTTTTTTATAATTCAATTTTAATCTCAAATAGAGAAGATATTTATCAAAAAATCGTGCCCTTATTTTTGTGTTATTTTGGGATTATATTTTTCTCTCCTGAAGTTTATCACTGCATCACTAATTATGTGAGACTATGACACTTCAGAAAGAGAGAGACGGAAGAAGAAAAAAAACAATATATTTACCATGCCTTAATCTCAAATTAATCATTGCAATGTTTTTCCTTTTAGCCACCCTTCTAATTTCACATTTGAATCAAACACATCTATTTTACCTTCACAAGTAACACTTCATTTTTGTGGATATAACCATCTAAATTTTGGCATGTTTCCTGAGAATTTGTATTGCTGTACTGAAAGTTTTCCTTTTCATTCTAGTATTATATGATAGATCTGGGAATGCTATTACTTTTTGATAACACCCTGTTTTGATGAATTTACCCCTAGCCGTTTTTAAAACCTTTTCTTTACATTCAAATGAGTAAAAGGATGCTATAATGTCTCTTGGCGCTTCCGCCGGAATATTTTGTGGACATCTGTGACATCTCTCGATTATTTCTTTGTGTTCCTTAAATGTTAGACCAAGAGCAATAAAGTATTCCTTTAGGGACTGTTTGAGATCCTCAGGCCTGCTGGTTTCTTCAAAATTTCTGAAACGTAGATTTCTCCTTCTCAGACGGTCTTCCATATCAATTGTTTTTTTATTAGAGTTCTGTTAGCTTTTGTAGAACTTTATCATTCTCTTCTTTTAGTTTATTGACCTGAAAATCCAAATCTGTGAATTGATCTTCAAACTTTTGCATTTTTATTGCTAGTAAGTCTTTCATGTTTACTATCCGGTTTTATCTCCAAAGAGTTGGTTTCCATTTCTTTCTTAAAGGAACACTATAGTCACCTAAATTACTTTTGCTAAATAAAGCAGTTTTAGTGTATAGATCATTCCCCTGCAATTTCACTGCTCAATTCACTGTCATTTAGGAGTTAAATCACTTTGTTTCTGTTTATGCAGCCCTAGCCACACCTCCCCTGGCTATGATTGACAGAGCCTGCATGAAAAAAAAAACTAGTTTCACTTTCAAACAGATGTAATTTACCTTAAATAATTGTATCTCAATCTCTAAATTGAACTTTAATCACATACAGGAGGCTCTTGCAGGGTCTAGCAAGCTATTAAATAGCAGGGGATAAGAAAATCTTAATTAAACAGAACTTGCAATAAAGAAAGCCTAAATAGGGCTCTCGTTACAGGAAGTGTTTATGGAAGGCTGTGCAAGTCACATGCAGGGAGGTGTGACTAGGGTTCATAAACAAAGGGATTTAACTCCTAAATGGCAGAGGATTGAGCAGTGAAGCTGCAGGGGCATGTTCTATACCCCAAAACTGCTTCATTAAGCTAAAGTTGTTCAGGTGACTATAGTGTCCATTTAATTTCCGTCAGCATATCTCTCAAAATGACTTCCAATTGATTTATTGTGACCATTTCTTTGTAATTTTTTTATCATCCACTTCCAAACATATGAGACTTATATTTGATTCTTCCATAATCTGTTTAGTATTTTTTAATATCTCTCTCTGCTGTTGCGGCGAGAAGTATGTTGATGGGTTTTTATCTTGTACAGATTTATTTTTTTTTTTTTAAATCTTTTTTAGTATTTGTTTTGGAGTCTTGAGTTTTCTTGGAGGCCACTATTCGGCTTGTTAATTGATTTGTAAGAGGGTCAACTCCTTCTCCCTTTCCTCTCCCTCTATTTCTTTATTTCCCCCTTGTTTTCTCCACTCTGTTTCTTTGATGTAAGGTTAGTTTTCAAAGCACCTTATTTAGTAATATAGACACAATCAATTTATCATTTACTCTATTGTGAGCTTAGATAATTAGTTATTAAACCAGCTCTGTGCCTGGGTTGTGTGGATATGACTCTATTAACATTTAAGATCTTGTAACAATGGGATTATTAACCCCTTAAATCTTTGGAGTTAGTTGTTATTCCAATACTCAGTGTATTCAGTATCCAGCATATATTTTTATGCAGCTATTATCGGTTTAGTTTTAGTTATTTGTATTACTGCGTATTTACAAAAGTAAGTTATAAGCCTGGAGCATAGCATCACGTTTGATTAGTATGTACTTGCTGTTCACTCGGACTGCGGTTTTTTTATTTTTTGTTTTTTTCCAGCAAGTTGTGTTCTGACTTTGCCGTCTGGATTACATGCAGCAACGGGTATACCCAGGTGGAATCTTGTTTGGCATGGAATCTCTGAGCGGAGAAAGCAGTAGAGGGAGATTATCAGAAAGGGAGTCTCAGGAACTTGTTGCCATGCTCCTCTCCATGGCAGTCGCCCCTCCTCTTCCGTCACCATTGTGTCCAGCCTAAGGCACACCTGTGCAATAATCATCTTGATATGCCGCACCTGTGAGGTGGATGGATTATCTCAGCAAAGGAGAAATGCTCACTAACACAGATTTGTGAACAATATTTGAGAGAAATGGACCTTTTGTGTACGTAGAAAAAGTCTTAGATCTTTGAGTTCAGCTCATGAAAAATGGGGGCAAAAACAAGTGTTGCGTTTATAATTTTGTTCAGTTTATAACCAGTATTATTATTTACATAGTGCCAGCTTTTGTAACCATACAGTTTGACGCACAGAAACAAAGAGATTGAGGGCCCTGCTCAATGAGCTTACATGCTAGAGGGATTCGGGTATAGTGACACAAAAGGTAGGGTAGAAAAGTAGGTTGCTGGGATAGTATTAATTGAGGGATTAGAGTTTTGTTTTGCTGAGTTTCATGGGAGGAATTGGGGTGTGGGGAGGGAAAGCTTTTCAGTTTAATTTGCTTTCCTAAAGCAAGTTTTCAAAGATTTTTGGAAGGACTAGAGACTGGGTGAGAGTCTTACAGAGAAGGGATGGACGTTCCATCGGAATGGTGCAGCCCTAGAGAAGTCTTGAAGGTGAGTATCAGAGGTAGGAGTACGTACAGAGGTTAGACGTAGGTCTCCGGCAGAGTGTAGTGGCGTAGTTGGGACATATTTGTGTATTAGTGAGGATAAGTAGGTGGGAGCAGCATTGTGTAGAGCTTTGTAAGCAAGTGTCAGGATCCTTAATTGAGCCCTATATCTTATGGGAAGCCAATTGAGGGACTGACCAAGGGGGGAGGCGTGGGAGGTGCGGGCGGACAAGATAAGCCATGCCACCGCATTCATTATAGACTGTAACAGGGCAAGTTGGGAACACATAAGACCACTAAGAAGCGGATTCCAGTACTCAAGGCGAGAGAGGACAGCATTACCTTTGCCATATCAGGTGTTAAATAGGGTCGGATGTGCACAATGTTTTTGAGATGGAAGCGGCAGGGTTTGGCGATTGATTGGACATGAGGGGTGAAGGAGAGGGCAGAGTCAAAGAGAACACCTAGGCAGCAGGCCTTAAAGGTAGCGCCCTTGACTTGGAGCGACACAGGCATGGGAGTAGCAACACTTAAACTAAACCTGTCCAAAACAGAACTTCTGGTATTCCCTCCCTTAAGAAAAATAACAGCCATCCAGTTTGAAATAGCAGAGAGGCAGTAAGAGACACTAGTCAAGAGGGGTGGTGAGAAATCAGGGGAGGACAGATAAATTTGCGTGTAATCCGCATAGAAATGATACTGGAAGCCGAAGGAGCTAATGAGTTTACCAAGGGAGGCAGTGTAGATTGAAAACAATAGGGGACAAGGACAGACCTTTGGGGAACACCAAAAGACAGGGATTGGGGAGAAGAGGCAGAGCCAGAGAAAGAAACACTGAAAGAGCGCTGGGAGAGGTAGGAAGAGCACCAGGAGAGACTGTAGACCGAGATTGCAGAGGATGAGAAGAAGCTGTTGATAAAGTGTCAAAAAGCAGCAGAAAGGTCAAGGAGAATTAGGATAGAGAAGTGTTCATGGGATTTAGCTGTGATAAGATCATTGTATACTTTGGTCACAGCTGTTTCAACAGAGTGACTAGCGCAGAATCCAGATTGAAGTGGGTCAAGCAGAGAGTTGTATTCGAGGAAGTCTGTCAATATTGCATACACAACTTGCCCAAGGATCTTGGAGACAAACTGCAGTAGCGAGAGAGCGGTAGTTGAACGGGGAATTAGGGTCGAGGTTGGGCTTTTTCAGAATCGGGGTTATGGTTGCATGTTTGAAGGTTAGAGGAAATGTGCAAGAGGAGAGGGAGAGATTGAAAATTTTATTGAGGCAGAGCAAGAGGAGGCGACAAAGTGCAAATTAAATACGAGTGAATAGGATCGAGGGAACAGGTGGTGGGGCGGGAGGAATGGAGCAGAGCAGAAACAAATGTGTAGGACAGCTGATGGAGTGTGGTTAGGGAAAAAGTTTGTAGTGGATGGAGAGAGATGAGATCTCTTCCTTGATTGTGGAAATCTTCTCAGTGAAGTGAGTTGCAAAGTTTGTGGGGGGTCAAACCCCAGCACTTCTGCCCAGTTGCTGTGGCTTTACCGGGGCCCTGGAACCGCTCTCTCCCCCTCCTCCCCCAGGCACTGGACGACACTCAGTCCTGGGAGCTCTAGTCCTAACAAAGACTTTCCCCATTGAATCCTCCACACTGGAACAGAAAGAGCCCTTTCCCCTCCCAGTAACCAGTAACATAGTTCTGGGAGTACAAGCTGGAATGCTTTAATGGCAGCCACAACTGGCCTTATATGTGTCCCCATGCAAGGGGCACTCCCCCTGGACATGAGAGTAAACCACAGTAGAAACAAATACACAATTACATTGGCTCTCAGATCCAGGACACTCCCATACATAATCCGGTAATCCCTCCTCTGTGCCTGGGAGATAATTGGATTAGAAACTGTATTAATCTAATCCAATTATTCTAAGCACAGAAGAAAACATACTTTTTCCCAAACATCCCAAAAGTACCCTAAAAATGAAAACCCACAAAAGTTATATCCCCTAATAGCCCTGATCTGGGTGACCAACATATTAAAAAATCACCCAGATGAGTTCAGGGGTTCAGGAATTTCCTGGAAGTCATTTGACCGACCGACAGCACACATGGTCCCATGTCCAAAACAGTTCCAGAGAATCAGGGCTTGCAGTCTGTCTAGTTCCATAGTTTAAAAACCTAACAAACTACCGAACCTAGTCAATAGTCTTACCCTGGAGCTTGTTCCCCTTATTCGTGGGAACGTTTTTACCAAACAGTGTCTTTCTAAGTATTGTCGAACCGAATGCAGGCGATCATGGAAGTCCACCGGTGTTTGGGAGTTTGTCTGAAAATAGTTACATGAACCTGATGACCAAACACAGCTGCCTGGTTTCATGCGAACAAGATGACCTTGTGGTCATCCATAGGAATTGCACCCACCCAGATGAACACTGCGGTGAAAAGTGCTACAAAGTATCAATTAGCTTAACAAGCTCCAGGATGGTCTCCGGTTCGTGAGGCTGTTTGGTTCCCAAACCATATAGTCCAAATATACGAGCAGAGACTGTTATATCACATTTTACAGGAATTCCTCCAGGAACTCGTGGCAAACTCGCTTGAAAAGGGGAGTTTGGCGCACCAATTTTTCCTAATCTTTTTTTAAATGTTATGTTCTATTTAATAAAATCCATAATACGGGTTAGATTTTTTTCTTCTGTTTTTCATGTGTCTTTTATTCTTTAACAATTGGATCCTGTCTATAATCCTTACTTTTTCTAAATGTAGTTTTGATTCCTCTTCGTTGTGCACTCTTTCTCCCCAAAATTATCTTACTTCACGTCTGTTTCCTATATTCTGCAATGTCATTGCAGTTTCTTCTGAATTATGTGTACCATTTTTTACCATGTTGAATGGTGGCAGCTGCAGAGCAGAGTAAAATTAAATGGTCTTCATGTTGCAGTGATGGATGGTTTGGGTCTAAGGAAGTGAGATGAGATAGTTACTTAAAAGGAATTTACTGCTGGGTGTGGCAAGCAGGGTTGGGGGCGGGAGGAGGAATGGAGCAGGCCAGCCATTAGTCATAAACAGTTAAATATTTGCTAACCAAAATTCTAACAGCTAGATTAACTACATGTAACCACAAGTACAAAAATCCAAGTAATCTTTGAATAGAAGCACAATACCCCCCTCTTCATATTGTCTTCACTCCTAATAACCCCTCCTTTGTCAGCAGGTTTAATTATTTTATAATTTTGCCTCAGTTCTTCTGATATTTCGCTCTTGTTGGTCCTCTGATCCTAGATCCCGTTATTAGTGTCTAAATTTTTTTAATTGGTCCTTTTTTGTGTTCTATTCTGGGAGCAAGATGCCTACCCATAGGGATCAGAGTAGGTTTTGCTTCATTGTCAGATCAGAGATTAGGCCTCATTGTTCTTAATTTTGAATTGCCGTGGTTGTATTTACCAAAGCTCTTTACCTTATCCAATTTTTTTTAATCTTCTAGATCTCTCAAGGTAAAAGAATAAGGGCTGTGCCACATGCAATAAAATAGAGTAAAATATAATAGAAAAAAGATTGGTAGGATAAAAATAAATTTTAAGTAAATACTGTGAGTCTTATTCTAAATATGCAAATTGACCCATATAAGTTTCTCATTCAGAAGGTAGGTTCAACTGCAGTTTTTTGTACTTAGGGGGTCTTGCAGTCTTGGGTCTCCGTATGTGGTTGAGAAGAAACACAAAGAAGACCTAATAGTGCAGTAAGCCAGGCCTAAATAGGCCTGTTTTTAAATAATAGTATTGCACTCACATTTGAGAGAGCTATCGCCAGCTCTAGTAGGAATCGCCTATAGTGGTATAATCCCCACTATTTAGGATACGGTGGTAGTTGTCTGGATGCTCAAAGACAAAAAAAAGGCCACAGATAGTGCTCTCAGTAAGACACCGTAATTATATGAATAAAAAAAGTTCTACTTACAGACATAGAGCAGGCTCACTGCTCTGTGGAATCAGCGTTGGTGGTATAATCCCCACCTGTGGATATACTTGGGAGTAGTAGTTGATAGAACAGAAGTATAAAATACAATCCGCTAATTATGTATAAAAGCCATGGAGGATAAATGAGTAAAGATATTGGTACAATAAAAAGTGTTGTAAAACCAAAGTCCTTTATTACATTAGATAAAAAAAAGTTAAAAATCCAGATCTCTCAAGTATATCTTCTTTTTCATTAATCTCATATACCAGTTTATTCATGTTTGCAAAAATGCATTCTGCCCTTACTCTTGTTCCTCTAGATGGGGTTCTAAACTGTTTGTGTTGTGTTTATTTAAAAAAATATATATATTTTAGTATCTTTGATCTGTACTCCATAATTATACTTATGAAAGTAAATGAACAATCTTCCATGGCTTCATACCATTTTTCTTTTGAGTCCCTGGCTTCTATTGAAAATGCAGGGTCTTTGAATAATCTCAAACCTCTTGGGGTGATGTTAGCTATGATGGTCACTCCCCATTTCATTTTCATTTCTTGTTTTAGTGTGATGGAATTCCAGTAAAATAGAAGTTTAGTAGGTCAAGATTGCCACGTGACATATGTAGGTACATGTGTTTGTAGTATCAGTTAGTTACACGTAGCTAAGATACTGTCATCAATGAACTGAGCATGTGCAGGAATGTAGGAACTGAAATCACACTCCTTTCTCCTTTGTTTCGGATGAACCATGTGGTCAGACCATATGAGCAAGTCCAGACTCTGTTTATTGATTGGTTAAGGGTATGTGTGGGTGTAGCTTATTATGGGAGGAGTTATATAAGGAATGTACTCCATGTGTTCTGGGCTCAGATCTGTTGTGAAACGTTAGTCCATCTGAGACCCGATCGGTACGTGAATAAAGGCCTCTTACTTCCTGAATACCTGTGTCCATATCTCTGTGTAGCTTCTGCAGTTTGTTCCTGTTATTCCTCCGGTAACATTAGGAGTTTTATTTGAAAATTCAGTATAATCTTTCTATTATCCTTGTTTGAAACCTTGTCATTCACTATTGTGTCGCCTAAACATTTGGCAGCATTTATGGATACTTGTCTTCTCAATTCACGTTTACTTGTAAAAATGGTCTTTTCTCTGTACCAATCTTCCTCTTTTCTGTCATGTCCCCTACTTTCCTTGTCTTTCCCAAAGTGAGGAGATGAGTGGAGATATTAAGCCCTGCCCAAAGCGCACTTATTTGTACTAACACACACACTCTGTTACGCAATCTGTCTTATCACAAAGTCCATTGTAAAGGCTATTATGGTTTGATTATCCCACATTTCAGAAACTTGCACTGCCCTAAACAGATTGTGATTAAACAAACCATTTTATCTCCAGTTCAACAGTGAATTCAACTTTGATAATGTATGAAAACACCTGCTTGGGAAATGGAACATTCACTGTGTGCTTTGATATCTGGATTGGATTGAATCATAAATCCTTTTTTATATATATATATATATATATATATATATATATATATATATATATATATATATATATATATATATATATATATATATATATATATATATATATACCTATAATGGATTTGCATTAAAGTTTCTCTGTCACCGTTTGGCAACTTTGCATGATTTGCACAGAATCCCGACCGTGATATTGCTGCTCGGGGTCCAGTGGCTGAATTGGTGTGGGCACTGGGAAGCAGCAGGCGTAAGTGAGATTTACTTACCTGAACCTGTCCCTCCACTGGTGCCACAATCCTCTTCAACTCCTGGTGCTTCAGCTACCAGGAGCCCATGCCAGTGCTGTACTCTCACACTTGAGTGAAAGTACAGCAACGAGGTCTATGGTGGATCCCGTGAGACAAAAATTCTTCCATTGAAAGACCTTCATTTTCTTACAGCAATCACTAGCGACAACTGGTGGAAATGACAAGTCCTTGCTTTGTCTCAATATATCTTTTGACTGGTTGCAATTTGTGATATTCCAACACAGTTAATGAGTAGGGGGTACCAGTGCAACTTTAAATTGTACTTATCACAGTACACACAAATTTACTTTAAGGAGCATTACATTTTATTCATACATATTTTAATTTCTTTAAAAATAAATCTGGTCACTGCCACACCTGTCAGTCAACCAATCTGTCAGCCAGATAAAAGTTATGGCGTGGATTAAATGACCAGGAAAAGCATAGGAACAATCATCCAGGCACTAATCATGCTCTCCATCACATATTCTTAAGCAAGTGTTTCTCCATTCTGATGCCAACGTGCTGGCAGTGAAGCCAACATGTCGGCATAATTAGAGAAGATATCCCTGTATAACATTTGCAGCTAGCTTGTTTTAAATGTCAGATTTTCTTTGTCTCTTTTCCTTTTACTAACTTTCAACTGAAAAAACTGGGCATGTAGCATCAGCAATCTGATGTTCCAAAACTCTTCCATCTTTTGATGAAAGCTATATGGAGCTGCAAACCACAAAAAGAGTAATGATTTATTACACACTTAAATGATTTGCATGAAACTCCTTAAAATGAGACCCATGGCAGCTATATATTGGTGATTGAACATCCTGATTTGATTCGGTCATCTAAAAGACACACTTTATCATTACTAGAAGTAGTATTATCCCTTTATTGTTACTATCTTTTAAATAGCATTGGTCGTTGTGACATTTATTTGGGAAAGTGTATTTAGACCACTGGCTGAATAAAAGGTGAATCTGTAGAGTGTTCGTTTTACTAATATTGGTAAAACAAAATGGCAAATTGAATACGGTTTCTCCTTTGCCTGTCCGGTAACACTGACTAGAAGGCCAGGGAGTGTCTTTCCTTTTCAGCACTTTTCATGGGCATTATAGCATAAAGTATGTAATAACAAACACGTCAGCATTATTAGCATTGCATTTGCCCCCTTTTTTGGTGGATTGATGGGAGGGTAATGAACTTCAAGGTCATCTTTCAATGTTAAAACAAGTGTTTTTTAATTAAAACCTGTATAACAAAAACACTTTGTACGTGTTGGAGATTTGTCTCTATGGTTTCCCTTTTATTCTACAAGCTCCCTCTGGCAAAATATATTGTCTTACATAGACCTTTGCAATCTGCCATCAATTATCTCAGTGGAAAAACTGCCAGTAGAAAACTGGGGCTGGCATTAGTGAGAGGTCCACAGCTGCCAAGCAGACTAAGTGAACTATAGTCTGTCCCTCTCTATGGTCTATAATTCAAGATTTTCCTAGTCTTGACGTCAGAAAATATAGATTTTTATTAAAGACCGGAGGCGAGTATTATGCATTAACTTTCTTTACTTAACTCCAGCAGCAAAGACATTTTTTCAATAAAGTTTAGTGAATAAAAAAAGGTAAAACAGAGTAACTGAAATGGAACGTTGGTAGCCAATCAGCATCCAGTATAGTCCATATAGTCAATGATCCCCAATATTCTCCCTCTTTCGAGCTGCGAATGTAGAAGTGTCTAGTAGAGTAGCTCCAAGGATAGAATGATGAAACTCCAAACAGGATTAAGCTGAAATATAAATAACAGGGTGGGTTAATGGGAGGGATAATACTCGCCTCCTGTCTTTAATAAAATCTATATTTTCTGACGTCAAGACTAGGAAAATCTTGAATTTTATAACTAGGCAGGAGGCTCGTATTATGCATGTTCAAAGCTATGTAGTCATAATATAACATACATCGGAAGTTATTACAATATTATTTTTGAAACATGCTGGCTAGGTCTAAAATAAAACTGTTTAAATGTAGATTCTGAAGACCAATCTGCTGTTTTTAATAGATCTGATAAAGAGCCTCCTGCTTGAAACACTTTAGTAGTCATAGCTCCTCTTGATGAGTGAGCTCCAAACATTGAAATATTAATACCTGCCATAGACATGGTTTGTCGTACCCATCTAGCTAAAGATGTAGAGGAGACAGGTAGAAAAGGTTTACGAAAGGAGATTCGTAATTGTGAGATTAGAATTTCGAATCAAAGAGGTTTTAAACTCATATGTTTGAAGACAACTAACAACACATAGAAGAGGATGGTCAGAAAATGAAGGATAGAATACAGTACGGAGATTAGTTTTGGTACGTCTAACAATAGAAAATGTAACACCATCAGGAGTATATTGTCTGTTATTTAAGTCTAAAGCCTTAACGTCAGAAACTCTTTTGAAAGAGATGAGACATAGTAAAGTGGTAAGCTTAAGCGAAAGCAATTTCAAGGATAATGAATCATTGGCCCCCCATGATTCTATCAACTGGAGTACCAGAGTAACATCCCTGGTGGAATTATATTTAGGGCATGGAGGATGTTTAAATCTGATACCCATAGGCGTGCGCACGGGGTGTGCCGGGTGTGCCTGGGCACACCCTAATCCCCATGGCACGCCTATGGTTTGAGTCCTGCAGGAACAGCGTTCCTGCACTTTTTTTGAGCAGGAACGCTGTTCCTGCAGGCACTCAGCACCCCCTGTTTCACCTCTTGCCCCTGTCATGGGGGGGGCAAGAGGTGATGGATCCCCACCCACCCTGCAGCTCAGCGCACGGCGAGGGAGCTCTCTGCTGTCTGCTCTCTGCTTCCTCTCGCCGCGCGCTAATGCCGGGAGCCGGAATATGACGTCATATTCCGGCTCCCAGCTCCAGCAGACAGCCCGCGCGGCGAGAGGGAGCAGGGAGCAGAGAGCTCCCTCGCCGCGCGCTGAGCTGGAGAGCGGCGCTCGCCCCCACTGGACCCCAGGGAAAAGTCCACTCCAGGTAGGAGGCTGGGTGGAATTTTTTTAAATTAAAATGTAATAATTTGTTCTTGTGTGTGTCTGTGTGTGTGTGAGTGTCTGTGTGTCAGTGTCTGTGTTTGAGTGTGTGTCTGTGTGTGTGAGTGTCTGTGAGTGTGTGTCTGTGAATGTGTGTGTTTGTGTGTCTGAGTGTGTGTTTGTGTGTCTGTGAGTGTTTGTGTGTCTGAGTGTTTGTGTGTCTGAGTGTCTGTGTGTGTGTGTCTGTGAGTGTGTGTGTGTGTGTGTCTGTGAGTGTATGTATGTGTCTGTGAGTGTATGTATGTGTGTGTGTCTGAATGTGTCTGTGTGTGTGTGTACGCATATATATATATATATATATATATATATATATATATATATATATATATATATATATATACACACACACACACACACACACACCCGGCGCTATCTGAGTGTCGGCTCTGCTCTAAGCCTCCATGGGCCAGCGGGGAGACCAAAGATCTACCTCACCGGCCCACAGCAGCATGGAGGGAGGCAGGAGAGGACCCAGGGAGCTCTAGACAGACGCTCCGCCAGGTTCCTCTCGCAATATCTGAGTGTTGCTGCGGCAACGCTCAGATCTCGCGAGAGTTAACTCTAGCCCTGCAAGCTAGAGTTCACTCTCCACTGGACCACCAGGGATGGAACATGGCAGCAAGGATTTACTAATCTGCCAAATCCCTCCAAACATACAGCACACACACATACAGCACCTACACACATACAGCTCACACACACACACAGTACACTAACCGCACCCTCACAAACACACACAGCACCTTTAAAAAAAAAACACAACACCCTCACACACACACACACAAACAGCACCCTCACAAATACACGACACTCACATAAACAGCACCCTCACAGGACAAACATACAAACACAAACACCCTCACACACAAACAGCAGTCACAAACACATACACACACACACAAACACCCTCACATCACACTAACAGCACCCTCACACACACATCACACTAACAGCACACACAGCAGTGTATGTGTGTGTGTGTGTGTATATATATATAGATATATATATAGATATATATATATATATATATATATATATACACATACACATACACATACACACACACACACACACACGCGGCGTGTGTTTGTGCTTTAGGGTGCACACCCTAATGCAATAGGCTGCGCACGCCTATGCTGATACCCTTCATAAGTCTGCAGACTAGAGGATGTTTACCCACAAGGAAAAATTCAATAGGGTCGTGATTCGCTGAGATAGCGGATCTATAGACATTAATGGTGTGATAAGCTTTCCCTGAATCAAAAGAGGCTGACAAATTTAGAATGTTTGCTAAATCTGAATATATGGGATCCACTGCCGTTCCATGCACCAATTAAGCCAAATTTTCCAGGCTGATCTGTAATTTGCACGGGTTCCCGGTGCCCATGCTTCTGAGAGAATGTTTCTAGTAGTGTTTGAAAATTCACTATGAGATTCGAATTGCCCGAAATGAGGGATGCAATCAGGGGTAATTGGCCTGACCGTACTAGAGGATGACCATTTCCCTTCGGGTCGCGAAGAGAATCCCGACTCATCTGTATGAGTCGAGGGTAGTCTATCAGCATGCTGAGAAGCTGAGGGAACCATGGTTGTGATGGCCAGAGAGGGGTTATAATCACTAAGGTCGATTTCTGGGACCATGCTTTCAGAAGTACCCGGGATATCATCGTAAACGGGGGGAAAGCATAATTGACCCCTTCCTTCCAACATTGGAGGAAAGCATCTTGATCTACTGCTTCTGGATCCGTCTGCCAACTGAAAAATGTTTCCAATTGGCGATTGAGCCGTGATGCAAAGAGGTAGTATCGAAATGGACCCCACAAGGCAAGTATTTGTTGGAAGATGTTGGGATCCAACATCCAGTCGCTGTAATCCACTAGGATCACAATCTGCTGCTGTATTGGAAAGCCTGGGAAGGTATTCTGCTCGTAACGTTATGTTTCGATCGAGGCAAAAATGCCATAATTCTTTGACAATGTCGGCCAGTTGCTTGGATTTTGTACCTCCTAAGCGATTTATATATTGGACTGCTGATATGTTGTCCATCTTGAGAAGGATACAACAATGGGATTTGTGTTTCACAAAACTGCGTAGAGCGAAAAACCCTGCCATGAGTTCCAGGCAGTTTATATGCATATTCATCTCTTCTAGAGACCATTTGCCACCTGTGGAATTGCCTCCACAATGAGCTCCCCAGCCTAAACGACTTGCGTCGGATTCTATAGTTAGGTCTGGGAATGATGTGAAAATGGCTTTCCCGTTCCAAATTTGAACGTGATCTAACCACCAGGAAAGTTCTATTCTTATCTCTGAAGTTAGAGAAATCTCGTCTGATTAAAGGAGACCATTGTTTAGATGTTCTCTTTTCAATCTTTGAAGAGCCCGATAGTGAAGGGGGGCTGAAAAGATAGCCTGGATCGAGGCTGATAAAAGTCCTACAATCCTTGCTAACGACCTGATGGAAATTAATTCCTTCTTTAGAACTGACCTGATCTCTTTTTGAATTGTTTTCAACTTCCGTGATGGAAGGCTGAGAGTGGCTAAATTGGAATTTACTAGAAATCCTAAAAATTCTATCTCCTGAGAGGGAGTTAAAATCGATTTTTCGTAATTTATTACAAAGTCAAGGCTTGTTAACAGATTCAATGTCCATTGAGAATGTAGTTGAAGAGTTTGCACACTCTGTGACATAATCAGTATGTCGTCTAGATATATTATCATTCTTATTCCCCTGCTTCGAAGTAGGGATATTACTGGTTTCAGTAATTTGGTGAAACACCAAGGTGCAGATGATAAACCAAATGGCAATGATTTGAATTGCCATTTCTTCCCTTGCCATAGGAATTGTAAATATTTCTGACATAAATGGTGGATAGGTACCGTAAGGTATGCATCCTTCAAATCTATTTTGATCAACCAGTCGTTGAACATCAACAGGTCTTTGAGGTAATAAATTCCCTCCATTTTGAAATGGTGGTATCTGACAAAATTGTTTAAGTATTTCAAGTTTATGACTGGTCTGTGACCAGAATCTTTCTTTTTCACCAAGAATAAATTGCTTATGAAGCCTGGGCTGTTCATGGGCACCTGTATGATGGCATTTTTTGAATATAAATTTAATATTTCTTGATGCACCAGGGCCTGGTCTTGGGCCAAAAATTTTATCGGGAAAGGCATGTTTCTTTGGATGGGGAAATGATATAAAATCTATTTTGTAACCTAGAGCCTAGTGTCTAGTATCCAAGAGTCGTTTGTAACCTGACTCCAGACATGGAAAAAACGAGTGAGTCTGCCCCCTAACCTTACTGGGAAAGAACGGGGAGTTGTCATACTCACCGGATGAAGATCTGAAGCGAGACATTCCTCTATGGCCTCTCGATCTCCATGGTCTGCCACGTAGTGGAAAGAAAGGAGTTGATTGTTGGGTGTCATATGAGGATCTGGAGGGTTGAAAAGTGTTCCTTGGAACCTGTCTATGCTGAAAGGAACGGCTGGAAGAACGGTTCCTTCCTCCTCCAGCCCTTCCGAAAACCTTAGGGTTGAAAGCTTTCTTCAGGGATAACTGAGCCTTATTAAGGGAACTAAATAAATTGACATATTTATTAATGTCTTTAATAAAGGATTCTCCAAAAAGGAGACCTTCCGCAGCTGGACCTGGTTCGGAAGTAGCTAGATTTGACAGTTGAGGGTCAATTTTCATTAAAATAGACCTGCGGCGTTCGCTGGTCAGCGCTGCATTAGCATTCCCCAAAAGACATATAATGCGTTGGGTCCAGCCTCTCAAAGTATCAATGCTGGGAGGATTCCCAGAAACTGCCGCATATTCCAAAGTTTCAAACATTTTAGTCACAGGACCAGACATGTCCATTAATTTATCTTGACAAGATTTCAGTGACCTGTCAAGGCCTTTATTAGGGTTCTTCCCTGATTTTGATAAAAAATTGTACAATAGTAGGATCTAGATCAGGGGTCTGTGCGACTTTCTTTGATAAGGTCGGTCTACGGCATTCAGCCCTTAGTTTATTTCTAGTCGCTTGGTCAAGGGGTTTCCTTAACCAGTATTCAAGATATTTGGCTACATGAGCCATAGGCACCCATTTGGCTGACCTGGGGTGTTTAATATGGTCTGGGTCAAATAATGGTTTACCATTAAAATCCAAAATAATGTTTTCATCGTCAGATTTAGAAATAAGCTCAGGTGTCTCTGAGATAGATGAACAAATTGAGGCAGAATCAGAGTCAGATTTTTCATCCTCTGAGATTGAAGATGATTCACTATCTGAGGAGGTTTTATAGGAATCAGGTTTGTTCCTGTGAATGGCCTTCCGAGCTCGTTTAACTTCCTCACGAGCAGAGGGTCTTTTGAGTGATTGATTACACTCTTCAGTTTTGCGTGAAGCAGGCATTGTATTCTTGTCTTGGTCCTTCCCTCTCTTAACTTGCTTAGAGCCAATAGGGGATTTTGCAGGACCGTCAAAGCAATGTTTGCGTTTCTGGGTGGCCTTCCCAGACCTCCTAAAACCTTGAGCTAGGTTTCGTTCAGACTCCACAGATGACCAGAATTGGTCTGAAGGAGTATTAATTAAATGAGTCTTCTCACTGGGTTTTGAGTTATTTATGGCTTGAGCCACAGACTTTGCAATTGCCTCTTGCATAGAGGACATGCAGTATAAATAGCAGAGGAAACTGACTTTTGAACGGATAAATCCACAATATTATGTAAAGAATCCTCAGTGAGGATTTCACAGTCATGAGAAACACCAGGTTTTGGTGATTCAATCTGTCTGATCTCCTTAGCGTTCATAATTTCAAAATTGCAACAAATAGTAATTGTATCTACTATTCGTAGAATAGTTAAATAGTAAATAAATGTTGCCAGTTATGAGGGGAAATACTGACAGGAATTCAAATAGTTCAAATTATAATAATTACCATTAGAGAGTAACAAGTTGTGAGGAAAGTGCTATCCTGAGGTAAAGTGGGCGGGAAAGTTAGCTGAGGACCAACTAACTGGTATTCCCGCCCATAAACATCATCAATGTATAAGGGACTAACTGACAGAAAACGCGCGTGCAACGGTTCGTGTAGAAACTGCTGAAATGACTGAACAGTTTAAAGACAAAAAACTATAAGAAACATAGAATTACTTCAGAAAAGCATATATTCCAGTGAATAAATACATATGTCAAACATATAATCAAACTAGAAGGTATGTTTAGAAAACAGTAGCATAAGTGAATATATGATACTTATCTCTACTGGAGCAGCAAAGAAAGAGGGAGAATATTGGGGATCATTCACTATATGGACTATACTGGATGCTGATTGGCTACCAACGTTCCATTTCAGTTACTCTGTTGTTTTTACCTTTTTTTATTCACTAAACTTTATTGAAAAAATGTCTTTGCTGCTGGAGTTAAGTAAAGAAAGTTAATGCATAATACGAGCCTCCTGTCTTGTTATAAAATCCTATGGTAGGTGTTTTTTATAGACAGCCCAGTATACAGTTTTAAAAACTGGGCTGTGAGCAGACTGTTGGCATACTGGCATGCACACACAACTTGTACAAAATTCAAGGGACACTAGTCAACAAAGCAACGTTATCTTCATAAAGCCGTTTTTGTGTATATATGCATCTGAAGTTTCACTGTTCAATTCACTGCCGTTTAAGCGTTAATTAGATTTTGTTTCTATTTATGCAGCTCTAGCCACACTTCTCCTCTCTGTGACTGACACAGCCTGCGTGGAAAAAAAAAAAGGTTTAATTTTCAATCAGATGTAACTTACTTTAAAAGTTACCTCCTTCTCGGTAATTTCAACTGAAATTGAGCAGTGAGACTGCAGGGGCATGATCTATCCACCAAAACTGCTTTATTAAGCTAAAGTTGCATTTGTGACTATAGTGTCCCTTTTAATATAAGCATCCAATCTGAATGGCAGCTTTGATGTCTGTAGGTTATTCTTAGAGCTAGGAAAAGGTTCGGGTTACTCAATGCACCCTGAACTTTGCAATAATACAAAGCTGTTATAATTCTTAGAATAACCATGTAAACATACAATACCTATTGTAAAGTGAGAAGAGATGAAAATGAACTAGGAAATGCTCAGATCTCATGCTCCATCCTTGACTAAAAACATGGGAGACATTGATATTGGTAAAACAAACATGTAAATGGCACATTAAAGGACCACTATAGGCATCCAGACCACTTCAGCTCAATGAAGTGGTCTAGGTGCCCGGTCCATCTAGGGTTAACCCTGCCTGCTGTAAACATAGCAAAGGTAAGCCTTTAACGCCTTCCTCCTAGAGCCCTGCAGAGGGGGGTAGAGCATGAGGGTGGGGGGAACCTATTAACACTATAGTGCCAGGAAAACAAGTTTGTTTTCCTGGCACTATAGTGGTCCTTTAATAATAAGTGAGGGGCCAGTTCATGGTTTCCTGAAGGAATCCTAGTATTTCTCAAACAGCTTGAAAAAGGTTTGTCAAAGAAGCAGTAGAATGGGCATAGTAGTCATTTTAATATTCAGAATTCTCCAAGTTTAAACTGTAGGCCTGCATGGAAATGTTTAATTATGATTCATAGCATAAAAAAAACTGTTTCCCTCTTCATTTTCATTAGTGTACTCTCACATTTTCCATCACATTGATTAGGGAATTGTTATTTTAAAGGGACACTATAGTCACCAGAACTACAGCTTATTGAATTTGTTCTGGTGAATAGAATCGTTACCTTCAAGCTTTTTGCTGTAAACACTGACTTTTCAGAGAAAATGCAGTGTTTACATTACAGCCTAGTGATAACTTCACTGGCCACTCCTCAGATGGCTGTTAGAGATCCTTCCTGGGTCATGGCTGCCTAAAATGCATCCAAACATTCAGTGTCTCCTCCCTCTGCATGCAGACACTGAACCTTCCTCATAGAGATTCATTGATTCAATTCATCTCTATGCGGAGATGCTGATTGGCCAGGGCTGTGTTGGAATCATGCTGGCTCTGCCCCTGGTCTGCCTCTTTGTCAGTCTCAGCCAATCCTATGGGGAAGCATTGTGATTGGATCAGGCTACCACTTCTGCTGATGTCAGCAGGCAGTGGGCAGGTCTAAAGAAAACAGGAACAAAATATGCAGATTCAGGATTGAATAAAAGTAAGTTTTACTATTTTTAGGGAGGCATAGGGGGCTAGATGGTGGGTTTAACCCTATAGGGTCAGGAATACAGGTTTCTGTTCCTGACCCTATAGTGCTCCTTTAAATAGCTTTGCAAAACTTGGGCTAAAACAAAAGTGGGGATATTTTCCAATTAAACTACTGTGGCCCAAATTTTGTAGTTTAGATCTTTTCTTTTTAATTTATTGTGATTACATAAGTTCGAAGTGATCCTTTTTTTTTTTTTAATTTGCGGATCTTGTCTTTCATTTAGGGATCTGTTTTGGTTGAAACAAACATTGAAGAGAGATGTATGCCACCTCAAGATGGTAAGTGGGTGGACTAATAAATATTAATATGTAATAGATTGGTTTTATTCTATATTAATATTCTATAAACCTTTTTTTTTACCCCCCACCTCCCTTTTCAAGTTCTAGAGTCAAACAGTGGTGTGTATACAAGATTCATGAAGAACCACAACTGTTATGATCTCATTCCCATCAGCTCAAAGCTTGTTGTGTTTGATACATCTTTGCAGGTAAGTAGTCTAAAACCGGTTAAAAAAAATACAAAAAAGTGGACCTTAATATTGGATTTTTTCATCGGCTGTGGACAAGATGAATACCTTTGATTTGTTAATCGATCAAAATGTTTGTTTTTTTTGTTTTTGTTTTTTTTAATAATTGACACAAATGAATATGGTTCATTTTAAACTAAGATTATGCTGGAAGTTTGTTTTAAAAATTAGGTATGATTTTTTTTTTAATTTTATATACATGAAGTATCAATGTAATTTATTTCATAGAAATGTAATGCCTACATTGTCTACCTAGTGGTATAGATTTTCTTTGCCACCTATTTTATGAATGACTTAGTATACATAAGTGCTGTTTAATTCTGTCCTTGGTTCAACTCTGTCTAATGATGGCTAGCGGATAATAAACAATATTATCAATGTTATACACTAAATAACTGTATCTTGCAGGTTATTTTTTAAACCTCAATAAAACGAGATATATTGATGCAATCTGCTAGGCTATGACTTACAACTTTAAGCACACTTGAAATTTTAAAAGTATTGCATGTTGAAATAAATACTACAGGATGTACAGAATATGCACAGCCAAAACTCACCCAGACTCCTTTCACACAATACACACAGCCTCCCTCTTATATTTAGAAATCTGATGTAAAGGGACAGTATATTCCAAATAACTTCTACAGTTCAATGTTTTGCTCATGTTGCAGGGAGTACCTGCCAACCTTTCCTCCACCCTCCCCACCAATATTTGTATGCCAAATTCAGCATTTACTTTGTATAGTTAATATGTATATAAAATGTGTGGGTTTTTTTTAAATTCAGGTCAAGAAGGCTTTCTTTGCTCTTGTCAGCAATGGTGTGAGAGCAGCCCCACTTTGGGATAGCAAGAAGCAAAGCTTTGTAGGTAAGTGTTTTGGTGTTAGATTGGAAAGTTCTTTATTTCAGTTTTCCTTTCTGACCTTGCACGTTCCCCTTTGATTTAGGCATGTTGACCATCACCGACTTCATCAATATCCTCCATCGTTACTACAAATCTTCCATGGTGAGTTGACATTCTAGTCATATTGGTGTTCTTCACCTAAGAGTGCAGTAGTGTCTGTTTCTGCTGTAATGGTCACCTAGATTAGGCATTTGTGAACCATGACATGGCATACAACACTCGCTAAAAGTTAATGGTTACTTGTTTGACATATGTGTATCTAGTCTGTAATCCTGGTGTGTGTTCTTAGGTTGACAGCAGATAAACTCTATTGATGAATTGTGGTACTTTGATCCCTGTTTATCAGGTGCAGATTTATGAGCTCGAGGAACATAAGATTGAGACATGGAGAGGTGAGTTTACAAAAAGTCTTGTTGAATGTTTAGCATTCATTCATTTTAAAATGGAATATCGTGTACAAATTGGGAATTTTGCCATCTACAAATTGATAATATATTATTGAACATAAAAACTAATCTCTCAATGCATCAGAACTTTGAGCTATACATTTTGTTTCTAATTCATTTAGAACTCTATTTGCAAGATTCTTTCAAGCCTCTGGTCAGCATATCTCCTAATGCCAGGTAAGGGTGTTATTTTATCAGATTTCCATGTTTTTTGGAAATGTATTATTTTTTTTTCTGTGTTTTGTCCAACCTTTTTTTAAACCCAATTTTTTTTCTCTCTTCAGTTTGTATGATGCCGTCTCCTCCCTGATTAAGAATCGTATTCACCGTTTGCCGGTCATCTCTCCTGACTCAGGAAATACTTTGTACATCTTAACACACAAACGAATCCTCAAGTTCCTGAAGCTTTTTGTGAGTTTTGTCAGTTTTATACTTAACCCCCCTTCTTCCATTTACAGCTTCTCATCGTCAATTTTCTTTGGTTTACAGATGTGTGAGTTGGAGAAACCTGCTTTTGTGACTCAATCTTTAAAAGAGCTAGCAATTGGGACATATGACAACATTGCGCTTGTTAATGCCAATACTCCAGTCTTTGTTGCTTTGGGTATATTTGTGCAGAGGCGTGTTTCAGCTTTGCCGGTTGTTGATGATTCTGGTAAGTATGAGTAACATTTTTTTATTCAGTAGTTTTTTTTTGTTTTGTTTTTTCTTTTGTGTTAAAATATTTCTAGTCTTAGGCAGTTTAAAATTTTTGTGCATCCTAAGTCCTTGCTGTGCTCTAAAATCATAGCGCAGGGGTCTGTAACCTTTTGCATACCAAGTTGCCAGGACCATACGGGCCCGTTGAGGAGATCAAATGATCTCCCCATCTGGCCTGGAGCATCAGGTAGCCTGCAGTCAACACCTCCAGTGGGTGCAGCCACTACAAGGAAACCCCCCTCATGCTTCTCAAAGATTCAAAGCATTGCTTTTTGTTACTATGGCAATGCTCTGTCTTGCCAGAAAAGCCACCAAACTGAGACCAAGCCACAAGTGATCTGCACCGTGGATCCCCCACACGACACTTTAGACATGCTCCACCACACACCAAAAACAGCCCACATATGCAAACTTATCATAGACAGTCCACAGGCATACACACAACCACAAACAGTCTATGTAAATACACATAATTTCACAGATACCTCCACACAATTCCATAAATAGCACACACACCTAACACAACAGACAACCCATAACTTAACCCACACACAACCTCACAAACCTCCCACATACATGCAAGTAATAGTGTAAACCTCTTCCCACATACAATACCACAATATAAACATTACGCATAACACCACAGACATCCCTCACACATTAATCACACACATATGAACATGTAACCACACAAAGCAGATAAACACCCACCCGGTGACAGAAGTATCCAACATACATAAATGTTACCTTAAAAAAAAAAACAGCCTGAGGGACTTTACTTCGGCACAGCACGTTTAAGTTTGCTTACCATGGGCCTAGCATATCATTGTTATCAAAACAATTTTTTTTATTTTTAATCGCACAAACCATAATTTAGTTTGTGCAAAAAAGACAAAGGAGACAGTTCTTCTTTATCTATAGAGACATTACTAGACTATTACTTTTAACATTTTAAATAATTTATTCTGCCTGTAATGTATTTTTTTGATCCATTTTCGATTCTTTCACATGCCATGATTTGGTTTAATTTCAGCTGGTTTATGTTTGATTCCTTCGCTTCTCTTTGCTTTGTAGGCCGGGTGGTTGATATTTATTCCAAGTTTGACGTCATTGTAAGTAATTTTACATCATTTTTCTGCTTATTTAGTACAGTTTGTATCGATTTTTTTACTGCAGAGTTTTAGATGCCAGCAAATCTCATCCCCCTTTTCTGCATTTCACAGAATTTAGCAGCTGAAAAGACCTACAATAATTTGGACATCACAGTGACAAAAGCTCTGGGACATCGCTCTCATTATTTTGAAGGTGTTCTGAAATGCTACCAGCATGAAACTTTGGAGACCATAATCAACCGGCTAGTGGAAGCAGAGGTGAGATGGTAGATACTGTGCTACCTAAGGGTTACAATAGAATGCAGTTTATATGTTCAGTCTAAGCACCATAAGCCCTTTGCATTAATGCAAAACTCTTTGTTGCCTATTTCTATTTTGTCCAAGCAGTGTTCACATCCCTTGAGCCAGATGTGCCACTAATTTTACATGCACATAATACACATCCCAGTTGGTGCCAGGAGTGCTCTGTAACTGTGAGGTCACAAACTATTTTAGCATGGTTTGACAACTTACCGTGATCCCGCCAGGCGTGCTTGCAGCACCAGGTTTTCTCCAGTTTGACATCTTACACTGGTAAAGCACCAGTGCACTCTTGACACCATAACCACTACAACAGGCAAAACTTTGGACCTGTTCTGTTTTTCTATAACTGGTTAATACAAAGGATTGCCGACTCTCCTAGGTTTACAAAATAAGTTTTTTCTTTCAGTGATGTGGTAGGATTGTTTGGGTGGCTACTTGGAAGGAACTGAGGGGCAAATACAAGGTATCAGATTACACATTGGAAGAGATTGTTTTTGGCAGTTGGTATAGTTTTTACCAGCTGTGTACCTGTGCATACTCTGGGATGGAACGGTCTATTAGCCTCTCTGGTGAGATGGGGACAGTTTGTTTTCAAGTTTATAAAGAATATGTGTGATAGAATGGAAAAAAAAAAAGTAATAGTTGGAATGACTAACTTAAAATTACTTTGTAATGTCAAGCCTGTAAGAAAGGTAGACATTGCAAAATTGTCTTTAAAACATTATCTGTAAAGAGCATTTTTAATGCAGAGAAAGAAAAATAGGATACAGAAACACCTTTATCCTATAAGCTGAATTTTTTTTTTATCCTGTGTTACCCAGTAAACTGGATTGATTGAACCTTTGCTGTGGAGCCTGTGATTTGTTCCGGTTTTTATACTGTGTGGGACCACGGAAAACTCCCATTGCTTTGTCTTGAGCAATTTTTCACCTTCACACCTCTATTCCTGAGTGCCACACCAACCTACCTGTCTTTGTATAGTTAAAGAAACATTCTCAGGCTCTTTCCATCATGTGACCACTTCTCTTTATTTCTCTGTAGGTGCACAGATTGGTTGTGGTGGATGACAATGCTATTGTAAAAGGCATAGTTTCCCTTTCAGACATACTTCAATGTCTTGTTATGACAGCTGGAGGTAAGTAGTGACCAATATTTATGGAAACTTTGTCCCAGGGTTTGCCATATTCCTAGCCATCTGAAAATGTGTGTTCACGTTCAGTATATCAGTTGTTAATATAGTCTAAAGCATTTTGTAGACCATATTTGCACTCTAAAATTACTTCTGATAATCGTTTTGACTTTAGCTTATTGGACTGGCTAGACAAAAGCAAGTTAAAATAACACTATAGTAACCAAAACAAATTTAGCTTAATGAAGCCGTTTTGTACAGGTTATGCCCCTGTAGTCTCACTGCTCAGTTCTTGCAATTCACTGCAGGGGCATGATCTATACACCAAAACCGACTCATTAAGCTAAAGTTGTTATGGTGACTATAGTGTCCCTTTAAAGATTACTTGTTCACACTAATTTGGATAACAATCTAATTTTCAATTGGCTATTTATATATCCTATACAATTTCCTTGCAAAATTGCTAGCAAAACTATAGTTTAAAAGAGATATCTTAAGATTGAGTTATCATCCAACATGGCTGTTTGTGCAGTAGCTTTACTAAAGGACTATAACATCACTGCACAGCTCCTAGCTTGTAGGTGCACACGAATAAATGTGGTACTCTGGCTTTACGCACAGCCACACTTGGTCTCCACTGTTGCAGTTGTATTTCTAAATCTCAGGAGGTCACAATTATAATAGAATAACTTTTTATCTATCCTTATGCTAGTAAACTGGCTCACACACTTTCTCTTTAAAGTGATACTGTATCAGGTTTATCAAGACAAATGCACTTTACAGACACAAAATTTTGTTTTAAAGTACCACTGAGCACCAGACACCAAGACAGATTAGTCATAGCCGTGGGAATGTGATTTGCTGTCATGGCAACATTCAGATGCCTCATATGTCATTTTTATTTTACACTTATAGGGGGGAAACCTCTGAAATCTGTATAATCTGTTGGACCATGCAATACTGAGATATACAGTACAGCCTTGAGACCTTGACACTGTTTACGAATACAGAAAGCACCCTGTGTGGGACACCTGGATGGATCCGAAGATTTGAGTCTCGCAACATTTTTGAAGGATGTTAATTTAGAAGAACACCCAGCACCATTCTTAACGATTTTTAAGCAATACTAAAGAGCGAATTGAAATCTGCAAAGCCGAAAGTTGTCCTGATAAAACTCTAATACAACAACTCACTGAAAAAAAATCAGTATTGAGAACTTCCTAACTTTTAGGCTGCAATGCGTACCCCTATAGCCCTCACCACTTTCCATGTTGGTAATGTTTAATAGAACCTGGACGTGAGCTAGTTTAAATTGCGACAAGAAATCTAACATGAGATTAAAAAAAACTGTCCTAGAAGCTTGCGTTGGTGCTTTGATAGATTTAAAGTGGCTGCTCCATTATAATTTCACGGTGAGCATCTTTCTGTATGTTTAAAAGTTTGAGCTTAGACATTTTTTCATCAATGCTCCAGTGTATACTGTTTGCAATTTGCCCTGGGTTAATGCAAGTATCACATGTCACTTTTATAATTCCATTTTATTTCTAGTATGTATAAAACTTTGTTTCCTGCTTGTTTGACTCTGATTGTTATAAACCAAATACCCAATCCTTGTTTGTAGGAAACACAGTGTGAGTCGACTTTTTGCTACTTGGGACAAGATGTCCATGTATAAAATAAAGTTTCACATTTCTTACATTTTTATTTTGCCTTGAACATAATGTTTCTTGTCATTTCTGTAATATAGTTACATAGCTGAAAAGAGACTTGCATCCATCAAGTTCAGCCTTCCTCACATATGTTTTTGCTGTTGATAAAAAAAAGGCAAAAAACCTAGTCTGAAGCTGTCACGTGCGTGGGCTATAGGCCCAGCCGAGACAGTGGGGAGAGTGTGGAAGTGACAGGGTTAATGACACCAGACCCCTGGTTACCTGTTGCTAGTCCCAGCAACCACTCAATTAACCCCTGCAATCCCTTCTACACTATCCCCCTTAGTACTACTGCCACCACCAAGACTTTTAAACCCGGGCGTCTTAGGTTACCCCACACACAGGAGAATTATAGTATCACAGTTCTACTTTTACTGATAAAACATATATAGTTAACCCCTTTTGGTAACGTGTTTACCTGAGCTTTCCTCTGGAGAGTGAAGCTCATAGAGAACAGAGACACAAGCTGATTAAGTAAACATTTAATCTGATAAAAAGGATTCACAGTGCTGAGTACAAAATACAGAAATAAATGACATACAGATAACAAATTGCAAAACAGTACATAAAATAAAATAGGAGAAAACACAAGAAATTCCTTACATATATTTACCCCATATAGAATTCTTGTGGGAGTCTTAGATGGTATAGGTCTCCTAGAAGTTACTGACAAAAGAAAAATGAATAACTGACTTCCCTGGATAGTCCAACACCCTCATATATCTAAACTAGTTGTTTCTCAGTGGGCAGACCCCTGGGGGGGGATCAGAGGGGGCTGGTATGGCAGTCTATTGCCCACTCTATAAAATTCCTTGTGTCCAGCTCTGGTGATGGCTATCTAGATGTTTTATGGTCTAGGCCTGGTGCAAGATCAAAGACCATAATAAACGTCATCCCAAGGTTTACAAAAAAAACAACTCTTAACATATATAAACACACATCAAACACCAACTCATGCTTTTGGCATGACAGAAGCACTTCCAATTTTGCCACAAGCTAGGAAAAAATTCCTTCTTGACCCCAAAATAGCAGTCAGATGTCTCCTTGGATCAAGCAGCTATTACCCTACTAATTAGAAATTATATCACTGTATGTTTTTGTAAGTATTTATCCAATTGCAGTTTCAATATCTGTAATGACTCTGACAAAACCACCTCTTCAGGCAGAGAATTCCATATCCTTATTGCTCTTACTGTAAAAAAAAACTTTTCTTTGCCTTAGATGAAATCTCCTTTCTTCCAGCCTAAATGTGTGACCTCGTGTCCTATGTATACCCCTGTTTATGAATAGATTTCCAGATAAAGGTTTGTACTGGCCCCTAATATATTTGTATAAAGTTATCATATCCCCTCTCAGGCGCTGTTTTTCCAAACTAAACAGAGTACATTTTTTTAACCTTTCTTCATAACTAAAATGATCCATTCCTTTTATCAATTTTGTAACTCGTCTATGGACGAGTTTCTAGTGCCATGATATCTTTCTTTAGATCAGGCGCCCAAAATTGCACAGCATATTCAAGGTGTGGTCTTACCAGTGATTTATAAAGAGGCAAAATTATATTTTCATCCCGAGAATTTATGCCCCTATTTATACATGACAAAACCTTACTGGCTTTAGCAATTGCAGATTGACATTGCATATTGCTGCATAATTTGTTGTCTATAACCATTCCCAAATCCTTCTCGTGTGTGGTTATCCCTAATTCACTACCATTTAGGGTGTACGTTGCTTGTGCATTCTTAACCCCGAAGTGCATAACTTTGCATTTCTCAACGTTAAATTACATCTGCCATTTTAGTGCCCAGTCCCCCAATCTATCCAAATCCCTCTGCAGCAAAGCAATATCCTGCTCGCATTTTATTACTTTACAAAGTTTTGTGTCATCTGCAAACACTGATACATGGCTTTCAATGCCTATTTCAAGATCATTTAAAATGTTTAACTAGAAGTGGTCCCAAAACAGAACCCTGAGGGACACCACTTACCACTTTTGTCCAGCCTGAAAATTTACCATTAATTACAACTCATTGTACTCTATCCTTAAGCCAATGTTCTACCCAAGAACAAGAATATTCATCTAGACCAATTTTTTTTCAGTTTGAAGACAAACCTATTGTGAGGAACCGTATCAAATGCCTTGGCAAAATCCAAGTAGATCACATCCACTGCAACACCCTGATCTATACTTCTACTTACTTCTTCGTAGAATGCAATTAGGTTCGTTTGACATGACCTATGTTTCAGAAAACCATGCTGATTATTGCTAATAACAAAGTTCTTCCCAATAAATTCCTGAATATTATCCCTTAATAGCCCTTCATATATTTTCCCAGTTACAGAAGTTAAGCTCACAGGTCTATAATTTCCAGGCAAAGATTTTGAACCCCTTTTAAATATAGGAACAACATCTACCTTCCTCCAATCCTCCGGTACAACACCTGAAACAAAAGAATCTTGAAAAATTAAATACAGAGGTTCACTTATTTCCCCACTTAACTCCGTAAGTACTCATGGGTAAATACCGTCAGGCCCCGGAGCTTTATTTACATTAATTTTCTTTCATAGCTGTAGCACCTTGTCTTGAGTTATCCAATCACAAGTTATCTGCAAGTTTTTTGCATTAATTTTGCATATCTCTTGCCATAGGATCCTCATTAATATATACTAAAGAAAAAGTTATTTAAAATTTCTGCTTTTTCCTGGTCTTCATTAGCTAATAAACCCAACTCTGTTTCCAGGTGTACCACTTTCACTTTTTGTTTTTTTAGAATTGAATTACTCATTTTCTAGTTTAGCCACTTTAATTGCGTTTTTATTGTGAGGGGGTAGGTATGCCAATGATACATGCACACATCCATTCCTGTACACCTTTCAAGTAGTGTTGGAACCAAGGTAACATTACTCTTCCCACTGCCTTTTATGGCTCTTAAAAATTGTAGACTTCTAGTAATTCACAGGTGCACACGCTTTTGGGATCTTGTAAAAAGAACAAAATTAATTTTGAAGTAAGGCACGAAGGGTGCCACATTAGCCATAATTATAAGATGAGCCTTTCTAAGAACCTGCAATCTTGAAGTGAGGATGAAACTTGGACTAAATTTGAAAACATATAGTTATTTAATTGTTTGTATTTGGTTCTCCACATTCTAGTTTGGTTCTTGGCTTTTTCCTTGTATACAACTGGAACCATGAATAATGTTGGTCAATCAACTCGTCCCTTTTACATCTGCTTGGCTTCTCCTGTTAGTATTTACTTTCAGAATGATTTATTTCTACCTGGACCTTTTTGTTTTTACATTTTTACGGTTTATATAAGAATAAACGCAGTTGTCAAAACCTGCACACATTCAGGACACACCACACAGATAACAAAGATGGATATACATATTGGTAAGGTTCTTAATAACACATTATTGAAATATAAACCATGGCACATAGAAATAGTATCATCTTGTACTAAAGTAAATAATGGAGAAGAAAGTAACAGCCACTAGACACACTGCATGGACAAAATGGGTGGGATGCAAGGCTGCAGAGCTACTACTTTTTTTTTGTGTGTGTGTGTGGCTAAAAACAGTGTATGATTGTTTAATTTAAAAGGGTAGGTACAGCATCAGACCATATTTAAAGGTAATCCTCCTTAAAATACATTGGGGAAATTAGCCCATTGGGACTAGGTATTGGGGTAAGTGGAGTATTTGAAAGAGAGCTTTATTTATTCTATTTTGCTTATCCCTACAACCTGGCAGATCCATTCATAAAGAGATGGTGTAGTGGAACATTTCCAGTTCAGAGTGACCAAAAAATGTTTTATTGTTTTATTTTTGAATTGAGACAGTTCATTAGAATGTAGCAAGAATGCATCTGGAGTAATGATATATAATAATGTACTTGGAGATGTACAGAAGCTATTTGTCCAGTAAAGGACAAAAAGAGAACGTTCACACCATATATGTGCAAAAAGTCAATTTCCAGTGTGAGTGCCCACATTTATTATCACTTGAAGGAAACATATGCAGAATAGATGGAGTCTAATATTTTATAAATTTGTTTAGAGGCTTACATTAATTATTGCATGATGAGTTAAAGGCACACTCTAAACACCAAAACAACTTTTAATTTAATGGAGTAGTTTTGGTGTATCATGTTCCTGCAGTCTCACGGTTCAATTCTCTTCCATACAGGAGTTACTTTACTTTTATACAGCACTAGCCACACCTCCCTGCATGTGA